TAAGGTTTATAAAAGGAGTTATACTAATAAAAGATTTATATTTAAGATATAAGCTATTATTAGTATTAAACCTTATATATAGCTAGGTGTAAGCCTTATAGTTAGGTAAAAAGGCTAAAGTTTAATATATTATAATACTAGGTATAATATTAAGTTATTTAATTCTTAGTATTTAGGAATTTCCCTTTTTTTTTTAGTAGCTACTATATAACTATATAGCTCTCTTACTTACTAATAGTATTAAAGTATTATTTTAGCTTTAAATAAGTATTTTAAAAGGTATCCTCTTCTTTAATATATTAAAACTAAAAGTTCTAAGTATTCTCTTTTAAGATATAAAATAAAATACTCTTAAATTTACTTAATTATATATAATAAGATTTATAAGTAATTAATATAATCTAGATTTTTATATTAAGTATATTATATAATTCTCTTTTAAATAAATATTCCTTTATATTAAATAGCTTTTAAAATAAAACTAATTCCTATATAAATATAATTCTTATTTTAAAATTACTTTAGAGAAGGAGATTATAATATAAGTTATATATTTTATATATATATTTATTTAAATTACCTTTTAAAATTAATTCTATAAATAATTTTAGTTTTAAAGGGGTAAGTAGTACTTAAAGGGTATTAAGGATATTTATAATCTTTAATTTAAATATTATAATTATATTAAGTTTAATAACCTTAATAAGGTTTTATATAGAGGCTATTTATATTAAAGTTATTTAATAAAGCTATTTTTAAATTTAGAATACTTATAACTTTAAGTAAAAAGTAAATATTAAAAATTAATTAATTTATAGCTAGTTTAATAACTCCTCTATTTTTTATATTTAGTTTATTAAAATAATAGTATTTTTAATTAATAAACTTATATAAATACTATTATATTAAAATATATATTTTAATTCCTTAATTAAAATAATATTAATTTAGCTTATTTATTTATTAATTTAGTTTTTAAAGTTATTTATAAAGTTATAAAATAGCTTATTATTATATAGCTTTACTTATTTATATTAATATAAGTAATATACTATATATATATTTATAATAACTATATTAATAATATTTAATACTATAGTTAATATAAGTATTTAATTTAAGGTATATATAAATTTCTATATTAATTTTATTTTCTTATAGTACTTTTTAACTTTATTATTTATTAAGAGAGAGTCTCTTTATTAAATATAAATTAATTATAATATTATATAAAATTATAGCTTTATATATAATATATATAAGGTATTCTTAAAATAGATATATATAGAGGCTTTATTATAACTTTATATATAGTATATATAAGATATTCCTAAAGAGGTTATAGTAAGTAAGAGAGCTATATAGTTATATAGTAGCTACTAAAAAAAAAAGGGAAATTCCTAAATACTAAGAATTAAATAACTTAATACTATACCTAGTATTATAATATATTAACCTTTAGCCTTTTTACCTAACTATAAGGCTTATACCTAGCTATATATAAGGTTTAATACTAATAATAGCTTATACCTTAAATATAAGTCTTTTATTAATATAACTCCTTTTATAAACCCCTAAAGAGGTTATATAAGGGTTTTACCTTTTATTAATTAATATAAGCTCTTATATAAATAAGCCTTTTATATATTAATAAAAATTCTACTATATAGTAATAATAATTAAGAAAGTAAAAGAAAGAAAGAAAAAAGATATAAAAGAGATAAAGAGAGTATATATATATAATATAAGGGGAAAAAGTATAAATTAAGAGGTAATCTCTTAAGATTAAGTATAAAGATAGTAAGAAGATAAATAAATCTCTTACTTTTATATAATTAAGAAGAAAGATATAATAAAATACTCCTTATAAAATATTTTTTAATTAATTAAATATTAAAGGAACTTATACTTTTATAAAGTAACTTTTTATAAATAATAATATTAAAATATCTTATATTTAAAGAGGTCTTTTAATATAGAAATTAATACTTATAATAAGCTTTTAACTTTCTTAAGTATTTTAAAGATTTTATCTCTTCTTTATAGTTAATTTATAATTATATATTCTTATAATTATTAATTAGTATTAAAAAGTATATATATTTTTAAATAAATAATAAATAGTTATTAAAGTTAGATTATTTATTTTAAGCTAGATAAGAATTAAAAGCTAATTATATATTTAGTTCCTAAGTAGTTATATAAAGTATAATTACTTAGTTTCTAAGTATTTAATTAAGGATTATCTATATAGATATTATAATATATTTATACTTTAATAAATAATTTAAAGAGGGTTAATTATATTATTTCCCCTTAATCCTTTAATTATTTCTTCTTAAACCCTTTAATATATAATAAAAGTTACTTAATTATTTATTAAGTAATTAATACCTTTATAGTATTATTTTATTAAGCTAAAGTTCTTAAAATAATTATATTATCTTCTTTATTATTATATAGTAATTAAGATAAAGTAATTAGTTAAATAAAAGTTATTAATATATAATAATTAAGTAATTTATACTAAATAAAGATCTAAAATAAATTAAGGTTAAATTAATTAAAGTATTATTTTAAATAATATAATTAGATTATTTAATTATTATATAAATTATTATTAATATATAAGTACTAAAAAGTTAGTTTTAATAAAAGTAATAATAATAATATTAATAATTATTTAAAAAAGTATTTCTACTTAAGAAATAAATATATATATATATTAAAGTATTACTATATAATATATAACTATATAAATTACTAGGTATTAAGAATTAATTAAGCTATATATTAATAATAAAGATTTTATTATAATAAATACTATACTATACTTATAAATATAATTAATTAATCTACCTTATAAATTTAACTTTTTTAATAAATATTATAAACCTTAAATATAATAACTTTTCCTAAAAGCTTTTTTATTATATTATACTAAGTAAGCTTAAATCTAAATTAATCTATTATACTAAAACTTAAATAAAAGCTACTTTTACCTAGATTAATTTAATATAGTATATAATATACTAGAACTAATAGTTAAATACTAAATTATAATAAATATATATAATAAAGTAGTTATTACTAAGGCTAAGCTTATTAAGGTCTTCTATATCCTTAAAGAGTACTTTATTTAGTACCTTTACTTTATCTACTTAATTAGTATAATATAGAGTTAAACTTAATAAATATAGCTATTAGATTTACTTTATTATTAATAGCTTTATTATTATAAGAAGCCCTTTAATTAAATATAAGCTTAAGGATTTTATATATATTAAGTATAACTCTCTTAGGTTATTTATAATTAAAAGTAGTATATCTTCTAAGAGCTTATTATTTACTTTAATAATTAAGCTTTTACTAATAGGGATATAAGTATTAAATAATAATATCTTATTATTATTATTATTACTATTATTACTATTATATAGGAAAGTAGTTATAGTTAGTAATAATAAGTATCCCCTTTTAAGGCTATAGCTAATTTATATATTAACTAGCTCTTATTAGAGTTTTTAATAAGATATTAATACTTATACTTAAGCTAAATATATAAATATTTAAGTTTTTATAGTATTAAAGGTTTAGATATAAGCTATAAATTATATTTTAAAAACTATATATAATAATTATATATATAGCTTAATCTTAGGACTAAATAACCCTTATTTATAGTAAGAGAAAATAAATAATATATTAAAGTACTTAATATTTTTATATAGTAATTAATACTAAGTATAATATACTTAGTTATAATTATTTAGTACTTAGTCTTAAGTATTATTCCTTAATATCTAAGTATATTATATAATATAAGTATAAAGTAGCTTATAACTAAGGTATAATAAGTAAGAGAAAATAAATAAATAAAAATAATTATATTTAAGATTTAAAATATTTATTAAAAAAGTTAGATTTATAAAGTAGATTAATTAATTATATCTATAAGTATAATATAATATTTATTATAATAAAATCTTTATTATTAATATATAGCTTAATTAATTCCTAATACTTTATAATTTATATAGTTATATATTATATAGTAAAGGTTAAGTAATTAAACTCTTATTATAATATTTTAGTATTATTATATAATAGATATAGAGATAGAGACTAATATAGGGTCGGCCTATAGTGCTTAGGTGAGATATAAGGTAACTGCTAAGAGCAAGTATTTAGGTTAATAGAGATTAAGCACCTATACTGCTATAGCGTGTACCGAGAACCTCGACTCCTCAAGCAAATTAACCTCAATCCTTGAATCGTACCGATAGACGGCTAGATAGTAACACTACAGCCGAGGTGAACGCAGTGATACGGAGGCTAACACCGCTCTTCTCTAACCATTCCTGGCGACTGCGACATCATCTGAACATGAATGGCATCAGCCTGGCCAACCCCGACCAGCACAATCACAGCCCTCCGGCCCAATGTCAACCCGATGAGCCTAAACAATAGTGTTGACGAGGGGGATCCAGATAAATAATCCACCGCTATGTACATACCGTGTGTGCAACTAGACTGAGGTCGAGGCCTGCCTGCAACTTAGACCGCCCTCGAGCGGCACCCATTCATGCCATGCCCGCTCTATGTACCCTGTCCACCTGCGCTGGACTTGCTCAGAAAACCACCTCGTAATCCTCCCTATTCCTGTTCTCATGTGAACAAGACTGCTTTTAAATCCACTTCCGCGTATCACGCAATATTATTTAAAGTTAGAAAAGTAGAACAGGGTGTTACAGATTAAGAAAAGGGGGAAGGCCGCAGCCAGGCCCTGCGTCGAGATCCTCATCAAGACATACGTCCGCTGTTCGATTAACCTGCCTGTCTCTCATGAAGGCGTGTGATCGTTGCGTGGTTATCCCGGCTGTCCCTCGTCACGACAACCGATTTAGACTCATGCCCTAAGCCAGATTCCAAACTATCTGACTTTGAATAAGAAATCAGTCTTAAGTGAAGAGAAAAACTTGTCGAATTGCAAGATGTATTTAATGATAGACACTGCTACGCTCAACAGTGGTCAGACCTAGTGATCGTAATGCGTGAATGTTTAATATTTCCTCCTCTCCTGAAGACCAATTGACCACCTTTCCAGTTCTAAGACAGTTCGGATTTGTAAAGCTGTTAAACAAGAGAGCGATAGCGTCATAAATAGTGAGGTTACGATGGACACTCCAGTTATCAACATCAAAATGTTTGGTTATAGCAGCAAAAGATATTTCTTCTGCCTTCTGTAGCTCTGAATGAGCTGTTTCAAGTTCCCGCCTGAGATTCTCAATGACTTTGCTCCCGCCTCTTAACTTACTAGCTTGTTGAAGAATCAGGATAGACAGCTCAAGAACGGAGGTGAGCCTTCCTCCAGCAACCGAAATGCTGAGATCTGATAATTCCGGGGGGGTTGGAGGAGACAAACGATGGACGATAGGCACCAACTCATCGCGAGTAAGGGTAGTCGTCCAGTCGCTCAGCCATGGCTGAGCGACGCTTAGAACATCCAGTATATCGCGTTCGGATGCCGATTTGGCATCATATCCAAATTCCAATTTGGAGGTTTCCTCTAGGAGAGCCGGGGTGGATTCATGCCTAACCGGTCTGGTAGTAGCTAAAGCTCGGAAGATGTATTCTAGAATCACCTGGTCGGATTCTCGATTGAATACTTTGTCCTCATCATGCCAGGACCGAAACATTTTGTAGTGCCTCCCACAGAGAAAGGCGACAGCGCGGGTTAAGGCGGGGAGGGTCAAACTTTCCGTAGTTTCGGATGCTGTATTAAATGGCCATTGCGCAAAATAAATAGTTAGCGCCCAAAGTGAGGACATGGATTTTATCAAGAGCGCCTCATGGTCTCCTTCGTCTGGGATCTGAGTAAGAAGGTATGACTTGAGTGATGACTGGTCCCAGCCTATAACGAACGAAGAATCAGTAACGATAGTCTTGCTAATCAAGGAGGAATGGAGGATCCTGAAGAAAAGTTGGGAGGTGCTCACAATTATCCGAGTTGGCATGCGCAGCGAAGATCTCTTGGAGGCCTTCAATCTCTTTCGGCGTATATATCGAAGAAAAGTAGGGACCGCCGTGCTTGAGCCAAGTGGTAAAATCAGAAAGAAGAATATCTAGAATGGTCGCCTAGTCAGATTCTCATCGGAGAAATTTATTAAGATAAGCCATTTCATTTCGAAGGTACTAACCTCGGGTGCAGGTTTCGAACCATTTTTCTCGCCTTGCGTCGAATTCTGGAGTATGACCCTCGTATTTAGGGGTGCCAACAAGGTGGCGTTTGAAGAATTTAACGATAAAAGACATTTTGCCAACAGGTATCCGCGTTGAGCTTTGACTATCTTGTCTGGCGCGTAGGAGACGCGAGTATGTACTGGGCTGGTAGAGTCATGGGCGATGGCAGGGTTTCTCTCCTCCGCTAGAGCAAGTCACAACATGTAGCGGTACAACTCTGGCACGATGGAGCATCGGCCCACTATCATCCATGTCTTGTTACTAATTATCGCCTGCACCATCGTCCTTAAAACAAGCCCGTTGGTCTCGCCCTTTGACTCTTTCGTGGCACACACTCCTCGGCATACCCATCTGCCGCCTTCTTCAAGCTCTTCGCTGCACACATCCAACATGGCCGCTGCTGGTGATAAGCCAGACCCTGGCCCCTTCCCAGAAGAATTACTCCGCCCGCAAGGGCCGCCGTACCGCACTGACTATGATTCCCCCCTCGCTTTCGAAATCGCGAAAGCAGAATATTCCATGCGCGAAGACTGTGATCGAGTCGTCACTTGGGGCCAAGACACCCGCTTCAGCCCTCACACATGGGGCTTCACTCTCTATCGCGCCTGTTTCGGTCCTGGGACGGATGAGCGTTTCCCCGACGCTGTTCGGCGCCTCGACGCATGGGTTCGTCACCTCGTGCTGAGCGACCGGTACCGCGGGCTGGATGCAGACACACGTGAAGAATGCAGGTTGCTTGACTCACGGCTCGACCCCCAGCGGCCTCTCCCGTCGCGAGAACTGGCAAAGAGGTTCCACCTGGAGGTCATCGAGGACTATCCTGGCAAGGAACATGTCGTAGCCGGCCACGCCACTGAAGACGGCGAGGAGGACTTCTCTCCAGTGGGAGAGGCCTTCACGAAATGGGTGAGCGAGCATGCCGTCACTCAAGATGACCTCTACGTGCGCAACGACCACTGCCTCATTGTAGATGACAAAGCGCTGGAAGCTCTCGAACGACTCCCTCGGAGCACCCCAGAGCCAGGGCCAGAACCGGCAAACGCACCCCAGGCAAAGCTTCTCTATGGGCACAACTCGGGGGCCTGGGTCTGGATGCTGGATCGTGAGTATTTCCACACGTTTACACATTCTGGCCCGGAGCACATTTGGATAAGCGACACATTCGGAGGCGGCCCACGTTACACTAATGGGCTCCCTGCTAGTCCGTGGATTCGCATAATGCCAAGTTCTATCCCAGAGGTGTGGTTCCATCGCCCCAGAAACTTTACTCCATCAAATTGGACCGCCGTGATACAGAGAGATAAACACAAGTTTGATAAAATTAGTTGGTGGAACCCCGTTCCATCGGCCGTCAACGAAGTCTACAGTCGGAAACGTAGGGAGCAGCTAGTATAGCAACAATCGGAACCAAAGGAGGAAAAGGGGGGATGATAGTGTACATCCATATTCTATTACGCCTAATTGTAGGTTAGAGCCGCAAGGCTCACTGTAAAGGACACAGAGCAGGTCATTGATCATACATAATAGATCCCTACCATCTACCACCGTTCCCGTCCGTAGCCTTCTTAATTTCCAGACCACGTCTGCCTCCTTGAAGTTCAGTGGTATACATCCAAACTGCCTCGAGGCGATTGGGAATCGATTCAGTGGCAAAATCCCTAGCCGGTTGATAGTCTCGGCCAGAAATTATTGAGCAAAGCGTCATAGGCCTATAGCCTAGGTATTATTTATAGAGAATCCGATTTGAAAACCACCTATCCCCTAGTCCATCAGGAACTTAGCCCTTAGTTCTAGATATTTATATAGGATAGGTTCTTTACTCTTTCTAATAAACTAACGTAAGTTCTAGTAGAACTCACCATCTTACATTTTTGTACTTTCTTGCCCCTTTTATCTAACTACAAGCGGCGGCAGTAAAGAGGCAACGTGGAAGCATCAGCGTGCCCAGCTTCCCTGGACACCTTTCAATGCTACATCCTCAGAATAATTTCCAGGTAATTAAGTGGTTCACACAAATCATAGCTATACATTTATGAGTTATTTCTATTATTATTCTAGTCTCTAGACTATCTGAGAGACGATTTTCAATAAATCGCCGGACACACCCATCGCAGTAACATGTCCTCCAGCTCCAGCACCCCTGATTATAAGTGGCTTCAACCCATACCTTTCAGTATAAAAACTAATGATATTGTCGCTGCCCTGCAAATTAGCGATGGGATGTGAGCGGTTGTACCACTTTAAGCCCACACTCGCAGTCCCAGTGGCAACTTCAACACTGCCGACAAATCGGACGACTTTGTTGGCCGCCTCGGCCTCTGTTTTGAGAAGCTCCATTTTGTCGTCATGATCGGCTAGTTTTTGTAGAAATTCCTCAGTGTCCATGGTCCCTCTAAGTTCTTCAGGTATCAAGTTCTGCACGCTAAATGATGTGGCTGAAGCAATAGGAAGCCCGGCCAACCGTCCGAGAATGGTCAGCTTTCTAGCGATATCAAGGCCGTTCAAATCATCACGGGGATCCGGCTCAGTGAAGCCAAGAGACCTCGCCCTCCTCACCTCCTCCGACCACCGGCCGCCCGTTCCGGCGATTGGCGCAAAGGAGTTGAAGAGATAGGACATTGTACCACTAAAGACGCCCTCGATCCTTAGCACCTTGTCCCCTGTTTCCACCATCTCTTTCAGTGTGGAAATGATGGGCATGCCTGCTCCCACAGATGATTCGTGGTACACCAGAGCTCCTGTTGACAGACTTGCATCAAAAATCTGTTGCCACAGCTCATACGTGCCTGAAAATGCCTTCTTGTTTGGCGTAACGATGCTGATTCCTCGTCTTAAGATTTCTGGATAAGCCTCTGCAATTCCTTGAGAGCTAGTGTTATCGACGAAGACGACTTTGCGTGGAATGGAGGCAAGGTAATCAACAGCAACATCGAGTGTAGGTAGCGGCCTTCCAGACGCTTCTAGTGTGGATAAAGCAGTATCTATATCAATGTCGCTGAAGTCTTTGTGATAGAGTGCTTTGTCGATGATGGCGACATAGGTGAGGTGAAAGCGCACTTTTGGGTGATTCTTCGAGATATATGCCAACTGCTGTAAAAAGCAAGAGCCGACACCACCGGCACCTAGAACAGAGCGGGTTATCAGCAGCTTGAAAGTATGTACAGCAGATCATACGACTTGTAACTTACCAACTACAGCGATTGAAACTTCCTTATCAATTGACATCGCGGGATTAGGCAATTTGCGGTGATGTGAACAGAGGCTCTTAAGATTGTGGTCATTGTAAAGAATAAACAATCCAGTCCTGTAACTAAGTATATATGCACCTATTCATGTCCCTACGAAATATATTTGCCTCAACACCTTCTAAGTCATGAGCTTGTGATAGGAAATTGGTGTCTTTGTTGCGTGATCGATGACAAACATTCTGGTTACGTGATGTGCAGTAGTCTGCGCGATGTCGGCGATGTCGGCGATGTCTGCACCCACCGCACAATTTCACTTATGTCAGTACTCTACTCTACGTGTTCTCACATAGACAACCATGCTGGGGATAGATCCACTATTCAATACATGTGAACAATATCTGGCGCTGGCGGACCTTGATTGGCCGTCTTGTACATTCACTTACATACGCGTTTACTTATGCAATTGCGTCCTTGCGTCCTAATGCAACCACCGTCTCACACGATGCTGTATGCGCTGTCTGGCTGCGTCATGTTCAAGTCATGGGCTTTCGAGTTACTTAATTAAAATGAAATCTTCACGCATATAAACAACTCGTCTGAGCCTGTTTCACTCATACACCAAGTTTTACAGCACGTACAAACGTCGAAAGTCGTCACCATGCCCCCTTTCCAAGTGAGCACCGATTCTTCACTCTAGAGCTACATTATATAAAAGCTAACGAGTAGTAAAGTTGAACGACCCGTCTCTGCTTCATGAAGCATCGTTGCGTAATGGGGAGTGGGTTCAATCCCAGACCGGGAAGACATTCCCAGTAGAAGGTGAAGATCATTCAATGATACTCTTGAACTATAAATATTAATTGAACGATCAGATCCTGGAACCGGTCAAACATGGGCTTCTGCCCCGGCTAATGACCGATCCGATGTTGATCAATATGTTGAGACGTCCCACTTGGCCTTTAAAAATTGGCGCCACACAAACCCCCGCGAACGAGCAAAGCTTCTGCTGAAATGGCATGAACTGGTCTCCCAAAATAAGGAGGACATAGCCAATATTGTAGTCTACGAGACTGGCAAACCGAAAGTTGAGGCTATAGGCGAGGTGGATTATGCTCTCGGCTTCCTCTGGTGGTTCGCAGGAGAAGCTGAACGGATTCGAGGCTCAGTAGCCATTCCGTCAGTCTCGGATCGACGCACCTTTGTCATCAAGCAACCTATCGGTGTTTGCGTGGCATTAGTCCCATGGAACTTCCCGGTCGCGATGATTCTCCGAAAGGTGGCTGCAGCACTTGCGGCTGGCTGCACAATGATCATTAAACCGTCCCCAGAGACTCCCTTGAGTGTGATGACACTTGCAGATCTGGCTCAACGAGCTGGTATTCCCTCAGGTGTCATCAACGTGATCTCCACTGATAACACCAATACACCAGCGGTCAGTGAAAGACTTTGCAAGCACCCTCTCGTACGGAAGGTTACCTTTACGGGAAGCACAGCCATTGGAAGTCTTATTGCAAAACAATGTGCCGAGGGACTGAAAAAGGCCACAATGGAGTTAGGAGGGAACTGCCCTTTCATCGTCTTTGACGACGGGAACCTAGACGACGCGGTGGCTGCCCTGATGATCCTCAAATGGCGGACTGCCGGACAAGCCTGTACACATGCGAATCGCGTGTATGTGCAAAAAGGCGTTTACGAAAAGTTTGCAGGTCTCCTAGTCGAAGCAACGAAAAAACGCATCAAGGTGGGACATGGATCTGCAGACGGCGTGACAATGGGCCCTCTGACAACGGCCCGCGGGGTACAAAAGCTTGAGCGACATGTGTCTGATGCGATCAGCAAAGGAGGAAAACTACTCCACGGTGGAAAAGTGCCAGATGACCTTGATTCCGCTTGTGGCAAGGGTTATTTCTTTGAGCCAACTATTATTTCAGGGATGACATCTGACATGCTAACATCTACCGAGGAGGTTTTCGGCCCTCTCCTTGGCCTGTATCCATTCGAAACCGAGGAGGAAGCTGTGGAGATGGCCAATAATACATCTATGGGCCTAGCATCATACTTTTTCACAAGGGATGTTGACCGCACCTGGCGGATGCTAGAAAGTCTTGAGGCGGGGATGATCGGCATGAATACAGGTAAGAAAAACTTGTCCATGACAGAAGGGCACAATTAGCTGACTGTGGTTTAGGCAACGCATCTGGCGCCGAGTCTCCCTTTGGAGGCATTAAAGAGTCGGGCTATGGTAAAGAAGCTGGTAAGGATGTGGCAATTGAGGAGTACTTGATTTCCAAGACGGGCACCCTCACGGTTCATCCATCTTAATCCGGTTTATAAAATTTGATTCCGGAAATCGTTTCCTCGCTGCTTCCATGACACTGTGTATATACTCCAAGTTCTACCCGCATTGAGCGTCAACTTAGTGATGGAAACTCAAGTTACTGTAGTAATGGTCCCTACCGTGTCGTCTCGTTGTACTCATTCGCAGATAACGTAAAGGGTTCCACCCATGTCCGGGATCTCCCCGTGCCCTCCGAGGCCGGCCATAGGAGCCAACGACATTCAAGATTGCGCCTCCACCCATTCTCCCCTCCAGATGCACACGTATGCTGCAACTATGACCTGTGGGTAGCAAGACCATGGCATCTATACAGCCGAGTTCAGATAGCCTGGAGACGAAGTGCGCATTCTTTCGTGCTCTGGTCAAACTATTGTACTAATATTCAGGTCCTTAGGAAAGCCCGGAACCGTCTGTCGCAGCAAGCTTTCCGTCGCAGGCAGGCTCTCAAGCTGAAGGTGCTCAAAGACCGCGCCGAATCAATTGACAGACCTAACGATGCGACGTACGAGAAGCTGCAACAAGAGAATCATTCGCTGCGAAGTCAGCTATTAGATGTCCAGGCCAAGTTGAGCAGGCTCATGGAAATTTCACAACGCCTATCAACGTCAATTGAAGCAACAACGAAGTGCTCAGAGCCCTCTTTAGTCTTACACAGCCCAAGACTGAATGAAGTCCCTAGTGTTAGACACGAACAGGTAACAAATAGGGAAGACGGAACGTGTGAAAGCCCTGAACCTCATGAGCTTGTGGCACAGACAACTTTCGCTTCGACCTTGTGTCCCGGCAACAGTACCGATGTCTCTCAAGGTCAGTTTGATTTTTCTTTTACAGCTCATGAAAATGCTGATACTAATCTATCTCAAGACTTAGATCTCGATCTACTTTGTAGTCAGGATGTACTCCACGACAACTTGAATCTCAATAGCGTGCCAAAAAGCCAGTCGTACGAGTATCACATGGGTGCAGCTCAATACGAGCATAGCCTTAGCATGAGCCAAATGAACAGCTCAATTGCTCATAAACCATGGGCTACGACGAACTCTGCGTTCTCTGATCATATTCAAATCCTCCAACAATTTCTCTTGGACAAGCTGGGGGGGAATATATCGCCTACACCTTTCACACTGCAGAGGTTGGTCTTATACTATATTCAATGGACAGCCTATTAATGCCGTCACAGAATTTACAACGGCGTTTTGACGGTCCTTTCTCTATTCAACAGCGTCACCCGGCCCGATGCAATGTCGTGGTATGCCAAGACGAGATTCTACCACATCGCTGACTTGACCACCTGGCAGCTGTGCCCTTGCCCCAAGACCTATGAAAAGGTCCATCCTTTGTACAGACCGACTGCCAAACAGCTTTCTGTACTATATCCAAGCGTCATAGATTGGATACCGTTTCCTTCAATACGGGAGAAATTGATTCGTCTTCATGCGGGGAACCCCCAAATCGACCGAATCTTCTGTGACGCCGTGAGCGCCTACGTGGTAGAGGCCTGCATGTCCGACATAGTATCTGGTGCTGCCCCATCTAGGGTGTATCTAAGAGTGAACGATTTGTTGACTGCTGGTGGTTGGGATCAAGTCGATGAGTGTGGCAGTTGGGCTGCTGCACTGCCAGTGCCCAAGGTCAATGATCTCTTTACCTCGCCCGGGTGTGCTCGAGCGGCGTTCCAATACCTCAGTATGGATGGCGGTGCATCAAGATACAAGATGGATCCCGCATTTTTTGGGAAATACCCAGAGCTCTATGATGCATCCACACCTGATATTCTAGCTCAAGGTATACCTCTCAAGCCCGACATACAGCCTACTTTGACCTACCCACAGCCGCTGGATATATCAGTATATCAGATCTACCGCAGCTTCATTGGATTCACAGTGTCGTCAATCAGTGACAGACAAAACCGGTACGATGCATTATCAACCGCTAACTCAACTTATTCAGAACAATTGTTGTATTAATTAGGGTCTATGTTTCAACACACTCGTACCCACCAGCTATGTAATAATGTTTTTCATAAGAAGTCATAGCTGTTCCTTTGATTTTTTCAATCTCGTGGACGTGGAAAAGTTGGGAATCGCAATTGACGCGTTACCTTTACTTAGAACGTTCCACTCTCCTGCTTTATCCTTCGCAAATTTCTCGAACAATCTTTCAAGACAGCAAGTTAGGCTGTTCCGCTCCATAAACCTTAATTGAGTCTCTTTCACTATGGCATTCTTATCTAAGTCCAGGCACTTGATCACGTTAGTATCTTGAGACTCCGTGCAGCCCATCGCGGTGGCCAGCAGCCCCTGTCAGTCCGATAAGGTCTCGTGCGAACCCTTGGAGAGCAGAGATATACTATTGCTTGCAATATTGCGAGATCCACAGCTCGAGATAAAACTAGTTCCCACTCAATCCCCAAACAAGGTTGTGTCACGATGAAGATAAGCAGGGGCCTTCGTGGGTGAAATCGACACGGGGAGCAGCGCCGGTCACATGACCGGAAGCTCCGCGCACAAGGGTTGATCAATCCGCACATCGGAGATTAGGCATACCTACATGGATGGACCCAACGTCGGGGAGAAAACAACAACCCCGGATTACATGTAGTCTAAGTAGTCTAGGTGTGCTATGGGCAATATCCCTTTTCGAGCCTCCTACTAAAGCTGGCCAATAGATAGCATTTGGGACTTCTGGGAAAGGAGTCATTTCACTGGAGCATTTCGTTTTTGAACTTTTGATGTGTAAGAGTTGCCATCATGGATAGACAAAACACGATGATGAGCGACGCAGACAAGCGTTTCCGAACAAGGATGGCTGAGGCCTTGCCTGGCCTGTCAACCTCGACACAATCCATTCACGGTGATGATGTCCTCAACTATGTCGACGATGTGGCGCCGCCCATCCACGTTGCCGCGACATTCCGTTATCCACGAGATCCAGAATACTTGCGAGAACACCATGAGAGGCCTTCGTATCCTGTACTGGACGTCGGGGAGCATTGCTACTCGAGGCAATCTACGCCGGGATCGTCACGCCTCGAAGCGGTGTTGTCGTCGATTCTTGGGCAGCCGTGCATTACATATTCTGCCGGCCTCGCTGCTTTTCATGCCCTGCTGACCATGTTGCAACCGAAAAATGTCTCTATTGGCGCTGGTTATCATGGATGCCACGGCACCCTCGAGCTCTACGCCCGAGCGTCTGGCACCGTCATTCTACCGCTCGACTGTGCTGTCGACCAGCTCGGTCCAGGTGACCTGATTCATCTCGAGACACCAGTGAATCCGGACGGACAGGCCTTTGATATCCAGTATTATGCAGACAAAGCCCATTCTCAAGGTGCATATCTCAGTGTGGATTCTACGTTTGCACCTCCCCCACTGCAAGACCCGTTTCTCCACGGCGCGGATATGGTGATGCACTCTGGGACGAAATATATCGGTGGTCATTCGGATTTTCTATGTGGCATCTTGGCTGTCAAGAGTAGTAACATCGGGGCGGAATGGCTGCAACAGCTCCATAAGGATAGGCTCTTTCTTGGTTCGATCATGGCGGGTTTCGACAGCTGGCTTGCTACTAGGAGCATCCGCACCCTCGAAATGAGGGTTCTCAAGCAAAGCCAGTCGGCGGAGAACATTGTTCGCGCATTACATGCTGGGTTGGCGGGAAGTCCCCAGCCATCAGCACTAAGAACTCTCAGTGATGAAGAAGTTCAAGTCATCCAAAAGGTGGTTAAGCAAATCCACCATGCTAGCCTCCAGGACGAGGCCAATACGGAAGGAAGCTGGCTACGAAAGCAAATGCCTCGAGGATACGGACCGGTATTTGCCCTAACTTTGAATGAGGTACGCTTTGCTAGGAACCTTCCGTCCAAGTTGCTGCTATTCCATCATGCTACCAGCCTCGGAGGCGTGGAGAGTTTGATCGAGTGGAGGACAATGACCGACTCGACTGTGACAAAGAATTTTATGAGGATTAGCATTGGTGTAGAAAGCCCGGAAGATCTCTTTGCAGATTTGCTCCAAGGATTGAAAGCTGTTGCGGCTGAAACTAGCTAGGATTACTTCATTTTCCCTGAATAAACTCCTGACAGACGACCGCACGTTAACTACATTGCAATCCTATGTTCGGTGTGTGTAATGTGAGTTACAACAAAGGGGTCAACCCAACACAGTAAAAGATTCAAGTCCATACGCGACCCTTCAACAGCGTCATCATAGTCCAGAACTTCGTTTTATGAAGCAAGCCTGTGACAGCATATGTAGACGATGACGCTAAGAATGCCAACTATCGATAGATGTAGATACAACTGTAGAGCATGACTAAAATATGTGACACTTGAAATCAACTATTGACAAGATTAAACTGTTCGCTTGATCTCTTCTAGCTACAATATAGTATATAGATTACAGGTTTCCTACTTCCCATGTCCCAAAAAAGGGGCTGCCAGGGTGCTGAAACTGAAAAAACGGATCGTACGCCATATCCAAGGACATCGGCCAAGGCGCAGTGGGCGCAGTCTCGGTAACATGCGCATCAAGCTCCGGCCTGGGCGAAGTGGGAGCTGATGACTGCATAGGTTCAGGGCCCTGGTCGTCTTGTCCTGCTCTACCTCTTCGCTGGCCCGACTGTGGCGGCAACGCCTGTCCGTTGGAAAGATTCACTTCGATAGTGGGGTCGTGTAAATTCTCTATTTCGATAATGTCTTCCGCTTCGTCCATACTGTCTTCTCGAAAAAAGGAACTCTCATCGAAAAGACCACCCTGTTGAGGTAAGGTCGTCTTGCCCTTGTAAGCGGCAAAGTTGTAAAGAAGAATGTCCCACATCAAACGTGTGTTGATTGAAATGGTCCTTGGGGATGGACCCTCTTCCTCTCCCTTTTCATTTGGATTGTTCATTCCGATTGCCGACCGAACCAATGCTTGGAGCCTTTCTTGCTATTCAGAGATTAGTGTCTTGGACAAGGACTGATATGTGTGCTTCTAATACCCACCAACCATCGACATGAAGGCCAAAGCAATGCCAGGTCGCCTAAAAATGCGACGCACGTCGCGAGTCTGTCCAGCGCCGCCTCTCTGGTAGTCTTATCAGCAGCTCGGCAAAAGTAAATGTGAATGGTCGCTGCGATTGCCACGCAGTGGCCGATGAAAGGATCCGAGACACCGTACGCCTTGCTCGCGACCATATCTACGAGCCGTGCAACCCAAGTGCTGTGAATAAAAGCAAGTTCTGAGGACGTTTTCCAGAACGTGTTGGGGACGCCTAGTTGGGCCGACTGATGTGGCCGTGCCGAATATAAAAATGGATGGTTCAGCATGTTGTGTATGGTGTGATATGTGAATTGCAGATACAACCAGGGACTCCAGTATCCCCGGTTATTCCGGAGGTGCTGATTCTCCTGATCGGGGAAGCGTGCGAGGTCGAACCGATGGCAGGCCGGCAATATAGTCTCCAAATCCATAAGATGGGCGCCGATGACAGCGTACCCGGATTCAATGGACCATGGTGGTGGCACGCTGTTGGTCTGCTGAGCCCATTGCTTCACGTACGTCCGGACCTCTCCCCACAAGGTGGACAGCTGGATCATGTAAACCCATATTCCGCTTCTCTTCTGAGGACTAGGTGTTCCGCCGCGTTGAGTTGATATCTCTTCGCGAGGTATAGCTGGGGGGCCCTCGCTCAACTCCTTCCGCAGGTCTATGTGTGTCGCGACGTATTGCGGCTTGGAGATATCTTTCAAGATGTTGGTCGCGGAGGCCTGGTGCCCATACATCTGCTGTAGCAAGTGCAAGCTCCAAAACACTCTTCTCCGCGACTCTGCACGCAAGCCAAGGTCGGTAAGGGAACAAGTTTCGACGTCTAGATTGGCACATTTCGCAAGCGTCGTTGCCAAGCCCACGTGCAGACATGCCAAGTTTGAGTTGCTAGCTATACAGCTCGTTTAGCACCTAACTAGTCAGATTCAATGAAATTGGGACGACACTCACCCTGTATATTAGCAAGTGCTAGCATGCAGAGGTTCTGAATCGTCGATAGTGAAACCTTGCCCGCTCCAACGCGATGCATAGCTCTCTCTCTTGCAGCCTGTGCATAGGCCTGACTTAGTTCGACTAAGCGGCCTTCGAAGAAAGGGTGCTTCGAGTGACATGAAGAAACAGCTAGGAGGGAGAGAAGGGTCTCCTCACGACTTTCTTGGAGGGAAGAAAACTCTTCCCGGTCGAATAGCCAAAGAGGCTGCTTGTGACAATATTGAAAATAAGAATCCACGACATCCTCTAGGATATCCTTCGGGGGCAAAAGACTGTTAAAGGTCAATTAAGGACATACCCTAGCGAAACAAGAGTCTTGGACTTTCCTGATTGTTGAAGTACTGCCAATCTCAGTGCGAGGCGATGGTGGCAATTGCCAGTCTTGGGATTCGCGTGAATTTGCCGACCTCCTAGTTGCAGGAGTTTCCATATCGCTGCTTGGGCTACGAAAAAGCAACATCCAGGATTGTCAGTGGGATCTGGAGAAATATCTAAAATGACGAGAAGTTCTGGATCCTACTCTCGCCTTTCCATCATGCGTATCCTTGCTTCAAGTTGGGCCAGACGTCTCTCCTGTACAGCGCCATCTCGTGAGTTGCATACTTTTATGTGTCGTCTACACGGCTCAAAGCATACTGTGTCTATTGAACCACCCCCTTGTTGAGTCTCGGAGGTCACAGGTTCTCCTCGGCTCTCTGGGTATTTGCACGTCTTGGAAAGACGAGTGCAGCTTGAACATGCCGGTCTCTCCCCGGGACAGCGAGTTTTCTTCCTCCTGTTCATATTAGGTCAGCCAGAGTACCACTCATAGCGTGAATGTAGTCATCGAACATATCAAATTGCTCCGAGGAGAGTATAACTTACCGACAATTCTCGCACGCCTGGTGCAGGCGCTTATGCGAGCGGCTAAGCATGTCTGCTGGGAATAATAAAGACAAAATTGAGTCCTTGGCTGATGGAGAAAACCAATGTCCAACCTCACTATATGAAGAGGAGTATGCACTGTTACGTGTACTATTATATACATTCTCTATCAAATGCGGGGAGGGCAATGCTCCGAATGCGCTCACGCTACTGCAAGGGTCCGACCGGGAACTCCGACGAATGACCGCCAGATAACATGACTGTTGGTAATATATCGACCTTAACCAGATTAGTATATAGAAACATCTAAATATAACCTTACACATCTCATCTCTCAAAAAGTCCACGCCTTGATGTTTAGGTATCTTACTAGTAGTCTAGCTTATCTCCATGTAATTTGGGTAAAAAAGAAGGGGGGGCGGGGAGGTCACTCCATAACAGTAAAATCAATCAAGTCCATAGCCGATACTTCAACACAGTTTGCTTTATATCAGGCCTAGATGCCAAGTAATTCCTCTATTCTCACAGTGCAGTTTATGTACGGGAAAATTTAGGCGGTATAACAGGGACCGCCAAAGCGAACAACAGATTTAGTGTAAATAACAAATTTATTCCCTTACAGTTTACCACTCCATCTCAGCATTATCAGCCTTGCATGCTAATCCATCACAGAAGGCGTCATCGTCCTTGGTGAGCTTCGAATTCGCCAGGGGGCGACGAGCTGCCCAAATCTCCGTCTTCTCGTCTTCCTCTTTCTTACGATGCTCTGTCAAAAGCTGTCTCACCGTGTTTTGGAAGAAGAGTGGCGCATTCTCTAAATCTGGGTGCATTTCTCCATTGGTGAAGATGCCCGCCTCTAGGTTCTTCTGTACCTCATCGCACAAGTACTTGTCTTCTCCGAGAACGCGTTTAAAGAACGAGTCAACTTTCTCAAACTCCTCATCTGTTGCATCTTTGTGGCGATACACCTCATACTCCATGGAACATGTACCGACCGAGGTGGGCACGCATCGCATCATGTAGAAGAAATGAGGCCTAGAGAAAGGCATTAGAGACGCCAACACGTAGAGGGAAATGATTCAACTCACGAGACAGTCATGCAGGCATTAGGAAAATAATAGGTGCTGACAACTTTGACGTCGTCCTGCTCTTTCCCCTCCTTTGGACGCGAAAAGTGCTGAATATAGCCGGGTTTCGATACCGTGTAGTAAAATGATAAATCAGCCAGGTTCCTAACATCAGGATGTGCGACTTGGCAATGATAGCATTCATTGTAATTGTCGGCAAGTGTTTTCCAGTTGTATTTGCCCGGCATGCCCCAGACGTGGTCGAAATGGTATTGAGAAAAGTCAAAGTTCTTGAATCGTTGCTGGGTGTCGACTCCCTCAAAGTCGTCTCTCCATTTTACTTCGGGTTCTGGGGACGCGTCCAAGTTAACCCAGACGAAGCCCACGGCGTCAACGTGCACGTGGACTGGGAAAAGACTGTGGTTCTCCTTCTTAAAGGTCGGTACAGTGTCGAAACGAGGCGCTTTGGCGAGCTTTCCGTTGATACCGTATGACCAGCCGTGGTACTTGCAGGCGAATATCTTGGCGTTTCCAGAATCTTGGGTGACGACGGGGAAGGCCCTGTGCCGACAGATGTTATGGAAACCGTTGATGGTCTTCCCATCCTTGTCCATGCACAGCACAAAAGCATACCCGGCCTGTTCGAAACGGAAGTAATCTCCGGGCTCGTTGAAGCGCAATTTATGCGTGATAAGAAGCCACCGCTTGGAAAAGACGGCTCGTCGTTCTAGTTGATACAGCTCGTCCCTCCGATACCACGATGCTGGGAGCGCTCGAGGCTCCTCGTAGTCTGGTTTGCTGGGGATAATGGCGCTGACACTCGGCATGCCGACCATAGAACCAAGTTTTGAAAACATGTTGTGCTTTGGTATTATCAAGTTGGGCTAAGTTTGATTGGAGGAAGAGGTAGTGTGAGCGAGGTGCTGTTTTCTAGATAACAAGTCGTTGCTTTACAGCACTAGCAATTAATCAATGTAAACTAGACGTGAGGAGGGGAGCTTTGCTTTGTTTTCCAGTTATTCAAGGATGCCAACTTGCTGCTAGTGGGGGAATAGTTCAATAGTTCTTTAGTATTTGCATGGTCGGCCTCATTGTAAGCTTCCCCGACGCTCAAGACGGCCCCTTTCTCCTTCGCTCAATAGTCTGCCGTGTATTACGATCAGTCGCCACAAGTATGATTGGCCCAGTATTGTGAATATCTGCAGGCAACAACGTATGGTGGCATATTCGCCTGTCGCGTGATGCCATTCCATCCGGGGAATACTTGATCGATCGCTCCCCGAAGATCTCCGCGCCTCCTCCCCGTAGCTCTCTCCCCGGGGAGGTTCCGGTCACGTGATCCCCCACAGATCCAGACCGGCCTTCCGAAGTCGAACTAGATGCCCCATGACTCAATGAAACACCATTCCTTGATAATCAAGCTCTTCTGATTTGCTGATGTCATAAAATTGGACTCTGTGGATCTTCTCGTAATCTTTTGATTACATGGTCAAGTCAAATAGTGTATTCTGTTATCATGTTCCATGCACGTCGTCAGCCCGCCCGGGGACAGTGTTCTACCCTCACGGAGATAGTGGGGTTTGCCGCTCTTACATACACTACTGCGCGTTCGATGCACCGTATCTTGACAATTAGCTTCTTTCTCATTTGTAGACTAATGGATGAGAGGGGGTGGGTGAGACATCCTCTTATCGCTTCGTGTGGGGAGATCTAACTAGGCAACGGCCAATTTATGTTTCCCTTGTAGGATGCGGAGAGATAGATGTCATTGGCCGATTGGGAGACTGTGGGTCTTCCCCGCGCTGACTCGGTTACATTGAGTATCGTAAATGATATAGGCCGTGATTAGAGAAGAAGCTAGTGAGCTAGTCAGATATGGGAACTTGATAAAGGAGATCAGGCCCCAAGTCTGACCGAGAGTCTTTACTCTCACACCTTTTACGCCGTTCGATCTTTGAAAATATTTCCCTTTCGAATCTCGTGTGATTATCATGGAAAAATCTACCTCGAGATCTGCTGTCAATATGAATCAGCCCTCGGAAAAGCTTTCTGACCGAGAGCGGTCCGCCGGACTACGTGGTAGCGGCGATCGGCCTGCAGAATCTTCTAGTATCGAGATCGGAACCCCGGGCGATCAGATCTTCTCCATGAGTGAGATTGACCCGGTTCTTGATGCGAAGATGCGTCTTGTCAACGAGGTCTTGCGAGCTCCGACCCTTTCATTTCAGATCACTCGGACTAACTAATCCCTCAACAGACAATGGATGAGATCGGTTGGACCAACATGCACCTCAAGTTGTTCTTCCTCAACGGTTTCGGATACGCCGCTGATTCCCTCATCCTCGCGCTCCAAGCTGTGACTGCCAGCCAAGCTGCTCTGGAGTTCAGCCCCTCATTCCCGTATGCTCTCAATGTTTCCGTGTATACAGGAATGTTGATTGGAGTGTTATTCTGGGGACTAGGTAACACAAGTTTTGCCTTCAAGTACTGTAGTAAAGCTTTACTGACTTACACTTCTCCTCAGGTGCGGATGTCATAGGTCGCCGTTTTGCTTTCAACGTCTCCCTCTTCTCCTCCTCAATCTTTGCCATCGTGGCCGGAGCATCCCCCAATTGGATTGCTCTTGCTGTCTTTGTTGGTTTAGCTGCGTAGGTTGACAATCTCGATGCCGGAAACTTACTGCCCGGACTAACAACGGACCAATAGATTCTTCGCTGGCGGAAATCTTGTTCTGGACACCACCGTATTCCTCGAGTTTCTTCCGAGCAAGAAACAATGGCTGATCACGCTCATGGCATGCTGGTGGGGTCTGGCCTATGTGATTGTTGCAGCTTTCTGCTGGCCGATTTTCTCGAATCCAAAATACACTTGCGCAGACGCTGAGACTTGCACCAAAGAAAACAACATGGTGAGAACATATGGACATTACCCTTCTCTAGCGTTGAAATACTAAAATGGGTTCAAGGGCTGGCGATATGTTTGGTATGGAAACGGAGCTCTCGTCCTTGTCTGCAGCATTTTACGAGTCACAGTTATGCGACTCAAGGAGACCCCCAAGTATCACCTCACCAAAGGTAACGATGCTGCCGTCGTCGAAACTTTCCAGAGCATCGCGAATAAATATAACCGACCATGCAGTTTGACTGTTGAGAAATTGGAATCTCTTGGAGTCATCAATTCCACTTATGGTAACGCTAGATACGGCTTTGGCGAGTTCTGGGCGCATATCCGAGGATTGTTTGTAACCAAACAGCTCGCGATCTCGACCCTTATGATTTGGTTATCATGGATTCTAATTGGTATGACTATTGCTCCTTTGCTCTTCAAAATGATGTCGTCTCCAAAACTCATTGGCTCTAGGTCTGGCATACCCACTCTTCTACGTCTTTCTTCCGGATTATCTTGCCACACGCGGGGCTCAGACCGGAGAGTCAGGACCGTATTACCAGTGGAGAAACTACATGCTCAGCAGCATTGCTGGAGTTTTCGGGCCCGTAGCTGCTGGTTTCATGTGCAATCACAAAGTGCTTGGTCGCAAGTACACAATGGCAATCGGTGCCCTCATCACCATGGCCTTCTTCTTCGCCTACACCGCAGTACGGACTCCAGCGGAAAACGTTGGTTTGAGCTGCGCGATTTCTTTCTCGCTGAACATCTACTATGGCACTCGTAAGTTCTTCACTCTCAGATTAGCGTGAACAGGAAGATCACTACTAACAGGCGGTCTTAATAGTATATGCGTATACTCCAGAGGTTTGAAACAAGCAGAGATGAATTTCAGGAACAGCAACTGACAATGGCATAGTCACTACCATCGGCACACCGTGCGACAGGAAACGGAATAGCTGTAGCGGGCAACCGAGTCATGGGGTTGGTTTCCTCATTTGTGGCAGCCTACGGTAATACTTCGACATCCGTGCCAATCTATGTGTGCGCTACGCTCTACATTCTGATGGTAGGTTGCATTTCTACCAGGGGCCAAAGAAGTGCCACTAATCAATAGATTATAGGCTATTGTAGCAGTGCTGTTGCCGTTTGAGCCTTATGGCAAGCGAGCAATGTAGACAGCGGTGTTTCAACAATGTTGATAAGCCCGCTTTCGCCTCACAAGGCACGGCGGGACTTGGATAGGATGAGGAGAGAGTAGAACCTGTGAACGGTCCCCGAATGTGATGACTGGTGTATGATTGTGTTGACTGCTGTTTGATGTTTGTTGTATGTCGGTTGCCCTAGGCACACACATCACCCTTTGCAACGGCCTGGGCGGGTCAGCTCTGGCAATACGTGACTGCAACTAGTGATGCTTCTACATAGTTAACCTATTCTCGTTGATATGTTCCTTGAATGGTGATCATCATATATACCCCAACAAAAATAGCACGATGCGTTCGTGATGGTTTTCCCCGAGGATTGAACTGAAATACAGATGTTCAGGTAGAGGTAGAAGAAGGATCTATCACTCAGTATGGTTGAAAGTTCGAGACAGTTCAGCTGACTAGCAACAACAACTCTCAATTGACTTGCAATTCCTAGAATGGAATTCTCGGGAGGGGTGAGTCGGCGGATATGGGGAAGTTATTCATGTATATTGAGCTATATATGGAGCTACTAAAGATTACTTCGAACGGGTGACTGTTGGACACCAAACTTGGAGAGATCTTCCGTTGTTTGTCCATCAATAGCCAATTCAGCCATAACACGGCCAACGACCGGTGCAAATTTGAATCCATGACCGGCTCCCAAGGCAACAAGAATGTCGGGATGATTGCTTAACGCACTGAGTATAAATTGTCGGTTCGGAGTGACTGCGTACTGGCAGGTCACAGTTCGGAGAGCTTCAAATTTGTGATCCTTTGAGATGAAGCCCTTCATGAAATTGGTTAACTCGTCCAAGAGTTTCGGAGAAGGGACGTAGGACCGATCTTCCGGGGTCATGAAGTTATCTGACAGATCGCGAGCAGCCTTGATAGTGGGCTCGCCAAAAGTCGGAAATCCGTAGAATGTCTTTCCGTCAATAACCTGGAGCCAGACCGGGAACTGGCCGGGGTCGAAGGATGATGGATTCTCCGGCTTGAAATATGTCACTTGTTCTTGCATGACCGTGAGCGGAATCTGTGCACCGAGAGGGGCGAGTAGTTTATTGACCCAGGCGTCTGCAGCGAGAATGACCTTGCTTGCCTGGAAATCGCCTTTGTTTGTCTTCACAATGACTCCTTTGTTTTGTGAAACAGGCACTACTGCGGTGACGGGCGTGTTTTCTTTGAGAACGGCGCCGCGAGCGCGAGCCACGAATTGCATAGCCATGACCGTCTTGGCTGCGTGCGCCATGCCAGTGTCGGCGGTGTACACCGCTGCGGTACCGTCGTCAATGTCGATCTGCGGCCATCGCTTCCTCGCCTCTTTGGCACTGAGAAGCTCGTACGGCACGTTATTGACATCTAGACTCGCTGTATAATCCGTGAGCTTGACGCCAGAAGTCCAGGCACGGTCAGTTGGGAGCACAACAATGCCGCCAGTTACGGTTAAGAGTTTGACACCTGCATCCTTCTCCAGCTCAGCCCAGTCTTTGTATGCAGCCTTGGCGAGCGAGACATATTCTGGAGCGTCGTATGCTGTCCGGACAATACGAGACGTGTCATGAGATGCGCCACGGACGTGTCCAAACTCGTACTGTTCAAATGCCACGACTTTTGCCCCTTTTCGCGCAGCTTGCCATGCTGCTGCGCTTCCGAATACTCCCAGGCCGACTATGGCCACATCAAACTTTTCCATTGTGCTGTTCGTGGTGGTGCTGTCGTAATACTGGTGTCTGATGTCCCCCACCTAAGAACAATCAAAGAATGGAAGAACGTTTTAAGTGCATGTTGAACAACAGAACCCCCGACTAAGAATACCGCCTTTGGAGAGCGTAGTGCTCGTCGACTTGTGGAGACCTGCCTCGAAGTGTTGAGGGAGCCGTGGAATTGACCGACGGTCGGGGAGCGCACTCCCCGGCCGACCGCCGTACCCCTGTTGACTCCATTTTTGGCGGCACGCCGTTGCATCTTCTTCCCCAGACTCCATTTTGTAGAGTGTTCGCTTCCCGAGGGCGCCTATGGTTGAGAAAGGCAACAAGAAAACATGGCGCACCAAACTAGAATTGCAGCTTCCAGCTCAATAAGTCATGCCACACAATATATCCCGGCTCCAAGTATTTCTTGCATAAAACAATAACAACTCATTTAAGTAACCAACACAGCTTGACCCATATTTAATGCTGGAACGCATACTAATCAAAGTTACTCAACGACGGCTGTCAAGCAAAGAGTTTTAATACGTAAGAGAAAGAGAATAAATTTCAACATCAATGGAAGCTACCAGGGCACGACGTGTCCTTGTCTCTACATATCTCGGAAGGGAGCGGGCGCAGCGCAATGAACCGCCAATGGCGAGAGCCGCTGAATGGTGCTCGTGGGATGAGTATGCTGCCTTATGTATGGCATAGACTTTGTGGACTGGCAGGAGGTATCACGTTCCATATTATTCCACTGCCGCTGCAGCAGAAAGGACTTCTACGGTATTCAGCATAGTCAATGGTAATGTGACGTGGGTTGAATTCGGAGACCATGATCACCTGGTCGTTGATCAGCGTGGCCACGACTTTTATATTAGAGGCGAAGCATCGAGTTTCATGCAGACTAGTGATACGTAATTACTGCCTAACACCATTGTTAAAAAAATCACCTACGGAGACGATGGGGTCACTGTAACCAACACGGAATGGATCCTGCATCCAAGCTGACTATGCCGTCGTAACGTTCTCTCTCAACGTCCTCCAGCACGACGACGCAGTTGTTTTCAAGCCTGAGCGTCCGGGCTGGAAGAGGTTGCCCTCGAAAAATTCCAAGTAGTCAAGGACAAAAAGGTTTTTATCAATTGCACAAAAGTTTTAGCCAAGCGGCATAACCGATTTCCTCAGTGCGTGCATGAAAAAGAAAGTCCGTTCAATTTCCGATGTAACACAGTCGGGATCAAGCAGGAGTTTCTCGGAGTGAATTCTTCTGATCGCGGGTCTAAAGGCTTAAGCGCTTCCACACTTTTCTCGTATGCGGGACATATATCATCGTTGGAGATTGACGTAGATTCCAGAGCCTTCTGGTTTGAAATTCTCCTTGACTGCTCTGAGGAGGGAATGATCTTGATGGATCTCGAAGGCATTGATCCGTTATGCAGCATTGTGCATCAGTTTTGCCATAAGTATTGCTGAGGAGGTCTATTCATTGTGGTGAGTTGTCGGGCCCCGACAGCTTCCATTGCTTTTTAACTTTATTCTCTTTCTCTTAAGTATTGCTGAGTAGAACTTAGGGTTCCACTTGAAGTAGTCATTAGCATTGTCCAGTATTAGGATAGCATTGTAGAATGCGCCGAGGCCGAATTATTCAAATTTCATCTTGAGTCGGTATGTGTGTGTAGGGTAGGCCAATTGCAGCCGCTGTTTTTGATGGAAAGAATGTTCTTTAAATTTGGACCCAGCTCTAATTGCGATATGACCGAAGATATATGGTGAGATTTAGTCTTTATCCGCCCAGCGGTGAAGTGTTTGTCGCTGCCTTCTTTGTGGTCGTGGTGGTTTCTTTGGAGATATTTTCGCTAGTTGAAGTATGTCAACCCACGATCCGGCGACCGGATTTGGAATTTTTTAAATCCATTGTGTATTATATGCCCTCCTGGTGAAGCAGCTTCTGGGCTTGTACATTCAGCCAAAGCATCTCCCCGTCCAGGCTGAGCTTTATACATCCTACTCCGAAGAGAAATAAGTAGTTATTAAATATATTTATATAGAGGAAAATGGTGGCTATTTATATACAGGTAAATCAGTAACTACATATATATAGATAGATTAGAAGGATAAATTGTATCCCTGGGCGTAGCAATTGATCTGTTCTAATCAACCTTAGTAGAAAAAGGAGATATAGACAGGTAATGTCTTAGTCAGTTATACCCTAGGTATAATAAATTTGGACTGTCCACTCATTCACTTAAACATACAGCCAGTGCCGGCCATCCTTTCTGCTATGCTTCTTGTCGGTCGAAGAGATAGAATGCTTTCTAGTAGAAAATGAACCAGAGTTATCATCACGACGTACTGGTGTGAAGACACAATTCTGTTTCAGTCTTTCGCAATTTGCACATTTCCCAGACCTTCCAGCGCCACCGCACCGAATCTAGAGAGTATTAGATAATAGAATCTGGGATGGGACGACAAGTTAACTCACATTCCTCCTCTTACAGTACTGGCATGAAACTGCCCCACGAGGATGAATGTCCCGCGTAGAAACCCCCTCATCACGAGTGTTCAACCCCAAGTAGGCATGCTCATTGCTAATGTCTCTAATATCATTATAGCCGAATCGTTCGTTGTGAATCTCCCGAGGAGAATGCTCGTCAACCTGACGAGACGGAGGGCTATAGTGAGAGCTAGCCAGGCAGGCAAACCCAAGGACAGTAATAAGAGTCCTAAATGACAGAAGCATTTTGTAAGAGATGATAATGAAAATAAGGGCTTTTGGTTCCAATTTGATGTAGAAAAAGAAAGTCAGAGAATATATAGGCTAAATGCTGAATAGAGTAGTAGAATAGATGGCTCAAAGAAGGGAGAACTTGGAGCTCTTATAGAGTGCATTCTTAATAAGTGATATAATAAGCCTAGCACCTTATCCCTAAAAGAATCAAAATAGATTAATGGTGAGACCCCTACACTCCTCTGTCCCGGTCTGTTGGCTTTAATTACTATATGCTTGCGTTTTTAGGAAGGTCTAGTGATTATCGGCATTAGGAGGAATGCCGTCCCTAAGCGTTCTACATATTATTAATGCATAACTCACGTTATGCTCCAGACCATGGGATTAGGAGGTACACAGCAAAGAACATAGATAATATATCTTTGTCTAACGGCTGGAGCTAGCAGGAATTCTTTTTTAGTTATAAAAGAAGATAAAAAGAGTATAATACTCTTCTAATTGTCTAAGTCGCTAGCTAGATATATAAATAGAGTAGTAGAAGCCTTCTTATAGTGACAAAGAAGGCGAGAATAAAAGGAGAATTACCATTAGTGGAAAAGAATTTACTTGCTGGTTACAATATATAGACCTAGGATTTCTTTTTCCCGTGCTACAAATGAAACAATTTACCATGGAGATTTAGTCATGGAGAATGAATAAATATGTAATCATGTTTCTCACCTTATTAACTCCGATTTAAACACGCCACTAACAGGGCCTATCAGCTATATAGGTAGCAAATACGACAAGTTAGAAGCCGCTTACTAAAGCCATCACACAGCCATTAAAGCCCCATGCTTAAGAGTCCTTGACATCAGGGGGGGGAGGAGTGGTTCGCTGCGTGCATGCCAGTGCAAGTGCTCTCTTCAAGGGGCTCCTAGTGCTTACTGGGTTGGTATCTTCGAGCTTGTCCCATAGGATAAAAAAGCTTCAAGTGTAGAACTCCAGCCAGGCAGACAGCACTCTAGTTGGAGCTGAATTCCCTAGCGAGCATATTGTCAAGCATCATTTATTTCTGGGGTTGACATTAAAATAAGGTCAACCCCTTGAAGCATCATGCTATAATTTCAATGCCGCATGATCATGTGAAATTCGGTCAAACCCATCTTATTATCCTGGAGTTACAGGGGTTATATTGATCCTTCATCATCGACAGTTGTTAGATGAATACCGGTTTCAACAGGGGGAGAACAGGCTTGCGTCATGCAGAATAAGCAATCTTAGCAGCTTCATACTCGGTTCGGATGCGACGGACAGAAAATTAAGATTGGGTAGGAATGCATTTGAGCAAACCAGGTTGCCGTGGGAAGCCTCGCGGGATCGTCGGCCGCAAAGGTGGTCTGAGAAACGATAGGCTTCCATTCTGGATTACGGGTAGTAGCTTAAGATGCTAGGCTGATTAACGTGAGACGGCCCAGCCGGTCATAGGACTTCCTTGTCCTCTTATTGTTAGCATATTGACTCACTAAGACCTGACTGTGGTGATTGTAAAGGTCTTAACACTCGTTTCAACCTCAGTATAGCTGTGCCATAAAACTTCTGCCCTGTATTATCTGTAGAGCTGCCTGCTCTTAGCAATGCAATTCCCTCGATTATCGTAATTTGAAAAGGTTGTGATGCTAGATTGATCCATCAGCTTCTAGATTTGACCATAGAGATTGAAATCCCTAGTAGTTGGATGTTTCTTACCGTAGGTTAGTGACCTAGTCAATCGATTCGGCTGAAGCTTGGTAGTAACCCATGTCTCTGTTTCTCTTCGAAGTTCATCGTAGATAAATAACTCAACGGTGCTACGTCGGTCCTATGAAATTAGAGTTTCCCTAATAGTCTGCGAAATTAAAGTAGTTACCACCGTTTATATTACCTTGGTATATATATTGGTTGAGCAAATTGAATCGCTGAGACACGATAGCACGCCCCTGCGCCTTCTGTGTCCCTCCAGGCATGACCTTGAGGAGTAAGGTAAGTGATAACAGGGGCGATTGGGTACTGCCTGGACTTCTCTGCTGCTAGGCGCTGGGACTCGTCGCCTTTCTTTTGGATCCCTAACTAAGATTTCCATTGCACATTGCTTAAAAGACTAGCCACAAACCTTCCAATATCATGGTCCTGAGAAGGATCAGAGATGTAGATGGTATCACTTATATCATGATGGCTTGCGCTTCATAGCGAATAAACAGTCTTGCTCTAAGTGGTATTTGCAAAAGTTGTAACTACTTCTTATTATATGATATTATAACTTGATATTTGAATAGGCATATCTAGATTTGACAGCGGTCTTGGCAAATGACTGTCGGTGTAGAACGCTGGGCAGGTCTGAACAACTTTATTATAGGTGTTTTTCAGAATACAGCTTTCGTGGCGCTTTTTAGAACCTCGCTCACCATGGTAGTCGAATGTCTGATATGAATGAGATTGGCCATCGGGATATAGAATCGATAAGCTTATCAGACTCGTCAGTAATCCCCAAACTGTCGCGTATAATCGAAGCTACCACTGTAGTGTGAAATTTATTGGGTGCTGTACTATGGCGGTGGCGATGTTCGAGGTCATATATGACGCGCTCGTCTGCTGAACCCAGGAGCTGCTTACTGAGAGCTACTGTGGGTTGATTGAAAAGGCTATTAATGAGATCCTGGTGTAGAGTTGGATTTAGTCCTTGTATAGTGATACCCGTGCTTTGATTAAGTTTGCGGAGAATTGCTGTTCCAATACTGTGTCCCAATGGATCCAAAAGACATTCATGTATATTCGAGTTCTCATCGAAGATGGTGACCGGTTTTAGTTTCATGTAGTTGTTCTTCATTGTGTTGAGTCGTTGGGCTCTGGCAGCTTCCATTGCTGTTAAACTTTATTCTCTTTCTCTCACGCAGCTGTTCTTCTAAGACACTTTACTACTAAGCGCATTTATCACGCTTGTTTTTCGCAAGAAGTATTCATCAAACTTGACTGTAGACTGATTGCTAAACGGATCGGTGCTCAAGCTCGGCATCAAGAACACTGACTGCGTAGCGCCAAGTTCGGCAGTGCTGTTTCGTAGCAACGTCGGAAGCTTTGGGTTGCAGATTGTGCCCAAAGATACACGGACGAGTGCAGGTCAATGTACCCACATTGCTTGACCATCTGTGAGAGTTCCACCTGGTCCCCGAATTTACCTGTTTGCTGAATCATATCTTCAATCATTGCAGCCGTAAAGGCGGGAGTAAAAATTTGATGCGCAGTTGAAAAGGTCTCAACCGCCTCAAAGGGTGATACTTGTGTTGAATCAGAGCTTCGGTAATAGACCCGAGTTTCATGCAATGTCTTATCACGTAGCTTGTTTTCATACAGTTCTGTGTGACACAGCAATAATTTACGGAAGTTGAAGTTATCGCTGATTGAATTAGTATATTCGGTAGGCTCCACCTCCACGACAGTTAACAAGTCTATGGCTCCTCCGCATAGCTAGCAGCGTGTGAGCCATAGGATCTGCTCTAATACGTGCTCGTCGATGCTTTTTGCGCGTCACCGCATTCGTTGGTACTTGAAACCGTGTTGTGGACAATATATGGATCTCTTGTTTGCATCTCGATGGCTGTTGTCAATGCCTCACTTGGCAAGGCCTTAACAATCCCATGGGTGGTTTGCTCTTTTTTAAGCTGAATGCTTTGAGTGACAACATACGGAACACCTTCAGAGGTACAATCATGGGTTTCAGATCGCAACACCTTTCCACGCAAAGACCGCTTAGCTTCGTGAATATTGACTATATACTCCAACTGAGGTACGGAGATGCCTACAGTGTGTTGAACCACTGTCAGTGTGAGGTTTGGTTCACGCCCGTCCGCTTCAAAGTCAATATCGATATGTATGTAAAGAATATTTCAGTCAAGGTTCGCGAGGAGCGGCCGGTTGACATTAACCCGAGCCAAACGTTAACCAACATCTCGTTCAATGGAGTCGGAGGCTTATCGCAGACACTGACCTCGTTGTACACATCTCTTCTTGGCGACTCCTTCATGCGGAACATCCACAGCCTTCGAAATCAGAACAAACAGGAGAAGATCACCGATGAAGACGTCATCCAAGCTCTCGAAGAGGGTTTGGAGCTGCTAATTGATCATTTCCTCGAGGGTAGTGGAGCCGCGCAAGTGATGTTGCTGACCAAGATCAAAACTATACCTGGTTCTATTACTAACAATTTGTTCCATATCAGTCAGCTCCAGTCAGCACTCGTACTTTTGGGTATAGTTTCTGTCATTGCCGTTGTGGTGGTGTGGATATTTAGCAAGTATTGCCTCTGGAGCAGGATCGGGCATGAACCAGACACTGATTTCTTGGGTTTTAAGTCGGTATCCTTGGGTGTATCGAGGGGCTTTGGCTCCACTTGCAAGCCGTGAAGGAGTGGAAGGGGCAATTAGACAACGAAAAAGCTAGGAGGCTGGAGATGAGGGTCGCGGGGGAGGATTCAAGATAAATAAGAGGCACTGGGAAACTAGATGGAAACGAGGAATGACGTGATAGGATAGTTCCAAATAACGAGGCAGATTCGTTTCTAGGAGTCTCTCGTTAACATTCGGTGGATAGAGGTTATATTAGAAGATAAAACTAGCTTAATAAGTCTATGTTTCATTAATGAGTGTGCGACTTTTCACTATCTTAATACTAAAACGTAGTATTTCACTCTTTATAGATATTAAAACAGCCTCCATGTGAAATATATATATAGTTTGATCTTCGCACTGCCTAGATAATAGTAATAGATATAAGTTGACCTAAGGCCTGTCGTTTGTTATTTGCAGTCTTGGCCGGTACATTATGTTCCCGCTTTTCCTTTACTGGCTGACTCGTTACGTCCTCGGGGCGAGGGCGTGCTAAGCCACGCTCAGCAGATATTAGTGCCTCCCCGATCGAGTTGCCTACTTCTGTTTGGGAAATCTTCAGGTCTTGTAAATGTAAAGTGGCATTATCAGCTATTACTTCTTCATTTTTTTGCCTCAGTTGTTGTGCGGAAGCTTCATTGGGGTCCCTCGTATTTGAATCCATCACAGAAAGAGCTTGCACTTCTTCAAGAATCGCTTCTCCCCACTTACTGTGAAACCAAGATTTGGGGTTTCCCTCGTTGATGGTAAGATCCATACTTTCATCGGGAAGGGGTTTCCATTCGCCGTACATGGCACCATGGATGTAACAATCACCCTGGAATATGAATGTGTTTGTTGTATTTGGCTCTGGCATCAACACGTACGGAACAGGTCCACGGTGCAGGATCCAGATTTCGGCATCAGTATCCGGGCTCGCCAGCATGGTATCCAGTACGTCGATAGAACACAAGCCCAGATATCCACTTTCCGTCAGAAAAGCTAGGCGGTTGTGAAATGTTGTTCGGAAACGCTGCGCTAGGTCACTCCACGAGGCCAGGTGATATGTCGCTTTAAATCTAGGAATAGCGGCACAAACGCGGTCAAAGAAGTTAAGCCATGATGTATCGTCTTTGAGCGAATGTTGCTCAGAACTAAAGGCATGCCAAGCTGGATGGTTTTGAATCTCATCAATTGTGGCCTGAATAGCCTCGAGAGACGGTGCCGGATTTCCTGCATCCCAGCTGCCTGCCTCACGCGCTCTGCAGATCAGATGCTGACTATCAGTCCACCACTCCTCTTGCGTTCTAGGTAGGAATGTATTTTTCCTCGGATGGTCAGGTTGGCTTGGCAGTAAGCAACCCAGGGAAAATCGTGCCTCCAGCCAACTCGCAAATTCTTGACCCCAGGCTTCGTCAATGGGGGCCACGTCGGTGCTGTGATCCCAGACCAGTGTTTCTCGAATCGCTTCTAGGCTTGATTGAGATGTTTGCGCGTAACGACTAGGCATTCTGAGAACCATCTCCAAGTATGTCTCGTGCAGGCTGTTTAAACCGCAGACACAACGAGGACGAAAATGGGTGACTCTTGCGCCGTCAACGACAAGTTTGTTGCCATCAATTACCAACTCGTTCTTGGCATCAGGTGCAAGGGCCTGGCCGGCATTGAAAATCCGGTGGCCGAATGGACTGTCGCCATATGTTTGACATACCGTAGTACTGCGCAGCACTGAGGAAAAGTCGGCAGCCCACGAGGGCAGATCATTCACCTTCTTCGACGACGGTGGCCCAGCAAAGGACATGAAGCGAGGACTGCCAGCTTGGCAGATTAATTGATATGACATCCACCTATATGCCTTGCTAGCATCCAAGCCGCTTGGCTCTAGAAAGAGCGAATCAGGGATTTGGGGCGGTCGCAGTAGACTTGCAATGCCAAGAGTCGCGTTGATCTTGTCTTCTTGAAAGCCACATTGACGCGAACGGAGTTCGACACATACTTCAGTCCAAAGGGACAGCCAAGCAGCGTGTGGCAGTCCGGAGACTTCTGTACTACTTTCGCTCTTAGACTCAGAGGAGGACGGTGCGACGGCTTGTAGTATATTATCGCGGGTTCTAACAAGGCCCATGAGGAACTTGCACGGGTTGTCTTCTGACCAGCCAGAATATCGAACTGTCAGAATGCTGCGCCAGCCAGTATGGTGCATTGTGTTGCACATACCGCCTATATGCTCGAGTGCGATGTTATTGAACTCAATTCCACAGACGAGGATGAGCTTCTTTGCTAGGATGGTTTCCTGGTATGTCCAGGCACGTCGAAACCATCTCCTCTCGTCCAGAAACCGCCAATAAGACTCCCAAATAGCAGACCAGCTCCCTCCAGGCGGTGTGAGAGATGGCAAGCGTGTTGCCCAAAACTCGGGATCGGTCGGGTCAGTATCTGCTCTGAGTGCCACAATGCCTGACTCAATAGCATCCCACAGAGCTGGCAGCATTACGTGGTGCAGCCAGCTGAACTCGTTCCAGTGGCTTGTGCTCTGCCCCAGCCATGCGACAACCATATTTGCCTTGAAGTAAAGCTGTCCCATGAGTGGTATCTGTATTTTTTTCTCCTCGGCGTTGGCTTGGTCTATGCAAAGGGCATCGATCCAAACTTCATGGTTTAGGGTCGCTCCCCGCATCTCGTGTCTGGCGACCACAGCTCTGAGGTATGATGCTGCATTGCTACCGATTGGCAATGAGCTGACGAGCAAAACTTGCTCAAGGCCTTCAGCAGTGAGATTGAATGCGGAATCGCAAATCAGGACCTGCCAAGGCTTTTCGTCCGTGTCCTCTTCTTCCCCATCAACTGCGGCTCCCCAAGTGTACGAGAGTGCCTCGTAGGGTGGTATCTCTGCAGCGGCGAGGTCGACGCGCATGAAGGTTCCTACTAGAGACCTAGTCTTTGCATCGCATCCTATTAGACGGAACATCCGGATAGAAGTTGGAGTTTCTAGAGGAGAGTATTGGTAGACAGGCGCATCATCGTACGCGTCAGCCGTCAGACTTCCCGCCGCATCTGTATCAGTAACGCTCAACTGCGGAGATGGCTGGCACAGTTGCCCTGTCTGTGTGAACCGATCCAACCACGCCGGGACAAGAACGCTGCGAAATCCGACAGGGAAAATGGGTGTCAAAGCGTCCCCCATTCTCATATACCCAAATGTTAAGTGCTGGGCATCTAGGCTCTCGTATGGGACCGGGATGTGGAATCCAGTATCCATAGTGCTGATTGGGAACAGAGTGCGTTCTCGATTTCCTTTTCTATACAATCAGCAGGCGAGAAATCTCAATGGGCGAAAGGCTATTGCTGGAATGAGGAAAGCTTCTCCTGCACATTTTTTACTATTATTGAGGGGACTGCGAGAAGACTCTAGGCAGCAGGTATGCAAAGGTGGTGTCATGTGCCACGCTCTTGATTTCCATTGGCTCTGATGAACCTCATGCTGACAACACATTCAAGACGACTCGATGACTCAGCTGTGGTGTATTCTGGAAACGAGTAAAATGGTGGTTTTAGAGATGGTGGCCTCTGTGATAATTCTAGGATGCTTAGAGTACTTATTCTTGCAGTCCCCCAAGTTAATGATATATGGAGTATATCTACTAGGAAGGAATCGCGAGCATGATAAAGTACATGTAATTTGGGCCTCCTGACGAAGGCGATGCGGTTTATGTAGAACTAGTTTAAAGCAATACTATGAATAAGGATCCGCTAAAGTATTCTCATTAATTCCCGCTAATGAATTAAAGCTTTATCTAATTTAATAAACACAGCTCTAACCTATAGTATTAACTCTACCCTATATATTACATATAGCTCTATTCTCTAGAATAATATTATTTAATATAGTAATTCTCTTATGGTTCCTAGTAGAATCTATTAAAATTTAATAAGTGAGTTTTTATATTATTAAAAGATAAGAGATACAATCTATTATTAATTAATAAGCTTAAGGTAATATACTGTGGGGCCGTTATCAACTTTTATTAACTTCCTATAGTAAAATAACGAAAATGTTTACGACTACCCTGTAGCATGAGACTACACCTGCCGGACGCTACAGACATCACCTGACCTTCCCCACATTTTAAGAGACACTCCAGCTTTGACACAGGGTTTCTCCTCGATCCATCGACCTGCAGACATTGAGACTCATTGGTTCTGCGGCATAAGATTCACCAGAACCTCGCTCGGCGATGCAATCATCTTGCAAGATTCTGATCACCTGACTGCGACTACTATGCCTGTTGATGAGGGTCTCGGCGACACGAATGGAGATTTCTCCCAAAACAGGACACGAAAGCGTCGGATCGAAAACCGTGCCGAGTCAAGCTATCCACGGAAGCGAGCTTCTCAGGCTTGCTTCGTGTGTCGTGCTCGGTCCGTCCCCAACTTTAGCTTCACTGGTCGACCGTGCTGACTGTCACCTCCAGCAAGTCACGATGTGACAATGAGCGCCCCAAGTGTGGCTTCTGTAGGGAGAGTGGTAACAAGTGCGGCTATCCCGGCACGGAATTGGCAAAGTGTGTACATCCTGAGTGTGTTGTCTCCGTGATGCGGACTCTGATATGCTCTGTAGGATTGACACGGCCTCCTTGCTGATTCTTGACCGTATTGCGCGATCCGAATCGAGGCTCTCGGCGCAGATAGCAAGTCTCCAAGGCGGTACACCTGCCACCATGTTGGAGAATTCTCTCGTGGAAGCGCCTGCCAGTGTATCATCACCACGTTCCAAGGAGTGTTCCCATTTTATCCATCCGCGCTATGGGCATAGCGGCATCAATGGCGATAGCATCATGACCTGGCCCGTCATTCTTGACGTGTTGCAGGCCCTGCCCGAGGTGGGGAAATGGAGGGCAGAACCATCTAATAACAGACTAGACTGCAAACCACGACATGAGCCGAGTCCCAGTATCATGTTGGAGATCAAATCAAGAACCTCAGCCGACCTCAGCAGCTACGACCGTGAGCGGCAACACCAGACGGGCGCCACGTCTATTTCCCACCCAGACAGCCTGGATCCAGAGCGGGAGCCGATACTGATCGAGAGCTACTTCGCCCAAGTGCACAGCAAATCGCCCATTTTTGATTCCGGCTGGTTCAACAGCGTCCGCATCCAGGTCTTACAACAGAGATGGCAACCTTGCCACTACGCCGGCCCTAGCTCCAGCTGCGGACTGTGTCCAACGAGAATATGTATTTATCTCCTTGTCTTGGCTCTCGGCCACGTAACAGTGAGCGAGGAGAAACTTATCCCCGGCAAGCCGTTGACACCGTCTCGCTACTTCGATTTCGCTCTGTCTTGGTTGGGGCCGACTTTGTATCACCAGACCGGTCCCTTGTGCCCCCGAGAGATTAATGACGGCGACGGGGAAGACATGCGGGAGTGGATAGAGAAGATCCAGTGCTTGCTTCTCGCGGGCACACATTTCATGTGGTATATGCGCCCATGGGACGCCCGGAAAGTCTTCAGCGAAGCAGCAATGCTAGCTAAAACGATCATGCATCTGTAAGCAACCATTCCTGCTACCTTCTCCGTCTCGTCCCCCTAGAACGTGATCTCCGTTGTCACAACACGTAGTTCTTCCCCGTCTGATACAGTAGCTTACCCAATACTTCTAGCGAGCATTGGTCAGATACGCCGGGATCACACATCACCGACCTCCGCTTCCGCGTATGCTGTGCAACTGCTAAAGCAGAAAGCGAGATTCAAGAGGAGATCATGGGATTCGGGCCCTGTGGCATGTCAATACTTAGTTTCGCAGACCTAGAGAACCTACCCAAACCGCCACCAGATGCCGCATTGAACGGGCAAGGCAACGACTCTGTCAAATCCCAGACTTGGTTCTATTACCTGGCAGAAGTAGCTAGCTGGAAGCTCCTTGACCGTGTTTCCAAGGAGCTCTATCAAGGTAGGTACTGGTTCTTTTTATCATGATAGATGTCAGCTTATGACCAACCTACAGATATCCCACCATCCCCATCGTTGGCAGACTTGGTTGGCCTCTACCCCATAGCCAGGGAGCTTGAAGTCCAAATCCAAGAATGGTAGGTTCCTTGGCCTCTTGAACCTTCTGGTTACAAACGCTGATCCCCTTCAGGGCGTCGTCCTTACCAATGCACATCTTTACCAACCTCTCAATGTTCCCCAACGACATACTCAACAGAGAACTGTCCCATCATCTTGCAAACCGGCATTTTCACGCCCGAATCACCACGTTCCGGCCGTTCCTTCAGGCTATTGTTCTCCATAGCCCGGCGACAGTAGGCAGCAAGGACGCCTATGCGATGGTGTCAAATGGCGCTCTAAAGTGCGTGTTCGCGTGCATAGAGTTCATCGAGGCTCAAACCTCCCCAAGGAGGCACTTTGGCAGCTGGCGATGCGGCAGGGGCATCTGGGCGGCGGGTCTGAGCGTCCTCGCCGCTGTTCTAGTCCCTGACCTCAAATCCACTATGGGGTGCCTGTCTCCGCTTTCTGGATTGAAGGATGCTGTAGGGGGTGAGACGGCAGCGGGACAGTTGCTGGGCAGAGCGGAAGCAGCACTAGGGATGGCTGCTGGCTGGCTTTCGGCATGGGAAGAAGAGAGTCCCAGCCTGAGACTGGCGGCCATCACTCTCTGGACAGGGCTTAAAGAGGCTCGGGAAAGAGGATTATTCAACCATAATATCGAGTCGTAGTAATTCAGACGTGTAATTATTTAGTTTTGGAGCGGACAACATGTAAGAGCTGACAGAGAAATAGGCATGTGTTGCGCACCAGGAAACAAAAGCTCCACTCGCCCACCAACAAGGTCTACTTTCCCAAGGTGTTCATGTTAGTTAATGTTTAATGTATTTCTACTCGTCTATTATCTATCCTTCTAGGCCGACCAGTGGAATGTCTTATCCACCGTAATTGAAACACGCTCACCAGTCTCGATCCAGTCACCGACACCTGCGCTGCCGGCGAAGAGCACCGTGTACTCGCCAGCCTCCACCTTCCAGCTATGAGTTTCAACATCCCAGAAGCTGAATGCCTCTTTCGAGAGTTGAAGCTGCACCGTCTGCTCCTCACCCGAGGCAAGCCGTTGCGTCTTTGCGAATGCCCTCAGCTCTACGATCGGTCGCTCGACTGAGCCTTGTGGGGGCTGAACGTACAGCTGCACCACCTCAGCTGCTTCGACGTCGCCCGTATTCTTGACAGGAACTGATAAAGCGACGCTGATATCATCGTCGCCGTGGATGAGCTCCTGCTTAATGGCTCCATAAGAGAACTCTGAGTACGAAAGCCCGTGTCCGAAAGCAAACAGCGGATTGTACCAATCCCGATTGCCACCGAAAGCACGGTAACCCACAGCCCAGCTCTCCTGGTAAACAATGCGCTTCTGGACACCTTTATCTCCCTCAGTCTTGCCGGTAAGATCCCCAGTGCACGTGCCCTCCATGGAGCGAGGGATGGTGGTGGGCAGCCTCGCGCTTGGGGACACACGGCCAGTGAGCACGTCTGAGATGGCGCTGCCGTACTCTTGGCCGGGGAACCAAGCTTGGATCACAGCGTCAACCTCATCAATCCAAGGTGTGCAGTCAACCGCGGACCCCGCGTTGACAACAACGATGGTCGGGCCGGGCGAGGCTTTCGCAACCGCACGGATGAGGTCATTCTGCCGCAACGGGAGGGAGTAGGAGACACGGTCGAAGCCTTCAGACTCCCATTGGGTCGAAGTCCCAACAAAGACAACAGTCGCGGCGGCACCGGAAGCAGACACCTTGGCCGCTGCATCAGCAATGTCCTTGTCGTCGTCGGGAATAGGGGCGAGGCCAACGCGGCTTCCCTGCACATAGAACTCTCGGTTAATGTGAACGGGAGAGTGCTTGGCGCTCTGGGTTACAATGGTGAGCGTATATTGCTTGGAGGATTCGAGATGGATGGGAGTGTCGATGCGTTGCTCAAGGCGAGCACGGTTGAAAATGTAATCCTCAGTGACAACCTCGGCACCTCGAGCCACAGTGCCTACGACTTTACCATCGATGTAGCACGTTTGTGAGCCAGGGCTGGTCAGGCTGAGGCGGTACGCCCCTGTCACAGGCGGCTGGATCACTACCGTCATGAGCGTGCAAAAGCTCCGCAAGTCAGCCAGTCCAGCGTGGATATCCTCCATCATCATGTATTCAGACTTGGGAACGACTTCATCGCGAAAGAGTTGCTTCTCGTCCGGTTCACTGCTATTGAACCATTCCAGCCGCACATCAGACTCTGGCACCTTGATCTGACAAGAAAGATCTACCAGTCTCTGAACGGCTACGCCTTCCGAGTACGCCAGCGAAGGGTACGTTTGGCACAGTGCCCCGAGCGGTGTCGAGATGTGCGCGGGCTTCAGGCTTGCCGAGCCCCCACCAAAGATGGATGGCTCGGCCGCTGGTTTGCCGACGACAGCGATATTATCTCCAGCGCTCGCTGACAGCGGCAGTGTATTATTCTTGTTCTTTAACAGCACCATGCCGTCCGCTGCGGCGCGACGCAGCAGGGCACTTGTCTCGGCGTTAGGTACAGACGAGAGTTCAGGGAGGGTTCCCCGAGCGTCTTCGGCGTCAGAGAGACCGATACGGCCGGTCTTCTGTAGCAGCTCAACTACACGTTGTAGGATCGTGGTTAGGTGTGCAGGGTCAATTTGGCCCCTTTCGATAGCTTCCGTCATCTTCTGTTGCGTGCGGAACTTGGTCTCGCCAGGTAGCTCGAGATCGAGGCCCGCGTTGATGGCCTCACTGGTGCTGTAGGTACCGAACCAATCCGAGATGATGACGCCATCGTAATTCCATTCGTCGCGCACGATTCGTAGTAGTGTTGGTGACTCGGAACAGTATTCACCGTTGACGGCGTTGTATCTAACCTCCAGTTAGTTCAGAACTGGAGCATCGAGGGGGGCTGGGTGTTGTGTGAAGGGTTTACATACGCAGTCATGAGACACAGCGGCGATGAGTGCTTGCAGAGAAGGCGGAACGGCTCGAGGTAGATTTCTCGCAGGGCACGTTCATCAATCACGCTGTCACTCCACCGTCTGCCGTTCTCGACCTCGTTGCCGAGGAAGTGCTTGGGGCTGGCGGCGATGTTCTGGCTCTGGACGCCATTGATATACTCTGCCGCGAGGAAGCCAGACAAATGGGGATCTTCACTGTAAGACTCGAAGTTTCGGCCATCTGGGAAGAGGTCAGAGATTAGTTTCTGATGGCATGACAGTTGTCCAACATCTTGTGATTGCGCAACTCACTGAGTATATAGCGGTGGATGTTCACGGTCGGCGCCAGTAGGCCGTTTGCCCGTTTCCCACGAGCGTCAACCGCAATGGCAGATCCTACTTCTCGCAAAAGGTTACGATCGAAGGATGCTCCGAGGGCCGTGGCACACGGGAAGCATACGGCGGCTTTCCCCTCTGTCCAGTTCTCTCCTCGGGCGCCATTGGGCCCATCTGTGAACTTGAGGGCGCCGAGCTGCAGCTCTGGAAAGTCTCTGGTTCTCCAGAAATCCTTGCCTGAGAGCAGACCAATTGCTTGGTTGAGAGAGAGCTCCTGGTCACGGATGTTGCCTGGCGCGACCTCATACGAGATCTTGATGGACATGGCGACTCTGCGCTTGTTCTGATTTACGACAGAAAAGCTGAGAGGGAGAGAGAGAAAGGTAGAAGGGCGAGAGGTGCGGAGAGGGTTGAGGAGGGGCGTCCTTGGATGGGAGAATAATAGCTGGAACTGTAGATTGCGCGATCACCAGATCATGCTTCTATGGAGATGTCTTGGCTTGGCTTCCCCAGGCGACGCGCCAGACTCCATTTGAAGATTCCGACTGTACGCCTCCCCGGATGATGTGGAAAAACAAGAAACGCAAATGAAGAATGAAGCCGAACATCCTACATCGGAGCGTCTCCCCATCGTGTCAGTGGGGCAATCCAGGGACCTTGCATGCGCTTGACTCGCAAAACCTCACAGCACATGTACCAAGTGAGTCGAAATCCTAGTTCCTGGCAATCTTGACATAATGGCTCAATTTGCTTCGGGGCATCACGGCAAAATTACCGATGCCCCTGACTCGCCAGTCTGGGTCTAACTCAGACTCTCAGTCCACGCATCCCCACCCGTGTACCCCGGCAAGCCCCGGCCATCCCCAGAAAGTCTTTCACCCCACAATCCAGTTTTTCTTTGCCTTTGGTACGATTCCATCAGCTGCACGGGACGCGGTCTAGATTGTTCCGGACAGTTGGGTTGGGAAGTTGCAATGTTCCCGGAAGTATAAGAGTCCCGGCCTTCCTTTCACTTTGAGTTCAACAGCTTCTTGCTCACGAAGCATTAATCGACTGCCTTTTGTCTAATATTCCTTCAACTTTGTCTAAGATCAATCCCAACGACTCAGGGGTATCAACACTATGCAGGCAGTTGAAGACAAGGCCGTCTTGTCCGTAGACGGCGAGAAGCCGTTCTACAAGAACAAGAATCTACTCCGGCTCTACCTTCAGATGATTCCGGGGACACTGATTGTCAGCGCCACCATGGGCTACGATGGTTCCATGATGAACGGCATCCAGGCTGTTGACCGCTGGAACATCTGTGAGTGGTCTATTCCGTTGGCGGAAAGCACAATTGAGACATTGGCTGACTTGGCTCGAGTCTAGACTTCGGATATCCTACAGGATCTCTGCTAGGAATCATGAACGCTATTTTGCCCCTGGGAGCTGTCTTCGGTATTCCACTTGCCGCATATATCTCTGATCACTACGGTCGACGATGGGCTATGACTGCGGGTGACATTATCATGATCATCGGAGCCATAATCCAGACTAGTAGCATCAACAGTGAGTTGAGGCTCTTTTCCCTCGGACAAAGTTTGGACTTCCAGGCGGGGATGTAGAGTACTGACAAGCGGCCTATTACAGTTGCCATGTTCCTTGTTTCGCGATTCGTCATCGGCTTCGGTCTCACAATTGCCGGCTCCTCCGCTCCAATGCTGACGGCCGAGCTGGCACATCCGACCTCTCGCACCACCATCACCTCCATGTACAACACACTATGGTACGTGGGCAGCATCATCGCCGCCTGGGTGACGTATGGGACGTTCCGAATCAACAACGACTGGTCCTGGCGCATCCCGGCCCTTCTTCAGATGATCCCGTCCATTATCAACATCGCTGGCGTGTGGTTCCTGCCCGAGTCTCCGCGTTGGCTCATCGGCAACGAGCGCTACGACGAGGCCAAGCAAATCTTAATCGACACTCACGGTGAGGGCGATCCCAACTCAGAGCTCGTTAGACTCGAGTTCGAAGAGATCCGAGCCGCCATCCAGGCCGAGATGGCACTCGGCAAACAATCTTGGGGCCAGCTTTTCAACAGCCCCGGCAACCGCTACCGTACATTCCTCGTCCTCTGCTGCGCTTACTTCCCGCAGTGGTCTGGATCCGGTCTGGTTTCTTATTACCTCGCCCCTGTTTTGCGCACAATCGGCATTACCTCGCAAGAGCGCATCACCTTGATCAATGGCATCATCCAGATTTGGAACATGATTGTCTCCATGATCGGTGCCAACCTGGTTAACCGCCTCGGCCGCCGTGTTATCTTTGTCAGCTCCACCAGCCTGATGCTACTTGCCATGATCTCATGGACCATCTCCGGAAGCCAGTACACTATGCACGGGTCTGGGGCCGCTGGCAGCGCTGTTCTGTTCTCCCTCATTTTCTTCATGTCCGCCTACAACTTCTGCTGGAACCCCTTGTCCGTGGCCTACCCCGTCGAGATCCTGACGTTTCCCATCCGCGCCAAGGGTGTCTCTCTGCTGGTCGGAGCTGTCAAGAGTGCAAGCTTCTTTAACCAGTTTGTGAACCCAATCGGCCTTGAGAAACTGCAATGGAAGTTTTACATTGTTTATTGCTCCTGGCTGGGTCTTGTATTGGCCGTCGTCTTCTTCCTCTTCCCCGAAACCAAGGTAAGCCGAGTCTTTCTCCACCCATTATATCTTCACTTCTTCAAGACTCGGACGCTGACTGCTGCCACAGGGCCGTACTCTCGAGGAGATTGCCGTAATTTTCGACAAGGACTTTTACAAGACTGAAGATGTCGAGAAGACCGTGCTGGAGGACGACAAGTCCAGCGAGAAGAACGGCAACCTCACCGTCGAGACAAGGGAGAAGATCTAAATTACCACTCAGTGCGGCTATCTCGGTTGAAGGCCTACACGTTGATCAAAATCACATCAGATAGTCATTTAGATAAGAGGAACAATTACCTCCGTCATAATCACTCATAATCACTGCTCCCAGAGACATGGGCCCTGTTGCAACGTTTGAGACTTTGAGTGACTGTTGACGGCTAAAACGTGGTGCTGCAAGACTGCGTACTAACATGTGTCGGTGAGCCAATAACTGGAGAGAACGATGGCTCCATTCTATTCATGCTCCCCCTTGCTAGCTTCAACCCTTGCCACGGGACGCGCTGTTCCTAGGGGGGTTACAGCATACGTGACACTAGCCAACATTGCATTAATCCATGACGAAGAGGTCATTTCTCTGTAGAGTCAATGTCCCATCTCAGAGACACCCCGATCAGAGATTCCGCTAGGCGGGTCGGAGGCACTCGTGATCGAACGTGAAATTATTGCGCTGTTATGCGGTCGTAAGCGTTCTCGTCAGCATTTCTTCCCACACCCCTGCTGTGGAGATAGTGCCCTCCTACCTCCCATAATACAAGGATGCGAGCGAACCGGCGGTGGTGTAGCGGCTAGAATAATCAATCAGCAACACCGGGTAGTTGTTACCTTACGGGTACCCTATACAACCCAACCTAGGGTACTTTATATCGTACGGTAACTATTAAGCAGCTATCTCATTAGAATAAATTGACCTCCTAGATTATAGTATTTTTAAAATATTATATCTAACATACTTATTTAATTTTCTGGACTATTTCTTAGAATATAAACAAGAAAGGGCACATGTTAGGAAGAGTAGGTAGGTAAGTAGGGTATTTCTAGTCGGTTGAAACAAACAAGGGTCGGGGTGTACCTAGTGGTGAACAACTTTACTCCATTGCACCGGTCAGAACCGCCGCTGGTCGGACCCCAACTAACATCCGATTGCTACTAGCGCCGTGTGTCTGGGGAAAAGTACACATTGGGGGCCGATATATGGGCTGACATCGCGTGAGAGACGGGTCCCGATGCTCTCTTTGTACCTGAGTTTGCAGATGCCTGCCAAAGCACCCTCCCTCATATACCAAGACGCAGTGTGGTCTCCTTTGCAAACCTGCAACTGTCGGACGTTTACATCTCTCTTATCGTTCAATCACAATGACACGCCCAACTACCGTCATCCAGCCCCAAGGGCCCGTACAAAGCACCGCTACTAGCGTGTATGGGAAAGGAGATGTGCTGCTGCGAATTGGGTAGGCCGACATCACCTCGAAATTGTACAAGAATCACAGGACTAACATACTGATTCATAGCAACGGTGGCGCCGGTCAGCACCCTCGATGCAGCGCTGCTGTGTAATATTAGAAAGTCTCGATTGCTGACATCGCTTGCATAGGTGCCACTGGTCTTGTGGAGGCTCTGGCTACCGACTATCTCTCAACACTCTCGGAATCACGGTCCATAGCGTGGATATGCAATCACTCGCTCAATACTCAGGTCGCACTCTATAGAAGCCACATTGATTTGGCCTTTACATATGAACGAGACCGGGAGCAGCTGGCGGCGTCCGAGGGTTGGTCTCGTACCGCGGGATGCGCATTCCACGACCACTTCTGCCTGGCAGGGCCGAGGGACGATCCAGCAAACGCGCGTGGCGCCGCTACGGTGGCCGAGGCTCTTCGTCGGATTTCAGAATACGGCGGACTCTTCCACAGTAGGGCTGACGGATCGGCAACTATGGAGAAGGAGCGGCACCTATGGTCGAGCTGCGGGTTGGAACCGTGGACTGACAAAGGGGCGGCGAAATGGTATCAAACCTCCCTCGAGACACCAGCCGGCGCCCTCAAGATTGCCGATCAGGCCGGTGCGTACCTCCTTACCGATCGCTCTACCATTCTCAAGCAGACGGGATTAAAGACGATCTCCAATACGGTCGTGTTTCTGGAGCCGACCAACCCTCATCACATATTGATGAACAGTTGCTACGCATTGCATTCGCCACTCGCCCCCGAGGAGACAAAAAAAGCTGTGGCAGACTTTATTGAATATCTCTTCTCAGCCAGGGGTCAGGGTGTCATCGCCTCATACGGCGTAGAGAGCTGTGGTCTACCCTTATTTGCCCCTGTGGCTGATGGGTTTGCCAGAGCAAGGCTGGCAGGAGGACGACCTGCGAAGGGTAAATGGACATTTGGGGCGCGACTCTAAGTCTGGATCTATATTGAAGGGTAGCTTTAAGTGAGAATTAGCAGATGACGATCTTGCCATTGAATGTATGAGTTTTACGTCTTAATTGTGTCAGCCGATGATGCTCCCTAAAAGAGTCGTGACAGTACAGGGATGGTATTTCCAAGAAAAGCAGCCAACCTCCGAGTGAATGATTTATACCAGGCTTGACCTAGACACCCCGTGGCCGGCTCTAAGTGACAAGGGACATAGCTAGCCCCAGAACTTTCAGACATCGTGACCTCGAGAACCAATAGTTGCTAAATGGTGGCATGATTCTAAGCTAGTTTGCTCATCTTTCCCCGTCCATCTCTTCTCTTCTTGGCTTATTCTTAAAAGAAATATCCCGGCCTTATGCGCTTGTTTCTTGGCCATGATTGGTTCATGATCGCTTCCCGCATTATTCAGCCAAGTGTTGTCATCGGCCTATGTGCCGAAACCCCCCGGAATTTGATCCACTCTGACTGTGTGTTTGCCTCACTTCATTTCTGTTACGCCCCCTGGCGTGAGCATATGGAAGCCCAACACGCTCAGACTGGCTTCTGGCCGATGTCGCGATGGACAAGCCATTGAATGTTTGGATATCATGCAATTTGGCCATTTTCTTCCCTCCTATTCTTGAGACAATAGAAGAATAGAAAGACCATCACTATGACGAGCGCCGACATCTTCCAACTCCGTGCCAAAGACAACAGTGTTGCAGGACGTTTGGCTCTCGTCACGGGAGCCAGGTGAGGCGACCACCCGCATTGAATGATCGCATTCTTTTACAGTTGTGCTAATCTGGCTTTCTCTCAGCGGCGGTATTGGTTCGCATTGTGCGCGAGCGCTGGCTGCCGAGGGTTGCGACATTGCCCTTCATTATTCATCCAGTAAGGTGAGTAGTTTCGCCATGAATGTCAATCGCTACAACTGAACAAGTCCGTGTAATCTAATTCAAGCTGATTTCTCATGATACCAGGCCGCAGCGGATGCTCTCGCTAGCGAACTGCGTGCTCAATATCCTGGTCAGCTGTTCGTCCCTTGCCGGGCCGACCTGTCTTCTCGTGAGGCTACGCGGGATCTCGTCCCGAATCTGCTTCAAACAGACGTCGTTTCTGCAAAGCACAAGACCATCTCAATATTGGTAGCCAACGCCGGGTTAGGTCGCCGTATACGAGATGTCGCGGATATTGAAGAGAGCGACTGGGACGACATGTTTGAGGTCAACACACGAAGTTCCTTTGTCGTCGTCAAGTCTGCCGTCGCCGGCATGCGAGCGCAGAATTGGGGCAGAATCGTACTTGTCGGCAGTCTTGCAAGCCAGGGCAAGGGGTTGAATGGGTGCCATTACGCAGCCTCTAAAGGAGCCCTGAGGTTCGTCTTGTTTGAAATGGCGTCAAGTCTCGAGTGCAACGTACTGATACCAAAGCTTAGTTCCATGGGCCGCAATCTAGCCAATCTACTTGCGCCAGAAGGCGTAACGGTTAATATAGTAGGACCCCCATCTCTACCTTTGTGTTTAGCTGGATTGTTGAAGTTAATTTTTGTCCTCCAGGTCTCTCCGGCAATGATTACCTCGACGGGAATGATTCCGCTCCCGAAAGCCGAGTAAGTTTTCAACAAGCTATCCTGGTAAGAGTGCCATGGTGTATCTCAGCTAACTGGAGGTGTGAAGATCTTGGGATCGTACAGTTCAAAGCCTCGATAATCTCCGCAACAACGACCCTGGCCTTGCCATTGCTTCCACCATCCCGGTGGCTCGCCTCGGCACGCCCGATGAAGTCGCCCAGGTTACGATCATGTAAGCTATGCGCCGTGCCATGTCTAAAGTCGAGTCCAAGCTGAAGAATTCCACAGGTTTGCCAAAACCGGATACTTGACCGGACAAGATGTTCACCTAAACGGAGGGCTTCACTGAGTTAAATGGGTACATGGAGGCTTGCTGGTCACCCATTTTGGAGATTTGATGCTCCACCTATGTGTCAATGTAGATGTTGTTGCGGCCCTGCCGGCCTTATTAACCGCGGTTGAGGCCCAAAGAGCTGGGGGGGCTACCGATGTCGGCCGACTGGGTAAGCCGAACTTTCAGGTTGCCGTTTCATAGAATAATAGAGGAGCAAGACTAATTCCGTGGGGCCCAGCCGATATGCGCTAAGTTACTAGTGGATTTCTCAATAAATACCGGCACCTGTCCGTGTCGCCACGAGAACCCCGGCCCAGCTACTTCGCCAACACCTTCTTCGCCACAAGTCAGTCACGTATATCAGTATGGTGGAAAGAAAGCCTGCTTTTCTGCAGATCCATAGGTCTTTTTCCCAAGTGGTGGGAAACGAGCCATCAATCCGCCTATGTTTGGAGCACGAAAGTGATCCATGGGCCCATGAGGCCGGCGTCTACATCCCATCAACGGGTGCCTTATTCGTCACCAGCAATCGCCTTGTTGGAACTGATGGGCAGCAAAAAGTCACCATTAGTAAAATCAACATTGAAAAGAAGCCATTTGTGCGAGAAGAAATCGACTGCGGCATTGCCATGGCAAACGGAGGGGTAAACTACCAAGACGGCGTCCTCTTCTGTAGTCAAGGTACCAAGGACACCCCAAGCGGCCTATGGCACATGGAAGCCGAAGCACCGTACCGAAAAACATTGGTTCTGGACAGCTTCAATGGGCGGCCATTTAATTCTCCCAATGATGTCGTTGTCCACAGTGACGGATCCATATGGTTCACAGATCCCATCTATGGGTACGAGCAGGGCTTTCGACCACGTCCACAACTGCCAAACCAAGTCTACAGATATGACCCGCGATCCAAGGCCGTACGGGTCATGGCTGATGGGTTTGGACGGCCAAATGGCATATCATTCTCTCCCGACCAGGCGACCGTATACATCACGGACACGGACTTCATTCACGGTGACGGCACTACAGATGCGTCGAGGCCGGCGACGATGTAAGAGACACAATGATGCTTCTTTCTCAGATCATTGACTATGCTCATCGCTAACGTGGATGCTTTCGTTTAGATACGCTTTCGATGTAGTTTCCAGAGGCGAGCAGCCGTTCCTCACTAACCGCCGCCTTTTTGCCATGGCAGACAATGGGGTTCCTGACGGGATCAAATGCGATCAGTTTGGTAACGTCTACAGCGGCTGTGGTGACGGCATCCACGTGTGGTCGCCAGGTGGTGTACTTCTTGGCAAGATTCTCATTCCAGGAGGCGTTGCCAACTTCTGCTTTGCGCGGTGTGGCAGGATTTTGGCCCTTAATGAGACGCGGATGTGGGAGATATCTCTTGCGCCGCACAGTCTGGGCTCACTTTTGAAGCTGTAGGCCGATTAATTATGGCTTGGGGCACTAGTAGAGCCTCGTCTGGTGAAAGCGTTCTTCAGTTCATTGTCCTCCCATGTCTCTCAACCTCTACGCGATCTTTGCACTAGGTGAACCATTGCGGGATCAAGTGTTGTCCCTTTAATGACATGTTAGGCCAATAACATGTTGCCTCCATGATTTGAGCTATCTCGTTTATCATCTTACAACTAAATAGCTTCCAGTTTCAGCTGGACCCTCTCAGTATATTCGGTCGGTCTACCAAATGTCACTGTGGACTCGCTTAATGTGTGATTCATGATGATACTGAACAAAGTCTGCGTTTCGCATCATCCATCATCTACTTGGTATCGATTGATTGATTCTGGGTACCTTTATTCATCCTCAAAGGCCTCAAATCAGTCAGAGAAAGTCAGAGAAGGAAGAGACTTGTCTTTCAAGAGCGCAACTATCCGAACTATGCGTGGTGGCGAATCTGCCAGCCAAGGGGGCTCGTCAATATCAGGATGGTCGAGAATCAAGTTCTCGGCCTGCGCAACGATCCCATCGCTATCCATCGCTATCTCCTTGACGCCAATAGAGGTGGATTCGATATCGCTGACGCGATTTATTCCACAACTAGCGAATGTGCGTTTCCGGCAACAGCAGTCGACTTCATTCGGTCAATCGCCTCTCGTCGAGAGTTACTTTCAAGGAAAGCCCTTGAAGCGAGATGATCGACTTGAAAGAGACGCATTAGGATGTTATAAAAAGTATTGGCCTAAACCTATAATAGTCTCGACCAGGCACCATTTCAATATATATCCACCTGGCACGTTGGTTGCTGTATACCTTTCCATGTTCAGTTAGATCCGATCCACTTACCCCTGACTCTGAAATCTGGATCAGTAGGTGTAGATCTCAAGTTTTGCATCGTGAGATCAATGCAAGGTTGGTCGGATCCGAATTGCAAAATACCGAATTAATAGGCAAGTCTGAGCCTGGCCGTAGCCTCGAGGAACTTGGCCAAGCAGGCATTAGTGATAGAGTCATGATCGCAACAATGAAAAATAAGATACCTGGAGCAAATTGCGGATGTTGATCACGTATTTGTCCTAGTCTTTCAATACTGCGCAATCTAGAGTGCACTAGTGACGGCTCTGGCCAATTTCATATGGCGATATTATTGAAGCTAATGCATAAGACTTGCAACAGTACTCTTTAGTCGTATGAAATAAAATGACACTGGCTGTCTCTTGAGGTCTGTTTTATTTAACCCACGGATCTTCCTTTGCTCGACCTTTTTGAATCACAGCCCAGGAAAACCATCTCAGCCGGTCAACATCCACTGTTTGCTTTACTTCAAAATGCGTTCTAATTTTGCTCTCCTTTCACTGAGCATTCTCATAAGCTCAGTTGCAGATTATGCCCAGGCCGCCAAAACCTGCAAGCCCTGCGAGGGACGCTGCGCGGCTGCTGTACGCCCAAACACCTCATTCAACCAGAACCACGACACGGAAGCCGACTGCATTGCGTTTCTAAGCGGAAGTGCGAGTATTCCCGAGTATGTGACGGGTAAATGTCGATCAGAGCACAAGTATTCGAGTGCTTGCTCCTGCTTAGCGCGCACTGACTCAACAACGAGTTTGGTGCCAACAGTCAGCCCGACCTCGGTGTTGACGACTCCAGTTACTTCGACTCCCGCCTCCTCCGGAACAGTCACTGTCTCTTCTGAGCGAGCGACTACGCTATCACCCGAATCATCTACCCCATCTGAATATTTCACACCATCCGAATCATCGACTACCCCTTCCGAATCTGGTTCTGAATCTACTACCCCCTCTGGAATCACCACCTCTCCTGGATCTACTACTACTCCTGGATCTACTACTACTCCTGGATCTACTACTATACCTGAATCTACTTCCACGCCTGACTCTACTTCCACGCCGGAATCTACTACTATACCTCAATCTACTACCGCGCCTGAATCCACTACCAGCTCAACACCCACTTCTACACCTGAATCTACCTCCACACCTGAATCTACTGTGCCTGAGTCCACTACCAGCTCAACGTCAACATTAGCAACTATCCCAACCGCATTCCCCCATATTGTCGGGACCGATGTCATCAGCGGTGCATCTCGCGAACTAAAGCTCGTCCAGCAATCGACTTACTTGTACCTCAGCTACGCCGCCTCAGCCACGCAATACCCTCCTGCCAACAGCGTGCCTTATGTCTTAGACCCTGTAACGGGCCGTTTGTCCATTACACTCTCACCTGGCTTAAGCGGCGCTGTCCAAACGTACTTTTTCACCTATAATAGTCCCCCACCTAATGGCAGCGGTTATATCAGCAACTGGATGCTCGCATCAGACATCGCTGCCAGTACCAGCAAGCGCTACGTGCGTTGCACGCGTAACACTAGTGGCCAGTTGACCTGTCTCTCTGAAGCTGATCAACCTCTCTTGTTCCTCCACACTAGTACTGCATTCAATGTCTACATAGGACTTCCTCCAGCCGCAGGAAACTCCATTGCGATGACTCTGTCACTGCCTCTTGCCTAAGACACACATCGTCTTGTTTGAGTGTATTGGATCTAGTAAGTTGTTCTTTTATACGATAGCGATTCAGCCATGTTTCCGTGAGCCATATTGCTTGCGATAATTTATTTATGTAGACAATAATATGATTTGTGTTCTGTTGGGCCCTCACTATGAAAGAGAAGCCCCGGGGGCTTCTTAAAACCCGCCGTGTGTCCGTTAGAGTTCTCCCGTTATAAGCAAACGACTCAAGATCCTTTCCAAGTTTTTAACCCTGGGAAGCGATTCTAGTGCTTCCATGTAAATATAGTAGCCTATATAGCCCGCTATATTACGCACTAATTCAGATCCCCGTCAATGTGCAACGCAGTTATGCATCAATGCTATCAAGGATTATCATTCGACAGCTCTACACTTGGGTGCGCATCTTCTGACACCAGTGGCTGGAAAATGGCCACAATTGTGTATAACGGTCAGCCGATGGGACTTGCACCCAATCGCAGGCCGCCACGTGCTGGCTTGAGGGCTTATCATTGTCCAAATAGAAAGCTGTATATTGTAGATCCGCCTTGTAGACTGTTCCAATTAGCACACATGTTCATGTCTTCATCGATGACAAAGTCGACCACACAAACCGAAAAAATCTCTCGAAGCTGAGCAGATGCCGCCCACCGAGTAATAAACCCTTGTGTCGTGGATGAGAGTATAAACTAACCCTCCCCAAGAGAAACCCCGATCCAACATTACACGCTTCCAGAAGACGGTGGACGTCCGGTAGCGGCCTATAGTGGGGGAGGCATCTGTGCTCAGACGATTTCCTCCCAACATTCACCGAAATCAGGCTCTCAAATTCCATGTAGCGATGAACTCTATGTACGCACGCCTCAGAAAACGGCACGAGAGGGTCCATTCTTTGTATCATCCATTGACAACGGGAGATATATACTTTCCGACGCTCAAGGCTCGAGGTCCACAATCGTCAATTATTTAACGATCAAGATTTGGAAATATATAATCCTTTCGAATAGCGGAAGCTTTTTTGGGCCACATACCGCTATTGAGTCTTCTCCAAGGGTCAATTAGCTGTTAAAACAATGGAGGAAGCTAAGCACAAGACCAAGTCAAGATCTTGGCTTGATCGCCTAAATTCTGCTTTCCGCTGGCCGCAAATTGCTCTTCGTCGCAACAACGCTTTCAATGCTGGAGATCGGTTCATGGAAACACGATCCATTGGCGACCTCAACGAAGCAATTCGAGTAGCAAGGGAAAATGTGGAATACCTTCCCTTTCACCACGACTTCTTGACCGATCTGGGCTACTTTCTTGCAGATCGGTACGAGCTCCTCGCCGCGTCGAAAGACTTTGAAGAAGCCAGAGGCCTACTGGGCCGAGTCCTTCAGGACAAGAGGCCTGACAAGGCCATTAAGGTGCAATGCGCTGCGAAACTCAGTCACCTTTACTGCATTGGTGCGCAAAAAACAGGCACCCCTGCTTTTGCTGAAGAAGCGCTTCGCCTGGCGCGACTAGCAGTTGATGAGTGCAGTATACAAATGCTCCGATCCAGTTGTTTCCAATGCCTCGCTATGGCTGAGTACTTTCTCTTCATGAATACAGGCCAGTTAAGCAGGATAGAGGCAGCAGTTGACGCTATGCAGGAGGCAATTAACACGGCCGAGGAAAAAACTCCACAACTTATTCACGTCCTTTTAGGGTATCTTTATGATTACTATGAAAAGACCGAGGAAATGCAGGTCCTTGAATACATCCTCCAGTCCACGAGGACTGCTGCTGATTTAGCACCAATCGATTCTTCGCTGCAGATTGGTCGGCTTTTCGAGATTGCAGAGTACCTTCATGAAATGCAAAAAGGAAAAACCAGGGAAGCGGATGCCTTAGAGGAGGCGACAGAGGCGCATGAGGGTGCTGCTAAGAAAGCGCGGGGATTGCTTGCCTCGACGCCAGTAGAGAGTGCTGCATATGTGGCTATGTTGATGCAATTCGGGCGTAGCCTATATCGATGGTATATGAGAACGCAATCGGTAGATGATCTAGTGGAAGCTATTCGTTGCGTAAGGAGGGCGATCGATATAACACCCCTCGACTCTCCGAAGAAACCTCATCAACTGATGGTTTACGCGAGATACATTTCTCACTGGTCTGATGAGTTAGGGCCAACTTCCGAATTGAAAGAGGGCATAGGCGTGGTTAGACAAATCCTTGACATAGCGCCCGACGACTTCCTAGAGGAGAACAGGCCAATCTGCCGTTTCATACACTATCTTCACGTCTATTATCACCTGACGCGGGAGTTGGAATACCTGGAGCAATCTATCAGCCTATCAAGACGGGCTATCGATATGATGCCAAGGGATAACCCGAACTTGACAAACGTTCTGTTTGAGCTCGTCTTCTCCCTCTCCTCGCGCTATGAAAACACTCGCGCCTTGGCTGATTTGAAAGAGTTAGTCAAAATGGCCAAATACATGGTGGACACAACACCCGATGACCACCGAGACCGGAGCGATAGAGTAGGCATCTACATTGGGCAGCTCATTACTTTGTGCAACAGGGAACCCAATAGAGCCAACATCACTGAAGCTCTCAAGACCGCAGAACTTGCAGTGCGCGCAGACTTGGGTCGGGGCGTAAACCCAACGAAAGCTTATATCGTGCTTGCCCACGCTCTCGAAGCATCTTATGAATTCTCCGGCAAGAGATACGAGCTTGAAAAGAGCGCTGTGGCAGTCCGAGAAGGAGTTCGCCACGCAACTAGAGACTTCGATAAATTACGTGCTCTTAGCCTACTTTCTAGTATCCTTTTCAAGCAGTACCGGCTCTCTAAAACATTAGAGAGCCTTAACGAGGCTATCGACGCCGTAAGAAAGGCACTGGAATTAACACCGACTAATCAATACTACAAATACTTCGATGTTACAAAACTGGCCAACTACCTGCTCCAGAGAGGAAAGCATACTGGCGCAGGAGAAGACGTGAAAGAGGCTATAAAGTTGCTTCTTCCATCTCATGCGGACAATCGCAGACATTATTTCTCAGAGATTATAGGTTCCACGAGGTACTTAGCGGATGCCTACAGTCTACAGAATGATTGGGAAGGCGCATTTAACGTTTCAAGCAAGATGATTGAGACCCTCCCAACGATGATACCAAACTCGCTTGAAAACTCAGACAAGCAGTGGGTTGTTCAATTCATGACTGGAATGTCATGTCTTGCAGCATCTGCCGCGCTAAAGCTTGGTAAACCTCCTTTTGTCGTCTTAGATGCCCTAGAAAGAGGTCGGGGGATGCTTGGAACGTCCATTGAAGATATGAGACGAACTGACATTACGGATTTACAAGCGGCGAATCTTGAGTTAGCAAAAGAATTTGCTCGCCTAAAGAACCAATTAGAAATGCCTTTTTCTCAGTCGCTCACCGATGCCAATATAGAAGACAATTCATGTGATACCGAAGAGAGCCGGAAGTTTGGCACCAATGCCGTTTTTGATAGCCGATATCAGGCGGGGGTTGAGTTGAGCCAAGTCGTCGAGGAAATTAGTAACCTTCCCGGTTTCGAGTCGTTTTACAGCCCACCGTCCGAAGAAGACGTTCGAAAGGCTGCTATCTACGGACCTCTTGTGGTTATCATCGAGGGTCTGGGCGAATATAACGCCATCATTGTCGAGGCGAATCAGATTCAGACGTTGCCATTGCCAAATCTTTCATATAAAGAGGTCTTGAAAAAGGTTCACGAAGGACATATGGGAAGGCCTTCCATTCTGGAATGGCTATGGGATAATGCAATGGGCCCCATTCTAAGCGCTCTTGGATTCTCTAGCCCAGTTGATGATGGTGATAATTGGCCTCATGTTTGGTGGATCCCCACGGGTTATTTGTGCAAGTTCCCTCTCCACGCAGCGGGGTACCATACAGAAGGCTCCGGGAAAACAGTTGTCGACCGTGTCATCTCTTCCTATAGTTCATCCGTCAAATCCATCATCTACGGTCGTCGTCGTCAAGCCCCGTCATCATCTGCCTCTCCTGGGAAAGCGGTGCTTGTCGCTATGGAGAAAACTCCCCGACACGCCCGACTCCCATACGCTACCAAGGAAGTCCGCGTGCTGAACGAAATCTGCAAGACCATGAATCTCAATGTCGAGAACCCAACAAGGACAAAGACCGTTTTACTAGAGCATCTAAAGGAATGCACTGTGTTTCACTTTGCTGGCCACGGTTACACGAACCAGGATAATCCATCTCAGAGCTATCTCTGCTTAGAAAAAGGACCTGAAGATGTCATCAGGGTGTCTGATCTGCTTGAACTGGATTTGTTCTCGCGCCTGCCATTTTTGGCGTATCTGTCAGCTTGCGGGACCGGGCAGACCAAGGCGGACACGTTCTTGGATGAGAGTATCCATCTGATCAGTTCCTGTCAACTAGCGGGATTTCGTCATGTTATTGGAACTCTGTGGGAAGTCAATGATGAAATTTGCGTTGATGTGGCTACCATTGTATACGAGGGAATAAGGGATGCGAATATGAGCAATGATTCGGTCGCGAGGGGACTGCATCAAGCGTCTATGGTTCTTCGAGATCGCTGGGCCATGAAGATGGGGCATGAAATGAATAGCCGTAGGGACGTTTATGAGGTGGAGGGCGAAGATGAAACGATCGCTCCTCTCTGGGTTCCTTACGTTCACTTTGGAATATAGTAGGTCTACTAGAATATTGTCAGACAGCAAACTTTATAAATTGAGCTCTTTAAAGCTCAATGATAGCCAGCCTCTTGTGGTAGGTGCAAACGCCCGGAAATAATCCTTATTACTACATGGCGTTAACTCTACTCTTCAATATCTCTTGCAGCGCATCAGCATCGAGCAAAACAATTCCCAATGCTTTAGAGGCGTGAGATTGTGCAAGTGAGATTGAGTCATCCATGGCTTAGAAGGCTATTAACACAAATGCTTCCCTGACACGCCTAGTAAAGAGGATTGGTTTTTCTGTCACGCAAATGCTCCAGTATGTCCACTCACGCGGCGAATGGTTACAATACTTTACACGCACGATGACCAGTGGAGTGTGCCATGACACCAATCAAGGAACGGCAGCCAAGGCTCATCTGCATGCATGCTGGGTAGAATCAGCAGAAACTGGGATTTATGATTTCGGTCGTCCGCTGCATGTTCATAAACTCATCAACAGTCAAGACGTAGCCCAGCCCTATTCGCAGCCACCTTGCATTTTCGTGCCCCAAGGATAAGATGGCCACTAATAAGGGAAAACTATGCGACGGACGACGTGGTCGCAACGACTGGTATGGAAACTTCGATATTCTAGCACCGACAGAGCTACCGCGCTCGCGTAGAGTCACGATCCCATTAGCTCCTCTCAGTGATCTTCTCACACGCCAGAGGGAATGCTTATCCTGCAGACTTCTTGTCTCAGCCATATCCAAGGCCTAGAAGCAACGTTCACCAGAAGCGATCATCCAAGGCAAACCCGTGGAATGCACATTATGCAACCGCGTGGTGGTCGCAATACGAGATGACGAGTCACAAGTTGCCTACAGCGAAAACTTCGAGCCCAATAAATATAAGGATAGTAACTGGGTGGTCTCCCGGGGGCGAGGAACCATTTACGACATGGCATCCTACTGGCGGCTATATTAAGAAAGAAAGCGATATGGGGGACCTAGAGTTTCATGGGGAAGCGCTCTCCGGGGACATGGGAGTGCTTTTCAACCTGCTGGGGGTTTTGTTGGCTGTCAAGATGTATGTATTATAGGGCGGTGGCTGCTTAGATGGCCTTTATGCGAAATTGTGGAATGTCATGTTGTTTTCGGTTTCATGATCATGTGCGTGCGAATCTTCCTGCTGAGAGAATAGCTAGTGCTTATCAAGTCGTCGTGGGTTGATTTAACTATACCACATCATGTCGTCCTATATCCTAATAGCTGCTAAATTTAACATAATCGAGTCACTTTTTCAGTGGTGAGGTTGGTCATTTGCAGCCTCAGCAATCTGGCAGGAATCACGGATCAAGTTCAGTTTCTCACTGCATCTCGACAGTACTGTGCCGTCATGAAGAGTCTCGGCCAAATCCGGTTATGGCCGATTCTAGCGCTGCTCGTGCATGCGGCACGGTCGGCGTGAAATCCATATATTTTGCGAGATAAGACGATCAAAAAGCTTTTCTCCCTCTCTCCTCAACCCACACATGCCATACGATAGAACACCATGGGCTCTTGGGAATGCTACTGCGCGATATGCGCCGTGACAATGCAAGACGTGCAGTTTCGCGGGCTCGACCCAGGCCTGGTACGAGACCTAGCTGACGTTAGGGAGGCAGGCGGTGAGAGTGGCGGCGAAGATGAAGACGAGGAGGAAGTGGTCAACGAAGAGTGCTATGACCCCAAGGTCTTGGACCCTCGAGATACCCAGTGGCTTTCCGACTGCCGCATAATGGGCATTAACCCTGCGACCGAGAAGTGCGTTCTATCCTCTCTAAGCTCCTACTTACTTAATGATAAACTAACGCAGTGTGTGGAGTCTGTAGGGTCTTCATCTCTGGCCCAGGAGCCTATGTAGACTACGGACAAATGGATTGCGAGCCTGGTGACGACCCCGAGGCTGAAGGCATAGATGGCATGGAGGACATGGCTTGCTACCAAGGCGCGTTTCCATTCCACTGGAACTGCTACCTTTTACTCTGCCGTCGTCTTACAGGATCCGACGAGACCAGCCGAATCAACAAGGATGTGTTGCACAGCATCATGCAATCACTCGAGGAAGATGGCGAACCAGTCCTCGGCCTAGACTATGCACGGGACCTGGTCGATGTCGATTGGTGCCCAGGCGAACAGGCCTGGGGCTCCTTTGCGGGCCAGGAATTCTTCGTCACATCACCATGGCCTGTTTCGGAGCTTTCGTCGCAGCTTCCAAATGAACTCAGTCACTCCCTTCGCATGAGTGCACTAGATACGTCCATGAGTGGCAAAGTGAAGGCGGACCCGTTCTCCAAGCTTCCCCAGGAGGTCACGGAGCAGATTCTCTCCCACGTCAGCCAGTCAGATCTTCAGAGCCTTCTTCTGGCGTCGTGGGTCATTCATGCTGGTAGTCATGACAACGATGGGTTTTGGAAGAGACGTATCAAGAAGGAAATGCCCTGGTTCTGCGAACTTGACGAGCTTCTGGGCAAGGAGGAGTCGAGTAGTATCGAGAGCATCAAGGGGCTTTTCCTCTGGGCCAGTGATGCTACCAAGCCTCGAGAAGGGATTACAGGCCCATTGATGGCAATATCTAACCGTCGGCGGGTTTAGAATGCTTGTAGCCAGCTTGCCGAGCTGTATCTTGACAAGTTGAGGGAAATTGAGATTGCTTCATGAGCTACTTGATTCGGGAGGTGAGTTTTCGAGATTGCCTGTAAATGAGGACGAGTACTGACCAATAACTAGCTTCTTGCTGTTGACCCTGAGCAGAGACTGTCGTTGGAGGAGTTCAACAGCACCCTTGGATTGCCAATAATGAATAGATGGAAGAGCTGGCAGTAGGTAGATGATGGTCTTGAAGTTGGGAGTCCACCCAAAACGGGTATTGTGCCGCCCATCACACATCACATCCATAGTTCGGACCATGAAACGACTTTTTTTTTCGCTTTCCATGCAAAAATGGGTCAATAGGTAGGGCCGTGGCTGAGGCTCCTTGATACATTAATTGATCATTAAACCTGCATTGTTTATTCCCTGGCCGGTGACCAACTACTGTTGGTTGCAACTTTCTCACTTTTCTCCTGTCAGCTGCTGTTGGCCAGCTCTATAAAGACCGGCAGATCCTCTGAACCTTTGCCTGGCATTCCCAACATTGGTTTTTACTTACTCCCATCCTAATACAGCCTCCTCCCGCGAGTTCCTGACCATGTCGCCCACTTTTGCCAGCGGGTCTACCCAAAATTTCACGCCAGCACCCAGTTTCACAGAGAAGGATGTGCCAGATTTAAGTGGCAAGGTATGTTGGAATAGACACGACGCTAGTGAAATCTTGGTGACTTAGTTTGCCACAGGTGTACATTGTGACGGGCACCACCTCGGGCATGGGAAGCAACTTGCCCGTCTCCTCTACTCCAGAAACGCAAAGGTTTGCATTGCAGCCCGGAAGGAGAACGATCTTATTATGCAACTCAAAAAGCAGAACCTAGTAGCGACGGATCCCTCGTGTTCCTCAGCCTGGACCTCGCAGATCTACAAAAGGTGAAAGAGGCAGCGGAGCAAGTCTTGGCCACCGAGACAAAACTCCACGTGCTCTTCAATAACGCCGCGTGATGACAGGCGAGGATGGGTACGAGAAGCAACTCGGCGTGAATGCCCTGGACCCTTTCCTGTTCACCAAGCTCCTGATGCCGCTGCTCAAGGCCACCGCCGCAGATGGGGCACCACCACGTAGACAAACGAAGTCCGCGTGGTATTTTTGTCTCCGTTCGGCGCAGAAATGTACCACGAAAAGCGCATCGGCATCGACTTAGATAACCTCGACTACCGTAACTCCCCGAAAAAATAACAGCATCAGAGCGTCACCGTTACCATCCAGGGCTTGTTGTGTTCCTCCTCGCCATGTCTCATGATGGCTGCATTCACAAGCAGCGTTGTTCCTTTCATGCCGCTAATGTGGAGAGCGCCTTCCTTTTCGACTGCCTCCGCGTCTACGATGATCGGTTCTGAACCATTGTGAAATCGAGCTATTTGGGCACCGTGTCCGTCGTGGATGTGGCCAAAGCAATGCAGCTTGGGCTTGACCCGCTCTATAGCCCTCCATAGCCGTGGACATCCGAGGTGCTGCTGCCGCTGCTGCTTCCAGTTGAGGTCCAACCGGTACGCTTGCCCTGCCTTGAGATGGGACGGAGAGGGCCGGGGCGGCCCGTGTGTTATCACAAGGTCAATGTTTTCGTTGTCTGGTATCCTGACAGCACTTCCTTTGGCGTTGAAACGGTCGTTCTCGGGGTTGTAGCCAAAGGCATAGCCACCAAATGCTGGGGTGTATTGTGATGCATAGACTTTGAACGTGCGCCCGTCGCGGAGGGTGATTTGATGCGTGCCTTCGTCGAGATAACGCACACCGCGGCTGGCGTACACCTCTGATGTAAAGAGCGCTCGTACATGAGCTGGTTCATCTTGATCGTCGTCGCTGTCGAGATTCTCATCCCACCACCGAGCATCGAGAGACACGTCGTGGTTGCCGGCAACGACTAGCTTGATCTCAGCAGGACAAGATGCGAGAGACTCGAGGGCGCGTCGATAATTTGAGAGCCCGCCGATCATGGTTAGATCGCCGCAGTGGATGATGGCATCGGCCTCGGGAAGCGTCGCTGGATCCGGGAATGCATTATCATGGGTGTCGGAGAGAACGAGGAATCGGATCCCTTGCTTCTGCTCCATGGTGATGTGATCAATGAGGTTGAAAAAATGCGGGTTGATCTCGGACACAAATTAAACAAACTTGGAATTTCTTAGGACCACAGACAGCTGTGGGAGCCCGTACATTAGGCTTTTGGAATGAAAACCTAATACGTTGTGACTTGTCCCTCAGCGAGAGTTTGAAAAGGATTAAGGCTAAAGTTTACACCCATGAAACAAGCGAGAAAGCGAATATCAGCAAGTCCTCAATACCATGAATAACGAGAGACGGCCATGAGTGCATGCTTGTGCTATTAGGTAATATACTTGCAACGAGCAGATGACAATAGAACCACTTACTACATAAGTAATCAGCATTGGATGACTATTCTTTGGAGATGCTCGTGGTTTGGGCATCAATATAATGTTTTGGTTGGACGACCTGACTTTTTTGCCACATTCAGGTAACGAGCGTTGATTCACTGGCGGCAAATAAGGACAACGGGATCTTGCATCTATTGTGTACGGCTTTTATATCCAGCCAATACTACAAGTCTTGAAACGACCATCCTTCACACCTCTCACGATCAATACATTCTTCCCGTAATGTTCATCCCTGCACCAGCCTTTCTCTTTACTTCTATCCTCTAAGACTCATTCCACATGGATCCTTACCAGGTGGATTTTCCTTCCTTCCGTCTCTGCACCACCCACGCCACGGCCAGGAAAAACATGCCTAGAGCCAAGGCTGTGCCCGCAAATACTTGTGCACCAATATATCTGCCCTGCGCGGCGGACAGAAGCGCCCCCGAAATAGGACTTCCCGTCAAGGCGGCAAAGCTGACGATGGTGAAGATCATCCCGATCCTCGTGCCTTGCTTGCTAGGATCGGATGTCAAGGACGCCAACGCTGAGGGGAACATGGCTTGGACACCGCCTAGGGCTGTACCAGTGAAACAAGCCCAGACATAGAGCCCAGTCTGAGAATCGACGGCCATCCAGGAGAGTATCATCAACGCTGCCATCCCAGCAGTGGGAACGAACATTGTCAGGGCACCAGTTCGATCCGCAAAATAGTTGGGTATCAGACGCCCAAGAATCCCAATACCACTCATTATCATAAGCAGGTCAAGCGACTTGGCGTAAGAAAGGCCCTGGATGTCGCGAGCATACGCAGCGACAAAGAAAAAGGCGAAGAACACGCCCCAGAAGCACTGAGGGCTCCTATCAGCACGCCGCTACATTGTCAAGAAAAAAGTTGGTTACATACCAGAAATGCGCCTACAGCGTAGTAGGAGTATTCCATCTCTTTGAACGCTGCCCACTCCACGAGACTGCCTGTCCTACGAGGTGGAATCCGTGACTTCAAGGAAGCTAGCGCCACGACGAGGGACACTGCCTGAACGAGACCGATCACTCGTATCGTCCAAGGAAACCCAATACGCGGCAGTAGTTCCCGAGCAATGCTGGGGAAAATTACGCCTCCCGTTGTACTTCCACAGGCCGTGATGCCAATTGCAATAGAACGGTGCTTCTGGAAGTATGTCGACACGAGAGCAATACTTGGGCAGAAGAGACAGCCATTGCCCAGGCCAACACATACGCCCTGGGCAAAAAAGATATGCCAATATTGTGTGCACGCCGAAGTGACCAGAGTTCCGGTGACAACCAAGACAGCACCCAAAATAGCGATGGGGCGGAAGAAGCCGGCATCAGTAAGGCGACCGGTGAAGGTGCCGATAGAGAATAAGAAGAAGATCTCAATGGAACCAATCCATGCGATGTCTGATGGGGATCTGGAGAGAGCTTCCACATAATAGCTCTGGAAAACGCCAAAGGAGTTGATCACGCCCCTTTTTTTTTTTCGTGTTAGCAGCTTGACAGTAGGTAGGTCTTTGTGGCACGGCGTACCAAGTGTTCATTACGACCAGGTGTACCCCAAGAACTACCCCTTCAGATCAGCAAACGGCCATAGATATTACCGCCCGGAGACACCTCTCACCACACATCCAAGCCCGAAAATCTCCGTCTGGAGGAGGTCCAGGGTCAATAGTTGTTCTCGAAGTGATACGACTTAGAACACAATCTGCGATGGAGAGTTCGTTGGCATCGTTGATTCGCGGAATTATATCCCGCTCGTACTGGATGGAGCTAGATTCCGGAGAATGAGCCTTGGATATCTTTGCGTCTGGTAGCCCTATATTCTCGTTGTCGGTTTCTTCATTGCTCATAGTCCCATCCGCTTGGGTTGGTACACTGGGCTGTCTACCAAGACTGAAGCTTGCCATGGTGGCAATCGGTAACGTTAAGGCAATTCGAAGTCGGGGTCTTTAGAAAATTTCTGTCTTTTTATCCTCAGACGAGTCCCAGGACCTATATCCTTTCGGTTAACAGACTAAGCGCTGTAGGCAAGGGTGGCGGATGAGTAGGCTGTCAAAGCCTAAGTGTATGAACAAAAGAAAATCCAGACACGCATGGAATGTAGATGGGGGGGGGGAGTACGTAGTTCTCCTAACTCTTGATGCGAAAAGGGAACCGGGGACCGAGACCCCCTGTTATGTCAAAAGCGCCTTTGCCTAACGGGTCATGCCGTCTTTGCGATTTCGGCTGAAATTTGTCAGCAGTTCCTGGCGAAATTTGTCATCGGTCTTGTGCTCGGCAAAGTGGATGTATGAAAGCGGTAATACCAGGCGACATTCCCAGGTCCGACAACGCGTTGCCAAGCTCGCCATTTTAATCAGGGCCCCTTACTTGGTTGCCTGGGTTTTGGGGAGCGAGACTTTTCCTGAGGAAGCCCACGAACCCCGGCGTCATATAGAGGTTTTCAATGTTCGGCCTACGGCAAGCGGCAGGAGAGATGTGTAAATAGGTATGCCTTCGGGGTCGGTGAAAGTCTCAGAGCCTGTCGCTTCTCAAGTATACTATCAACAAATGCAGCATCGTCTTAAATCCCGTGTTAATCGCCAACTAGGCTGAAAACTTCTGTTTCCACTCTTGTAATGTGCCTTCGAAAATTATTGGCAGAAGCCTGTAGTCAACAGTACTTCTGATGTTGTATATGATCGTTATTCATTGTGTTGAGTTGTCGGGCTCTGGCAGCTTCCATTGCTGTTGAACTTTATTCTCTTTCTCTTAGGTATAGGTGCTTAAGATTTTTGGCATCACTTTCTTCAAATGGATTTTCCATACCCCCCCCTTCCCTTCTAACAAACTCTTGTCGTTCAGTATCTGCGCGGCCTCTCAGTTCATAAATCCGCCTTGGCTGCGCCCTTCACAAGTCTTGCGATTACTTTGGGTCTAAAATTGGTCATCATGATGTGGTTCTCCGCACCGACATCGGCCAACGAGGAGGGTGCATCGAATCGATCCCTTACCCTATAACTCGCAGTCATCTAGCAGTTTTACATATCTCATGCCCGCCTTAATAGGTACCGAGCGAGATCGTATACCCTAAAACCACCTGACCAGCGCTCACAAGCATTAGAAGATTAAATTCTGTCACTCATCGGAATTGATGAAATGTCAAATCTCACGCAGTCTAAAGGTCACGCCCTTGCTACTCCTTGGAGAGACACATGTGAAATAAGTAATTACATCACATAAAGTAACGAGAATATCCTCCCACATAATTTAGCGGCAGTGAGAAGACACTTCTATGTAAGCCTAGGGAAGTTATGTTAGGCCTCCAATGGGCTTCATATGTCCCAAGATCATCATTTCTTACTCGGCTGAAACTCAGGCCTCTCCTCAATCTCCTTGAGGAGACCCTGGAAGATCTCATCGCCGCCGTCAGCCAGCTTCTGAAACTCAGGCTTGGACTTTGCAACCCATTCCTCAAATTTTCCAGGCTATGCAATCCGATCGTGTCAGTATCTGAGCCTTGGATAGGGTGAAAATGAGGACATACTAAAGGCAGAAAGAAGCCCCTCTCCATTGCAGAGTCAAAAGTGCCCATGATGAAGACATCTTTCAACTCTTTCTCGCGGTCGTTTGCCTGAGAGTCCTTGACTGCCTCATCCCACAGCGACACAACTTTGTTGGTGATGTCCCGGTACTGCTGTTCGGTTCTGCCAGTACCACTCCTCAGAGTGATCATGAGTTTGTTCGTCTTCATGGGCAGTCCGCCAACCCAGTTGTTATCGGGGTGATCAGCACGAATATCCACAAAACGACAGTTGACAATGAATCGAGGCGCCTTAAAGGTCGCGGCATGCCATTCGGTTATCGCACGTGAAATGTTAGATTTCTGCGCCTTGGTAATGGCCAGGATGTGGTGGAATTCATACATAGGCATTATGGGAGTAGGTGTTTTTTTTGAGGAATGAAGCTGAAACAAAGATATCGTAGCTGAAGACCAGTAAGTGTGAGAAGATTGAAATGTTATTAGAGCAATACGAGGGACTCAGGGAAGCATCTCGTGATATATCCATCCATAGTCTTTCAAAACGTCACCGACGTCGGCCATACCTGCGTGTCTGTCCGGGGGTGGCACACCTGCTTACCAATTAAACCCGTCTAGGTGGCAGGATGGGGTGGTTGAGGGATTTGTCTCCATGATTACCAATTCTACCTTCAAACTACATCGCTTTTCCCCACCCAAAGGGCGCGTCTCTGTCAATTGTGATCCTCGAAGCATGTAGGAGTAGGATCCCTCTGCCCGAGATCTTTTTCCTTTTGCCCAACTGCCACATGTTATAATTACTGGAACTGCCAATCCCACCTCTGGTCCCTCTTGATGAAGCATCTTCTCTCACCAACTAGCCAAGTTCTCCCTGTCACCGCTGTTACCCTCCACATCGACAGTTCAGAGTTAAGACCTTCAACAAGCATGACTTCCCAGAGTACCTTCCGCCGGGACGCGGTTGTCTCCACCGAGAACGCTCCTGTTCCCTTGCCTGTTTTCTCGCAGGCCATTGTTGCCAACAACATCGTTTACGTTTCCGGCAATGTAGGCATGAAGCCGTCCACTGGGAAGCTGGAGCAGGGCGTTGCTGCGCAAACTGTATTGGGTTTTACAATGTAGAACAAGTCCGAGAAGCTGAATGGTGCCTTGTCTCATAGACTCAGGTCCTGAAAAATCTCCAGGGCGTCCTGGAGGCTGCTGGGTCTGGGCTCGGCAAAGTCATCAAGGTGAACGTCTACGTGACTGACATGAGCAAGTTCGCCGAAATGAACGCGGCGTATTTGGGAGTCTTCGAAGAACCTCAGCCGGTAGGCAAGAAAACACCTTTCGGAGTCGGTGTTAATGCAACCAAACATCTGACTCGCGCTGTAGGTCAGAACCTGTGTGCAGGTTTCGGGTTTGCCTTTCGGGGCTCAGGTCGAGATGGAGTGCCAGGCACTGCTCTGAGCAAGGCTACCATATTTAATATAGCAGTTATCAATTTGAGATCGTGTTTCTGCCGTGACGCTCTTTAGTGCTCTATGCGTGAATAATATATTAAACTCTTAACTGGCATGCCCAAGCAATGTTATCCTGTTTGCAACACTTGTAATTTGTACTCAGAGAATGAAGTCTTTAGGATTTTTTCCCGGATGATTATCTAGGATGTATCGACCGTAGTCCCTTTTTTCTTGTTCACCGCCTAAGCATCCACGATTCCTCGCGTATAACTACAAGTGGTTACTGTCGGCTATTCGGTGTTGGTGGCAACGCCCAAGTAGACATCCCTGCGACACTAAGGAAGTACTACGGGGCCAAATTGGTAATCAGAGCCTGAGCATAGTAGAAGCGCTCTTAGTCGAGGCAGACTTCCGAGTTCCGACAAGAGAAGATATATTTGCATTACCGGTGGCGGCCCTTCAATTTCTCAGCGAACCTTCAACGGCTTCTGGTCAAAATCAATGCAAGGAAAATTCTCGCAGCCGCCTTCTAAAACTCTTCCTCGTCATGGCAGCCTCCGAGAATCCGCCAGTGCTCGTCAGAACCGCATTTGGGAAACCCATGCGAGACAAGTATTTTTTGTTCGGCCCAGGTCACGTCAATTTATTCCAAGGTACAGGTCTCAAGCCGCTTTTGCTTGCATACTTTTCACCACGTACTCACGCCATCCTAGGCTCTTTTGGTGGATATCCGAACACCGTTCGTGCAGCACTCCGCCGTTATCAAGATGAGGCGGAAGCAGAGCCGGATCGTTTCATCCGTTATGTCTTTCCGCAGCACCTCCGACGCAGCCGCTCTCTCCTCGCTGCCCATATGAACTGTCCTCTGGACGAGCTCGTCCTCTGTCCAAATGCCACGACGGCGACAAACACTGTCTTGCGAAACTTCCGATGGGAAGATGGCGATAAGGTTATCTACACTTCGGGGGTTTATGGTGCCCTTGAAAAAACGATTGAGAGCATCCTGGAGGACCCGAGGCCTGTTGGAATCAAGGTAGACCTTGACTTGCCCAACTCACCCGAGGAAATTGTCTCTCGCTTCAGGGCGGCCTTACAGAGGGAAAAGACCCTATGCGAGCTGACAGGCAGAGGCACGGTCCGCTTGGCCATTTTCGACACCATCGTGAGCATGCCTGGTCTGCGTATGCCTTTTGAGCAAATGACACAAGTGTGTCGAGAAGAAGGTGTCCTCAGCATGATTGATGGTGCCCACGGACTCGGCCATCTAGACATCGACCTCGCGAAGCTAGACCCAGATTTCTTTACATCCAACTGCCACAAGTGGCTCTTCGTTCCCCGAGCTGTCGCTGCCTTCTTCGTTCCAAAGCGCAATCAGCAACTGATTCGGACAACGCTACCCACATCGCATGGGTTTCAACCGCAAAAGAAAGGCCCGGTGCACGATCCTATGCCTTCGTCAGCCGAATGTAACCCGATGGCCAAGCAGTTCGAGTATTTTGGCACCATGGACGGCGCGCCTTACTGCTGCATCGATGAAGCCCTGCGTTTCTTTGATGTGGCATGCGGGGGGCACGAAGCCGTGCGACTCTACTGCACCGACCTGGCCAGGCGGGCGGAGGAGCTTCTCGTGAGAACCCTCGGGACAGAGAGTTTTGGCATCTCAGAAGAGGAGCGGGTCTTTTTCGCCCAGGTCAGGATGCCGATCGAGGTGGGCGACGACCAAGACCGCGGCCAGGTGCCCGAAGGCGACGTGGCTCTGGTGACTGATTGGATACACAAAATCTTTACGGAAGATTACCAGACATATCTCTATCTGCTGTACTACCGTGGTGGATGGTGGGCTAGACTGAGTGTGGCTGTCTATGTTGACTGGGAGGACTGCGAGTATGCCGCTCGAGTTTTGAAGGAGGTAAGCGAGAGGGTGAGAAAGGGGGAGTATAAATAAGTGGTTAGCAGATCCAGTGTCGTTTGTATAAATGCAAGGGTAGGCTGTGATCAACGGTCCTCTTCTCTGGCCTAAGTTGCTTCGAAAAGATAACCACTGTTCACATTGTCTTGCGGCCAAAATAAGAGAGTCACCAAACCTTATGGTACGGCGCTATGGTATACAGTAACGCAAGGAAAAATCCAACAGAACGAAGTAGCCTGACTTAATTACCTACAAATTCTCATTAATGATTCATTCTGGTCCAAGATGAGATGAGCATCCACAGGAGCACCTGGTTGACTTTGACTCAAATCATGCATCACGCCCTAACACGGACCCCAAGATCGGCGTATTGTTCATTCTCAAAGACATTGACCAGGGTTCCGATGTGAGGCAAGATCTCGACTGCAAACTCATCTCCGTTCTTGATAGTCACCTTCGGGTCACGTCCCACACCTACACCTGCCGGGGTGCTGGTGATGATAACTGTGCCTGCCGGCAGGGTCGTGCCCCGCGAAGGGAAGCGAACAAGCGTGGAAATGTTGAAGATCAAATCGCTGACAAGGGGCACCGCATGTTACTTGATAGCTTGGTTATGAAGCAGGAGGGGGGATGCTAGCTCACTCGGTGGTACAGTCTTGCATAGCTTGGCCGTATGGAGGCCCCTGATGCGCAGATCAACACGGGTGCATGGATACTTCAAGTCGTGTTCTGGCCATGATGACCAATCTCGCAGGCCGATAACGGCTTCATGGCCGAACTGAGCAGAGTGAGTGGAGTTAGTGTTGGCCGCAAATTTGTCATCACAACTGTCCCCAACAGCACCTGAGTCCTCGCATGTCTGTGGCACGGACTCAGTGCTAGCCATTAGCCGACGGTGATACGATGTCGGGAACGAAAGCTCAAGGTAATTGCCCATCAAGTCGGCCAATCTGAGCAAAGTGAGCAATGTGATCGCTAGCATGAACCGAGGAGGACAGAGCCTCTCGAAAGAACCGGCTTCTCGACTTCCAGACAATTCAACTCTTCGGGGTTCAATGTGATGATTCGGTCACAGCCTGCCGAAGGTTTGTTCCGGTTACAGATTTCATTGTGAAAAAGATCGGCTCATGAAGCTTGGAGGGATATCATCGTGCTGCATCTTGTAAAAATTGGTAAGGATAAAAAGGTAATATAAATATAAAAGATTTATCTACTGGCTGGTATCGCCGAGCTTTGAGCAGACTGAGAGGAGCCATTGAGCTATCCAAAATTTATAAGCCTTCACCGGGAGCAATTTCAACACATTTGCCATACCCTCACCAGAATTCGGTATCTTTAGCGCGCTCGTAGGTTCTGCTCTTCAAGAAGGGACTCTATCTCCCCTACCTATAGTTGTGCTACAACCCCGCCTCGTTTCTGCTGAACTAAATTCGAAGAATCTGGAAGCGAGGCGTGTTCGTATTCATCCTGGCTTGGATGTAGAAAGATCTTCGCGGTGGTAACGACGCCATCCGAGATGTAATCTCTGCCGGCTACGGTATGTTCAATGGCGCCTCACCCGAGATCGCCATTGGAGCAAGCAGCGGCACAAGCACCGACTGGAGCGGAATACTGTCGCTGTAGTCCTGGCTGGTGCTCGATACCGAGTAATACCCCCTAGGCGTTTGCGGTACAATATGTGTATGAAGTAAGCACAGCTTGGTCAGTAATGTATGGGAATGTTCGATTGCTACACTCACCTAACTTTTCCCCACCGTTCTTGTAGCTGCACACCTCTGGTCTTCCTCCTAGGAACCCCAGTGTGGTACTGGCTCACATTGCTACCCTACTATAGGTCCTTGCAGTTAACAGCGAATGATTTAGTCCTCGAAATTTCAAAAGGGTTCTACGACGGCGATTAGCTGCCACACCAGGTGAGTGCTAGAGTCTATGTGAACACATCATTCTGTCCATCATTTAAAGGGTTTGCCTCCACTCCTATACTTCACACCCACGAATCCTACGACCGCGGGGCCCCTAGTCGTTTATCGTCCCATTGATCAGCTCCGTACCGTGCTAAAGGATTCAAATCTAGGTGGATTGAAATGTCACTTTCTTCAGGGGCACTGAAGGTGACGATAATCGGTCTATCTCAGCCTTCCTATCTATACTTGCTTTGGCTCTTCGATGCTGGTCAAGGAATGTAAAGAAGACAGGGTTCGCGTTCAATGATTATTCAGCAATAGCAGCAACTATACTAGCTATCGGTGGTGTAGGTGTCAACCTTGCAGGTAGGATGACCACATCCCTATGCAGATTAGGCTGCTGACATGTTATAATACCTAGTCAGATAGAAGATGCGTGAAAGACATCGAAATTATACCACGTTATGATTCTTAATTTGTCAATGTAACAAAAAGGTCGGGCACGTATGGTTTTGATTCTATGTGTCACGTACTCAACCACGTAGACAGGAGTACGCCCCATGATCATACTCGAGAGAGTTCTAATATTCTGTGAATGGGCACGTTGTGGGTTAATAATAGTTGATCACACCGTCATCAATAATTCTAACCAATGTATTTCCTCCATTTTAACGTATCATTAGGATTTGGTACGCCCGAGTTCCATTGTACTGAAACCCTTCCCCGTGACCCGATGTGTAGTAATCCCGCAGCTAATGATGCGGCGTTACGCGAAACCACCGTTCTGTAGTAGCTTGTCGTATGATTCTTCAATAATTTACTGCTGTGTCACCCACAAGCTCACATCTCACGAGAGCTGAGCTCGCATCCTTATTACTGAAGTGCATCCTAGTGGCGGCCCAGTGTAGGGCTCTCCAAAAGTTCATTGAGGTGTAAGCAGTAAGCTTACAATAAATTCGGTCTCCAATATTATCATGAGACCGTACCTTGAGTAGGTACCTTGTTCTTGGCAATTTCCCATGACAGCTCTGCCGTAATGGACTTGGCCACAATGCGCATGTAGTGTCCAAACTCGATTGTACGCTAGATGAAATGGGTATGTTGTTTCAATAATAGGAATCTGCAGGTAGAATCCTATCTGTCTGCTAATAATCCAATGCTAGAATAAATCCCAATAGGTATAAGAAAGTGTATATATACCCTAACAACATCCAGTCCGCTACGATTTCACCTTCATTACTACCAAGACGCCAACCATCCACCGGATAGATCTCGCTTCTCTTCTTTTGAATTATAAACCATCCTTACACTCGTCATGCGTTTCAACAATGTGTTGCCGGCTGCCCTGGCAGCAGTTGCTGCCGCAACTGTCGTCAATGGATTAGAGAGCCGAAATCCATCGATTGCTCACTACGACAATGCACTAGACATATTCGTGCGATATGATGATGCTCCCGGCGTATATGTCCGTCACCCCACCCTCGACATCGATGATGTCGCCAGAGTCGTCCTGAAGCGCGCCGCTTTGGAGAAACGTTTCCATCATTGGTAATGATTCACCCCCTCCTCTTAAGAAATTCCTATGGGGGTGCTTTGGACTAACAATTCTAGTCCTATCTGCAAAAAAACCCCAACAACAAAATGTGTTAAGGATGGACATGTGAAACAGTGCGGAAACTGCCATAAATTTTTCTCGAGCAACGAAGCAAAGTGCACGTACTGTGAACACGCCAGGGTGCGAAAGGAACAGAGGGAAAAGAAAGAAAAGGAGGGGAAAGGAGGAAAGGGGAAGAAGAAGAAAGGGAAGAACTAGAAGATTTGTGGCTATGTGTGTTTTTCAGCCCTCGGAGGGTGTGCTAGTTCCATTATTTATCTATGTCGCCAAATCAAACGTTTTGATATCACACATCTTCTACATGGCGCAGAAAGTCTCCAGGCTCCAACTAAGAATGGTAGAGACGCCTCAAAAGCATCAGCTACTCCATCGGCTCCGAATGAATTCGAGACACGTCCACATCAAATCGATTGTTCTAATTTACTCAACTGCAGAGTCGTTCTAAATTGTCCTTCAAAATAGGCCATTCATCTTCATCCTCATATTCCCCTGACCCGAGTTCATAAAAGACATCCATTGCGTCGTCTTTTGTAATCTCCAATGCTTCCTCGATCAATTTACGGCATATATCCGAGCGATTAGCGGGAGAAAGGCATGCAATCCAAATTGCTTCGTATATATGCGACTTTCTGGTCAGAGCCAAGTCGGAGCGAGACTCAATATCTGGACCCAGCGCCTCGTTGAGCTTTTGAGAATAGAATTCTCGGTAATAGGCCAACTTTTCTGGAGGATCCTCGCGATCAGTCAAGGCTGGCCAACCATACATAAGAGGATCCCAATCCCGTGTAATCCAAGAAGGATATCGGCTGTAGCCAAGGAAACGCGGCATGGTTTGTGAATGATCAAGGTCAATGAATCCGGTGATAGCCCCAGTATCATCAACCATGACATTCTGTGAATCAAAATCAGGCAGAGTAAAGGAGAAGCCCGGGCGAGTTTCAATTTTGAATAAACAGTCTCGCATTACTGTCATTATCCGAGCTCCGGCTTTATCCCATACACTCTCCCCCTTGTCTTTTGGGGTATTTTCTTCCAAGTAGGATGCGACCGAGGTAAAGGGACCAGAGGCCTTGACCTTGACTGTATCGTCCTCTTGCCTTTCAAAGCTGAGGCATGGACCTAGCTCCATATTATCTTTGTTCACAATAGAACCGATACTCTCAAAAGAGAGCGCGGAAAGTCGAGCCATGTTTTCCGCCACGCTTGCCAAAATGTTACGGCGAACTGCTTCTGTTGTGGCCGTATCAAACCAGACACTCCCAACCGACTTGCCTTGCACAAAGCTTGTGCAAATATATGGAGCTCCGATCTCATTATTGGTCGAGGTATCGACATCAAAGACCTGGGGAACACGGATCGTGGTCTTCTCCCGAAGGAAATGCGAGGTGGCGCCATATGATCTGAGTGCCTGTGCTGCCTCCGACGATGTCAAGCCGGAGCCCCATCCTGTGGCGGGCACGCGGATGACAATCTTTGTGGCGGGTTCCAGCTCGATTATGTGAACAATATTGTACGAGCCGCTGGTGCTGGCGATGAGCCTTCCACTTGCTTCTTCTGGCAGCCCAAGGGCCTGATGCGCGATCCTCGAGGCCAATTTCAGCAACGACGATTCCTCAATGTCCACCAGCGGACCAAAGACATCCCGATCAAATCCTTCAGTGGACATGTTGAACAGAGAAGGTGCGATGAGTAGGGAAATATGATGTGGTGAGCCAGACGTGCAGGCTGATGGAGGGTAAGATGGTTGGTAAAATTTTACAAGGGTAGTGTTTGGGAAGAAATAGGTCTGATCAAACATATATCAGGCGACAGAAGCCAGTACAGTACCTGCGTACACGCGGTACTTTGGTAAATGGGAACTTTGGCAAATGCAGATAAGCAAGCGGAATCCTTGTAAGCTTACACATATACCTGCATAGTTTTGATGACAGTGTAACCATGCCGCTGTGGGACAATGCATTACAGTGAGACACACTCGCAGTTTTCCGCGCCACCAGGACACCACCACATGGCTGATTCCTCAATTTTCGCCCTATGCCTTGCCATGACGGGTTGGGGTCATTGATCAAGCCCTTTGTTCCAGTAGTACGATAACATATTGGTCTTGGATTAAGCGCACCTATTAAGGGCGCCTTAAGACTTTGGCGGGCATTGGCGCTCATGGCAGTGGTCGCAATCTAAAGTAATACTTCCTGTTGGCTTGGACAAGCCTAAAGCATTCTTGCTCCGCGGGAAGCATTACATTCTTGAAAGGTCGTCCTGAAGACCTGGTTTCGCACTGGGCGTATTGTCGCTGGCAGCTTTCGTAGACCTGTCCCATGGATACTCCGCAGAATTCGTGATGTTAGGGCTTTAATGCCCACGATGCTTTGGCGACAGCATTATTCAAACCAGAGGTCTGTAGGTTAAAGGCGATTTCACTCAAACATTTTTTTCTACACGCGGTATTGATATTCCACCTTTGAGTGTTTGCATTAGGATAGATAAAGAATATAAAGTGAAAGAATAATCCGAGACTATCTTCTCATTCCCAAGACGAATTGATAACACCTAATGTGGCTCTGGGCGGCCCTTGTTGCTCTTTTATGTGATAGAATCCTATTGAGGGACTTTTGTAATACCCGTTTAAAAGAAAAAGGGACCATGGAAGGAAATAAAAAACCAAGTCAGAACATTTACTTGACTATGGCAGTTTCGCAAAGAAGAATGAACGCGAAAAATCCCATGTTCATATTCAACCAAATCTCTCCGTGAAATAAATTCCCCGACTGCCCCAAAGGATCCACCCACACCCTCTGGGGATTCAATTGCCTGAATCTGATCTACTGTTCGACTGTGATTACAGAGCACATTGATTAGGCCGTATGGAAACGTTGCCATGGATATTTCTTGGAGGAACTAAATGGGAAGCATTAATAATCGGGAAGACGAGCAAGAAATGGCGACGCTTCGCAGCTGATAATAGCTGTTGAAGGGCTTAACCCTTGCAAATGAGCGACCAATCACTCACAACCCATGATCCTAGCTTCTCAGTCATCTTACGTCAGGTTGATCGTGAAAATGGATAGACTAAAGAAGGTGGAACGTGAAAATAACCCACAGGTGATTTTCCCATCCTGTTTCCCCCTCTTTTTAGCCAGGCTTTGATACCACAAGCCCACTGAAGAATGAATCCCGTCGAGAGCAGTCTTATTTGCATCGTCCATGGCGGATGGCATCAACCACTGCATTTTCGCCATCTAATTGATGCCCTCACCGCCAGAGGACATACCGTGGTGTGTCCCCAGCTTGCGACTTCAGGCTACGATGACGCCATCCAGGAAAAAACCTATCGGGATGATGTTGCACGCATACATGAATCACTCTTGCCGTACCTTGATCAAGGATACAAAGCGTTGGTCATTGGGCACAGTTTCGGGGGCATCACCGCCACCGCCGCGACCTGGGGTCATACCGTCGAGGAACGTACGGCCAAGGGACTCCTGGGCGGGATCTCGGCCTTGATTTACATCTCAGCGTACCCTGATCATACCAAACCCATCCTGTCAAGTGCTTTGGCTGACCCGGAGAAACCCGTGTTTGATGTGAGTCTCCTCGGCAGGCATGAAGAGGCGATCTATACTGACCGCAGCAGCCTGTGACGCAAATGTGGACGCATCAAGGCGCAGCTGAAATACTGTATCACGACTCTGACTCTGACAAGCTGCAGCCTGCCCTGGCCCAACTCTTGCGTCTCAGTGGGAAGGCGCTGATGTGCGAGCCCATATGCACAGCTCCGCAGGTGAAAATTGACAAGTATTTTCTCCTCAGCAGAAATGACCGTATTATTCCTGCTAAATACCAACGAGAGTGTGCAGAGTATGCTAGGGCAGCTATCACCGAGTTGGATTGTGGGCATTCCGCGTTCCTTCGTAGTAGGGAAGTTGAAAGGATTGTCGACTTTGTCGGAGACGTGTTACGTAAGGTTGGATAGACTTGCACTCTGATTTCCTGCCATGTGCCATTCATCTGGGACCGAAAGTTCAGGTGTGCTGGGAGCAGATAAATTCTGTAATAAGGGCCCAGGATTCATCCGGCTGCCAGATGCGCAAGGAACCCAACGTGAATACCGACACATTCAAGCTTTCATACGCAACCAAAGAAGAATAAACTGCTGAAATAAGTAGCTTCAGTCAAATGACACAGTATAATTCATACCCAGAATTCTGTTACGGAAGAGAGTTCGAGTATAAAGTTCAACAACAATGAAAGATGCCAGACCCGACATCTCAACACAATGAATACGACCCAGAATACTGTTCAAAAGCGGATGAGAGAGTTCGAGCATAAAGTTAAAAATATATGATTATTTTCAAAAGAACTAATTTATTATTTGTTTCATTTGCCGTAAACAAGGGTTATCCCAAGATCAGGCTACACACGTGACTGCAACACACAGTTTTTTTTTTAAAACATAATTTGCGGCCCATACCCGAACCTTCAACACCATAAAAACTCAAATATTAACACATTTAAGAATTAATTTATAAGATTTAACTATATTAATATAATAAGTTAAATTTAGAGCTATAATATAGTATAGATTTCTATAGATATTTGATTTAATAAAATCTAGAATTCTCTACTTTAAGATAGGGCACTGTAATATATTCATAAACCCATCGCCCAAAATTTTAATATCCACTAAGAAGGGCGTGATTCTTTCTCCCCCACGAGAGCATAGATGTATGGCTTACCGGCAACCAGCAACTACGCCGAAACCACTGACCCCCTCTCGATCCAGATGCTCAGTCATTGGTTCGGAAAGAATTACAGCAAGCCGAGTTTTATCAGGCCAGAATATCATTTCGCAAAATGTCCTATGTCAGATTAAACCTGTCTGTTGCAGGTACACAGGTCGAGGTGGTTCATAATAGCTTCACTGCCCCAACTCAACACGGAACCGTCCTCAATGACTCATGATCTGTACCTCGATTGAGAAGACAGAACGATTATCCCAGCTTTGTGGTGATTCGTATTGCCGCGGTCTCCGATGGTATGCCAAACAATCTCTCAAGTTCCCTATATTAAGAGGCCCTTGCGGTGACAAAAAAGCACCGCCTCCAGCTTTGCTAACCCTCCCACATCAACTATTCGTTACCATCATCGGTCCTCATGTCTACAAAGTGTCAGGCCACCTCAGCCTTCCAGGCCCAAGACCTCGCCCCCCCAGATGTTCAATTTGACGTGACCAGGCGGTTCCTCGCCGACAACGACGACAATAAGATCAACCTGGGCCAAGGAACATACCGAGATGAGAATGGACGGCCTTGGGTTCTGCCGTCAGTCAAAATGGCCAAGGCTAGCCTTGACGAATTCAACCATGAGTACTTGCCTATCCTTGGCTTCCAGCCGTTTCGAGACGAAGCCAGCCGACTGCTGTACAAGGGCACCCGCGCTCTTAACGAGGATACGGTGAGCGTGCATAAATATGACCCAAACCCTCGATGTCCCTATTTGAGATTGGGCTATGCCATTTTTCGACTTCAGTGACAGGAAGATAAAAAACGACCATCTAACGCAATTTTTGTAGATAGCTTCGTGTCAGTCATTGTCTGGATCGGGCGCCCTGCTTCTTGTTACTCTTGCTCTCAAGAAGTTACAATCAGCGCCGGACACCATCTACATCACCGACCCAACCTGGGTCAACCACCACCTCATGTTCTCTATAATCGGTTACAAGGTGGAGATTCTTCCCTGCTATAGGGATGGTGCATTTGATTTCGACGCCTACACCGCATCTCTCCGCCAAGCCAAGGCCGGCTCTCCCGTTGTGCTTCATACATGCGCTCATAACCCTACAGGTTGTGATCCGACGAAGGAGCAATGGAAGCTCATTGGGAGCATCATCAAAGAAAATAAACTTTTCCCGATTTTCGATTCGGCGTATCTAGGCTTTAACAGTGGTTCGTTTGATGAAGACGCCTGGCCGATTCGCTATTTTATGGAGGTGCTGAGTGTTGAGCTCGCTGTCTGTCTGTCAATGGCTAAGAGCATGGGGCTCTATGGCGAACGCATCGGCCTCGTTTCTTTTGCGACCCTGGCAAGAGAGTCATCTCAGATTGCAGAGTCAGTTCTGCAGTCTGTCCAGCGCAGTACTATCACCGCCCCTCCAGCCTACGGTGCACGCGTGGCTACTGCAGTCCTCTCGACACCATCTATCAGGGAGCAATGGCAAAAGGATCTCGTCACAATGTCAAGCCGTATACGTCTCATGCGCAAACGTGCATATGAAGAGCTCGTCCGACTGCAGACTCCGGGTGACTGGTCTTGCATCATTAATCAAACAGGCATGTTTGCCTTTTTAGGCATTAGCAAGACTCAAATTAAACATCTTGAAAGTGAGTAATTGTTTTATACCCTCAAAACATTCCCAACAAACTAATCATAATGCCAAATCAATCGAAGGAAAACATCACATTTTCATGGTTGAAACGTCCCGCCTGTCTATTGCAGGCCTGAATGAACACAACGTCCGACGCTTTGCTGAGGCCCTTGATGAGACGGTGCGGCATGTAAGATAGTTGGAAAATGCTGTTAATAAATGAAATCAGTATATTATTGAAGGGGGGAGATCCAGATCCGTCATTAAAAAGTACTCCTGAAACTTCTACCTCAAGCACTCGTGCCCTTGGTGAGACACTGTTGCCATTCCGACTACACTCAATTGTTACCTAGTATATAAGGCAAAGAATAAAGAAACAAGAAATCATCAATTTTTATGAGCAGTTGTCGCTCGTTACACACAAAATGAATGCAGAGAAAAGTAAAACACCTTTTCAACAAGAAAGATGGGCACACAGGTCAAGACTGATGGTAATTAAGGTATCTATCCCGATATCAAGTGTGGAGATATGTCTGCAAGATATCCATTGATGCTCTCCAGAAAGCACAACTGCTTATGGGGAGCGTAAAAAAACAAACTGATTCCATATAGGCCGGTAAAAATCTTCGCTACACAGCCAAACCAGGTCTTTCTTACCAAATTAGAGAGAATTCGCCATCTATCGGCGCCGATTTTCAAGTTCCTCTGACGATAAGACATGCCACGCGGCATGTGCGAGCCTTCACCGGCTGTTTGGCCGGGCTACGAGATTGGGAGCCGACATCGAAACACTTTAGCGCCAATTTTCGGCCTAATTGGTCTGACGCCGACGCAAGAGTATGACGTAATTACAGCTACACACCCCATTGCTTTGAGTTTGCGATATCGGATGGGAGCCAACTTCACCTGGCTTCAGTTACCACATCATCGGAATTCCTCATATCGCCTATCTGATCAAGTGGGACTGATAGCGGGGGAGATTTATCAATGTTCGTAGTTTCAACAATAATTTCTCGGTATATCATTCCCAGTTTCACAATATCGATGCTAAATTTACCAGCAAGTATTCAAGGGGTAGAGAGACAGAAAGGGGCATATAGGGGGAGGCTACTCATTACTGCGAAATATTCTTGAACAAGAACGCTGGGCACTTCGGTCCAAAGTCTTGTCGGCAATCCAGTAAGAATGCCGATAGGGCCAAGTCTGTCCAAAAATTGCCGTCCTAAGAACCGGCATGATGTTGTCAAGCATTCGGGAAGACCATCGTACGAGCTCGAGTATAATATGATTAGAGCTGAGATAGACATATAATACTAGGTATTTAGAATCTCCCTTTCCCAGCAAAGGACACATTCCAAAACCACCATACTTGGCCACTGTTAATAACGCTACTACTATCACTACGCTCATAGACCACCATGGCCCAAAAAACTAATGTTCACGGTCCATTCAAGGATGCGAATATCCTTAGGGCCGAGTTTGCTTCCGCCATGTCGGAAATGTACCGAACAGAAGTACCGCTTTACGGAGATTTGATCAGGATTGTCCATGACATCAACAATGCTTCAGTCGTGGCCAGTGCAAATGATGAGCTCATAGCCGACACGGCAGCTCTTCGGGCAAGTGCTGAGAGGCTCACACTGGAGAGGCATGGAGCCATTCGCCTTGGCACCCCCAACGAGCTTCAAACTGTGAAGCGGATTTTCTCTGTTCTCGGTATGCATCCTTTCGGCTACTATGATCTCTCTGTGGCTGGACTTCCAATGCATGCAACGTGCTTTCGACCAAGCCAAGTTTCGAGTCTAGATCTAAACCCATTCCGCGTCTTCACAACTTTACTTCGACCAGAGCTCCTCAAATCGGAAGAGGCAAAAGCCCAAGCATTGGCACTACTTGGCAAGAGGAAGATCTTCACAGACAGGCTGCTGCAGCTACTCGATATAGCTCAGTCTCGTCAGAATCAACTGACCGAGGAGCAAGCCAAGGAATTCATCCCGGAGGCCCTTCTTAGTTTTAGCTGGCGGCCTGTTGCCGCTGCTACTCTCAAACAGTATGAGATTTTAAAGAATGAGCACCCTATCCTGGCCGATATCGCTTGTTTTCAGAGCGCGCACATCAACCACTTGACGCCTCGGACCTTGAACATTTCAGCTGTTCAAGAGGCCATGAAGGCGGCTGGAATGGAGGCCAAGTCTCGCATTGAAGGCCCCCCGCGTCGTAAGTGTCCTATCTTGCTACGCCAGACTAGCTTTCTCGCCCTGGAGGAGTCAATAAAGTTCAGGAAAGGGTTATCTGAAAATGATGCGGGTCTTATCGAAGGCAACCACAAGGCTCGGTTTGGTGAAATTGAGGAGCGAGGAGCGGCAGTCACTGCCAAGGGTCGAGACCTCTATGACAGGCTCTTGTCTGAAAGTCTGACAAAGAGCGTCAAAGCAAGCCCAGAGGAGGCCGAAGTTATTTTCTCTGATGTTTTCAAACAGTTTCCCGATGAATGGAAAGATCTTCGACAACAGGGCTTGATCTACTGTGAATTCCGCTGCGTTAAGAAGGAAGCTATACATTCAATGACTCAGGATGACCGCCTCCCTTTACTAGAGCAATTGATCTCTGAGGGATTTGTCAAAGCGTCACCAATCACGTATGAAGATTTTCTTCCATTCTCCGCGGCAGGGATTTTTCAGTCCAACTTGCAGTCTAGCAAGAACACTAGTGGAGGGCCGGAGCTACATGCGGCAAACGCAGATCCTTCTGGTTTCTCAAGCTCGCTCGGGTCGGAGCCGACAGATATCAACTCATGGTATTCTCAGCAACAACAAAGCAGCCTTGAAAAGGTGGCCTGGGAGCTTGGGTTCACGGTGGCACAATTGGCGTAACAATAGCAGGAATCCAATCGCAAGAATGGGCGCTTATGAGTGTTGTGGCGTGGGAAACAAAATTGCTACTTTCTTTATGACCCAAAACTCAATACAATGATTTGACAATGGCGCTAGTATGAGTATGTCGCCCTCGTAAATACCCAAGGTACCTACCTGATCTTACGTGCCTACCTATGTTAGTAATAACTACCTATACATGGCTGGGTAGGCCAGGTTGAAGAGTACGACGCATGTACGGTTTAAACACTGGAATTCAGACGACATTAGGTACATAGTATGTGCTTAGTCATCAAACACTCCGACGTCGGCGTCGCTTCCATACTAAGCCAAATTGTTCGCTCCACAAACTGCCAAGTTTCATGTTACCTACTTTCCCGTCAACACCCACAAGTGATTGGCCCTCGAGTATGGCGACTACGTCTCGCACGCGCGCGCAAAGTACCTTAGGCCATGCGCATCGAAACCGTCTTGTACATGACTCTCGGGCTCTTCTTGAGTGGTTGTCCATAACACCTTGGTCGTAGCGTTCGTGCATGGGCAGAACCACTATGTCTCCTGAGGAGGATGCCGAAAGAGTTGCCGAGTATGGCTCGAGGTCAATTCCGACCAAGGTCAAAATAATTGCGTATGTGCTTTGCATAATTTTTCTTCCTAGGCGCAGGGCGCTTCAACTTGATGTCTCTCAGACACCCATTTACTATTTGTTACAATTGTTCTGACGTGTCTATAGCTGCCGACGTTGCCATTCCAAAAAAGTGAAGTGTCCCGGTGGCCAGCCGTGCCGCACCTGTGTACAGTCGAGTTGTGAAGAGGACTGTGTCTATCCTAGAAGGGATCGAATGATCAAAGTCAACCAGAGGTGAGACCAATCACGGATTGTCACCCCAGGAAGACTTACGCTTAGTGATGGTGTAAAGCTATATTGAAGGGTTGCAACGTGATATTGAACGACTGAACAATCAACTGAAGACCTATAAAGATGTCGAGTCTCAGACAGCTGAGCAAGCAAATCCTACCCAGTTGCCAGTGTCAGAACCCCAGGATCCTGTAGGTAGTGACTCGGGACAACCTACCTGCCAAAATGAACCGAGCACGAATCCCCTACTGGAAGCAACCCCATGGTTCCTCCCGATTCACTCCTCTAAAGTACCCATCCTGATTGGTGAAGTCGCGGATGCGGCGTTCGCCACTCGGTTTCGACAATTATTAACAAATCAAGCCCTTAACCATATTCCCCGCATCAGCTATCCGAGCAACGAGCACATTGATGAGCTATCCAAGTCTGAGCACGCTCAACTGAATCCAACACACGCTCGGTTTCTCACAAAAGTGGCCCTGCGGTATCTGACTGGATGCTATCACATTGTTCGAGAAAGCAGCATTTGGGAATTACTAGCGCATTTCCTTCAATCACCATCAACACTCGATACACTCTCGACTTGCAAAATTTTCGGGATACTTGCCCTGGGCGACCTTTTCTCTAGCCGCTGTCAAACCCAGGCGGCAAGTATTCCGGGGCTTACATATTTTAGTTATGCTAGCAAGGCACATTCCATGCTACAAGAACGACCAAGCATCGAGGCCATTGAAACATCGCTCCTTCTGGTGACTACTGAGTTCCATTATAACCCCGTGTCTAGATGCCTGGTGTTCTAACCGCTTTCAAGTGCCTCTACGCGCTTTGCATCAATAGGAGACACTCGTCTTATTTCCTGGCCAGTTCAGCGGTTCGGCAAGGCATTGTAATGGGCTTACATTTCAATTTTCCCGAAGGACAATTAGAAGATCCTACGACGAGAGAACATCTGAACAGGGTTTGGTGGACATCATATATTCTCGAACATACCTGCGCGGCTATTAGTAGTCAAACAGTCTCTGTGCCTGATGATGAGATCTTTACAAATTTTCCCGTACCTATGGAAAGCAATGTTCAGCCAACCCTGGATTTTCAATACACGGACTGCTTCATCGCCAGAATACAATTAGCAAGAGTCTCTCGTCGAATCATAAAAGCTCTCTACGGACGATCCGCGCAAAAGGACCCCTTTTTACAGCGGGTACAACATTCTCTTCGTGATCTGAAACAATGGCTCGACAATTTACCGCCTGGGCTGCAGATGACCTCACAGTTGTCACAACCGGTTCAAGATCCTGTCCAATCTCTTCACCTTACTTTTAACCAGGTAAATTACATACACGCACACCCTCGCACGCATATACTTACCAATTGTTACTTCTTGCATGATTCTCTATTCTTTGAAATTAACTCGGGTCCAGTCCATGATTCTTGCCACACGACCAGTGCTCCTCCATATGCTGCGGATGTACAAAGAATCCACTGGGAGCACGCCTGCAACCTCAGAGAGGCTCGTGTCCGAGACTGTTCAAACCGTGAGCGAAGCTTGCATCCGCTGCGCTAGGCACTCATACGGCGCTATCCTTGACTCCTGGATCGAAGGTTCATTTCGAACATTTGATTACTTCAACACGCGACACCTATTCTCCGCCGCAACCGTGTTGGCCATTTCAGGATTGCTGGGTGGGGCTAAAAGCAATAAAGATCACGAGGACTTCCAGTTCACGGGCCAATTACTCGCTCAGCTGCGCGACTCTGGCAGCTTCCCTGCTATGGAGTTTTGCCACCACCTCGAGTCTATGATGGACAGTATACAGACTTATCTAGCAAGTCAGCAGGATCTAGTATCTCCCACGGGAGCTCATGCAGGACTGTTCTCCACTGGCAACCTGCCGCAGACAGAGGATGCCCTTGTCAGTGCCAGGCAAATGACCTCGGAAATGGCTCTTGCGGAGCCATCTATTGAAGAATTCCTCCTTCAGAGCGAACAGAATATTGCACAAATGGAGATATATTTTGATGAATCAAGAAATCCAGATTTGTATTGGCCAATTTAATAAATCAATACTAATTTATTCAAAGAAGCAACTCTTGATGGTGACGGGAGTGCTGATGAGAGTTCGAGTACAAGGTAAAAACAGCAATGAAAGATGCCAGACCCGACATCTCAACACAATGACTACCAAAGGCAAAAATAAGCTCTGCTAGCCCAAGGCTACAACCACGCAGAAGGAAAACTCTGAATGCCTTCACACCGACGACTCGCCGCGAGTCAGATCACTATTTATTCTACCCTCTTTCACCCAGCTGCCACAAGTGAGAGTCACCTGTTCACTAGAGCCATCAAATTGATTGGGCCTGCGAGCTTATTTTTAGCATTCTCAACTCGCTTTAGTAACGTCAAAGCCATACCAGTCCTGTACTTGTCCCGTGAATTTCCCCTCGTACCCGTGCCTACACAGCGATTAGGCTTTCTTTGGTCCCACTAGTCGGTTCGCTCATTCTTGTTGCTCTACCGGTTAAAGATAGAGCGTGAGGCATAGTTGCTGCAACTTGGTAGCCGCGTGTTGCATTGGTTGCTAGCACGACATCGCTGGTGGCCAGCAAGATGAAAGGGGACACCAAAAAAATGGTTGTCAGTGCGAGATTCTTCGTTGTCTACTGTGTTGGGTGTATTATCAGGCCCCAAGTATGGGCAGAAGAAGATTCACCAGGTACACCAAAGGCTGTTTTCTCAGTATTGCCAGCTGGGTCGCTTTGATCATTACCCAAAGAACGTTTACATTTACCCCTTGAATTACAAATGTTGAGTAGGTTCTGTCATATGGTTGGTTTGAAACCCGCTCTTGTTTCCACTGGGAAAAGATTACCAAGTCCGCTAGTACACAAAGTACAGAGGTACAGAAAACAATACAAGTCTCAAATATTGGCTCAAGCAAGGGCTCCAAGTCATGATGGATATTTGTGATCCAGAGAGATGTGTATGTATGTACAACAGAGTAATACCATCCGCTTATACGCCCCTTGCCAAACCCCTGGGGATTTGAATGTGTCTCACTCGTAGGGTCTCTAGAAGAGGAATGATTGCCAAGAATTGTTGCCATTGTTATTGTGAATGAGGTGCTGCATAGTACATAGTTTACCTGCGTTGTTGACTTCTTCAAGTCAAGTGCGGACCAACAATAGTAGCAAGCCTAAAAATCGACGATTCTCGACAAGTCACCCATCACCACTAGGGGTTACGATACTACAAGTATTAGAAATTATAGAGAAAGTCTGTTTACTCAATCTCGCAATTTATCAAGCATGTTTTTCTAAACTCTCTTCCTCTCTTCCCTTCCAGTTACTGGTTTCTTGAACTATAGGGTAATCATACTAATCAGGAATGGTCTTTGTCTCACAGACTCAGAAAGGGGGCTCTGGTTAACTTTATCAGCTGGCTCTTATGAGCTGGCCTCCGCCCTTGCCTAGCGCTTCCATAAACCTACGTAGTTAGTGGGCAGCGGTGATTTCCGTCCCCTTATTTCTCTTGCTGCCAAGCACGTCAATGTTCTTTGCTTGATAGCGAATCCCAAAGCGGCGAAAATGAAGCCTGGTTTTGTTATGCGTTGATTTTCAAGCATGTAGTGATGTCGTGTGTATATCAGTGCCCGCAGCGAGTGACTGCAGAAGACGACCTTCAGTAATCTCGGCAGTCTCCTGTGATTGGTGAACTTGTGTGTGTGGAAGCTAACCCAAAACAGCTTCGCCTATTAGGTATTCTCTTATCGTTTTATGGGGCCGGGGACCAGCTCCATCTCGCCGTCTTGGCGCCTCCACATGATAGGGGAAAAAAAAAAACAGCCGCCTGCAAACTCGGCAGACCATGACCTGGTGGCATCCCTGTGAGGCCATTTCCTGGAGAACTACCATCATCAACTACAAACTTTGACTACCCGAAACCGCCAACTAGAGCCCCGATAGTATCCTCTGGAAATGAGTACATCTTGGCAGTAGATCAAGATGAGGCGTGTAAGCTGAAACGATAGATGTGATGGGTTTTCCCATGGTTTGAACGCCCAGTTGAGGCAAAATACTAATGGGAGTTCGCTAAACATGGAAGCCACGGACTCAGCCGCGGCTTCTACAACAAACTCACTGCTAACTTCTCCCAACAGTTTGAATAGTACGTAAACAAAATCGGACCCCTTAGGTCTTCGGCCAAGAAACAATGTGGTCGACGTGGGGGCCACGTTGTGAGTGGAGGCCGGAGGTTCGATCTCCCTGCCGATGTCCAATCACATTGCGAAACTCCCCCCCCAAATTGGAGTTTTAGGATCTCCCATGGGAGCTCCGGGACTTGTAAAAAAGTGACTGTTGAAAATCAGGCTCCTACTGTCGGTGAGAAGTAAACCAGTCCGGCCGAACCTTACATGGGATTTTTTTCAGCGGTCATGCGCCGTGACAATATCCAGAGCTGCCATGGACGAGGAGAAATGGTAAGACGCTTGGTCACGTTATATACTTAGGCATACAGCATACATGGTCTCCATGACATCCACATACTGTCTTTATCATCATCACCTATTACCATCACTATGTACATCACGACAGAATACACACATTTTTACAACAAGACTCGTCTTGATAACGCCGTTCAGTCCGCTGCGGCCGTGTGCGTTGAGAATCTTTCCAAGTGGGCTGAAGCCATTGAAGAGATCAGGACGTGGCCTGAATATGAGCCGCAGCCCTTGCACTCGCTACCCCATCAGGCGAAGAAACTTGGCATTAACAAGTTGTTCTTCAAAGATGAAAGCAAGCGCTTTGGTACATCGCTTGGATCCTTCAAAGCCCTTGGAGCTCCGTATGCAGTGTTCAAGATTTTGGCCGACCAGGTCTTCTCGGAGACTGGCAGCAGGCCAACATCAGCAGAGCTCCGAACTGGAAAGTACATGGATATCACGCAAAGGGTGACTGTTTGCGTCGCTACAGATGGAAATCAAGGTCGAGGGCTGGCCTATGGTGCCAAGATTTTTGGTTGCCGCTGTGTCGACTACATCCACAACCATGTCAGTGAGGGGCGCGCGCAAATGATGAAGGAGTTGGGCGCTATTGTTATTCGTATTGATGGTGAATACGAAGCCTCTGTCGAAAGAGCCAAGGAGGACGCTCGAATGAATGGATGGCATTTTGTCAGCAGTACCTCATGGAGCGATTTCGACAATGGTATCCCTCAGAACGTGATGAATGCCTACATGGTTGTTGTGGAAGAGGCCCTCCAGATGGTGCCTGCCGTGGAGGAAATCACACATGTCTTCGTCTGCGGGGGTGTTGGCAGTATCGCCGCAGCTGTGTTTCTGGGATTCTTCACTCGCTACGCCCAAATTCAAGAGTCGCGTGGAGCGAAGCCACTGAGTCCTCCTAGATTCATCGTGGTTGAGCCTAAAGAGGCAGATTGCTTGTTCCAAAGTGCAAAGAAAGGCGAGATGTGTCTGTCCGAGGGTAGTCTTCGTACTCTGATGGCCGGTCTGGCTTGCCGCGGCCCCTCGCCAGCCGCATGGAAGATTCTGTCATGGCTTACTAGCGACTTTGTGGCCGTTCCAGATGAAGTTGCAGTTGAAGGGATGAAGGCTTTAGCGAGTGGGAGTGGAGGTGATATTCCTGTTGTTTGTGGCGAAAGTTCGGCCGCCAACATGGGTGTTATCCTCCAGGCTGCCAACGATCAAATATTCGGTGATAAATTAGGGCTAAACAGCAACAGTCAGGTGGTTTTATTTGGACTTGAAGGAGCAACAGACCCTGCCATTTATGAGAAATTAGTTGGTAAGACTCCCCAGGAGGTGTTTGAAGCACAGCAAAAGGTCTCCAAACTCTAGAATAGAACGCTGAGATGGACATGCATCACTGAAACACGGTATGAGAAGACACTGGAATTAATAGAATCGAATTTCTAGAAGAAAATAGCCTGTACTATAATATAAAGTTGTCTCAAGATCTCTGAGCCCTATAGTGTGCCCCTATCTATACGGAATGGCCTTCTGAATAAGAAGCTCCTGCAAATCTTGCCACACACTGGGTAAACAAAATCTCTATTTACATTGAGATTCGAGTATAGAGAATGGGCTCTGGTGTCAAATTCTGCACGAGTATCTAGGGGCAGCCGTGTTACTCCCGCGCAAGTCCTGATCTGTCGTTTGTCGAAACCAGCATGTAACAACAGGCATCAAAGTCTAGGGGAGTGATCAAATCGAGGCTGACGCTTTCAGTAACTGCTTTCGTGTATGCAATCGGACTACCGTATTAAGATTAAGTCGTTAGTTGCACGATGGGGTACGCTACGGTGTCCTCGACCATCTTGCCGATGTTGGGGTCTACCCCTGAGCTGCTGGACGAGTATCCTCATATTGCCGATAGCTGCATCTTGTATCTCTGGCGGCGGAGCATGCTTAGTCTATACTTGCCTTGGTTAGAGTAGGCGTGGGGCGCGATAAATGTATCTGTCTGCTAACGAGACTAGACGGTCACTCTCGCCTTTTGCTGCGGCGAGTCAGGTCTCGTTACGAACTGTTTGGAGGACCGAGAATCGACCCTCGGCACCTCGCTTAGCCTCCCGGTTTCTTATCTCGGGGTAATGTCCAATCGGCCGCTGAACTGAGAATCGAGCCTACTTTGTCCGGGGTTCCCAATGTCTGGGGATGCCATTGAGATAAGCTCGCAATGTGGAGGTTGAAGCATGAAACCAATGCTATAAGAAGTACTTATTGTGCGGGTATTCTAGTCTTTGTGCAAACTCTACGTCATGAACTTCTGATTTCCGGACCACAAACATCACAGCCTAAGCTCTGTTCTATCGTTGTTTTTAACCCGAGACCACAAAGTACGACCAGAATGCACAACGTACCTGCGGACCCGAAATCCAAAGATGTTGAGAAGACCGGTGATTATGAGGATAGTGTGGCAGCTGGCCAGGTGCAGGACGGCAAGCAAATACCGCACACCACAGGTCTGGAGACGAGCCCTGAGACTTCACTCCAAAGAGGTCTTCAAGCGCGCCATATTACCATGATTGCTATCGGAGGCGCAGTTGGCACTGGGCTTGTCATTGGCACAGGTAAAGCTTTAGCACAGACTGGCCCTGGATCTGTTTTGATTTCTTACACTATAGTTGGGTTCATTGTGTTTCTCGTCATGGCAGCCCTGGGCGAAATGGCTGCATGGCTCCCAATATCTGCAGGATTTACCGGATATGCTGCAAGATTCTGTGATCCCTCTCTTGGCTTTGCTCTCGGCTGGTGGTGAGTTGTCTAATTCTTGTGGAACTTCAACAAGAGCTTTTGGCTGGGAGATATCCGCTAACATTTCTATCTATAGCTATTGGTTTAAGTACATTGTTGTCACTCCAAATCAGTTGACTGCTGTTGCATTGGTTATTCAGTTTTGGGTTGATCGCAATACTGTCAATCCGGGAGTATTCATCACGATTTTCCTTGTGGCAATCATATGTATTAACTACTTTGGTATTCGCTTTTTTGGAGAGTTCGAGTTCTGGTTATCATCATTCAAGGTGCTGACAATCATTGGCATAATTATCTTTTCCCTTGTACTTGCTCTTGGGGGCGGCCCAGATCATGATCTTAAAGGATTCAGGTACTGGAAGGACCCAGGGTACGTCTATAGTTTCTTCCTATGCATACCTCCATACTAACCTATGCAACAGCGCGTTCCGGGAACAATTTACAACCGGGGCTACTGGAAGATTTGCAGGTTTCTGGTCCTGCATGGTCAACGCTACATTTGCCTACCTTGGAACTGAGCTTGTCGGTGTGACTGTCGCTGAAGCTCAAAATCCGCGAAAAACAATTCCTCGCGCTATCAAGCTTACATTTTATCGGATCCTCGTCTTTTATTGCCTAAGCGTCCTACTTATCGGGATGATAGTGCCCTGGAATTCCGACCGACTACTCTTTGCTACAACACAAGCCAAGACAGGTGCTGCAGCCTCACCCTTTGTTGTCGCTGCGGAAATCGCTGGCATCAAGGCCATTTCGCATATCTTGAATGCATGTATTTGTGTATTCGTCTTCTCAGCATCTAACTCGGATTTATATATTGCAAGTCGAACTCTATACGGCCTTGCCTCTCAAGGGCAAGCACCAGCGATTTTCAAGCATACGAATTCCAGGGGTGTACCTGTCTACGCACTTGGATTTTCAGCATTGTTTGCTTTATTAGCTTTCATGAATGTATCAGACGACTCGACTAAAGTATTTGGTTACTTTGTTAACTTAACGACAATCTTTGGCTTAGTGGCATGGATATCAATCCTTGTTACCCATATCTCTTGGTGCCGAGCACGCAAAGCACAGGGCCTCAGCGATGCTGAACTACCATATAAAGCACCTCTTGGGATAATGGGTTCATATGGTGCTCTAGCTCTTTGCATCTTGATTGCCTTGACCAAAAATTACGACGTGTTTATCGGAGGAGATTTCGGCAATGAAAAGTACAAGACCTTCATAACAGGTTATATTGGTATCCCCGTCTTTTTGATTTTTATCTTTGGGCATAAATTTGTTACAAAGAGTCGTGGGTTAAAACCTCATGAGGTTGACTTATATACTGACAAGGACGCAATTGATCGCGAGGAGGAAGCCTTTTTAGCGAATCAAGCTGCCCAAAGGGAGTCAGAGGAGGTTCACGGTAAAAGCTGGTTTTACAAGAACTTCATTTCTTGGCTCTTCTAGGTTCTTTAGACCAGCTAGAATGGCCAATGGTTTCATTGTCTTTCAAATTTGTCTTTTCAAGTTCTTGTTTGTCTCGCGAAGTCAATTTGGAGCAGCAAAATCATAGAGTCCAAAAAATTGAAAGGTCATTTTGGCATTTCCACTTCGTCCACTTCTTCGCGCAATAAATAAAGCCATTTCAACTTATCTGCTGTCTTATCACGTACACGAAAATTATGTTCACTTGATTAACGGCGGTGAGTCTTGTGTTGCGTGCGAAGCGGGAAATTTAGAATACGATACACCCTCACTTTTATCACAGAAGTACTTCGTCATGGTCAAACAGATGATTCCTACTTCCGCGACCCTGAAGTGAGACGAAAGCATTTGAGATTCATAGATATAGGGGATTTGCTTCGAATTTTAGGTAGATGTGGATATTCTTAAGATTCTTGTATTGATTCATCCTATCCACATTGCGGCTTATCATGCCCATTACAATCCTCAAGTCGACTGACTCTGAGCTCGGGCTCAAAGATGAGCCGATGCTTCAATTTCGACATCAGTAAGTCTGGGAAGCTGCTTCACAGCGACACATGTTCGGACCTTGTGATAAAATGTTAGCAGTTTTGGGACAGACCGATTGGGAGTAGAATGGTATCACTGGTACAACGCCCTGGTTGAAGACCTCACTGTAAGCTTGGTTCATCAAGTCGTAATTACTCATGTCAGTAATGAAGACGTTAACCTTGACCTAGAGACGGAATGTTATTATCTGGGGCAAAGATCGTGAGAAACCGAATCGTGTTTTCTTACGGCGTTTTCGATGGAAGTGCCGGCAGCATTTAATATGCTGGAGATGTTCTTTAGGCACTGGGTCTGAGAGGATCTGTATCAGGATCATGATATTGTGGATGGCTGTCAAGGTACCAACTGTTCTATCTTGAATAGTCCCTTCCACTAATTGATTTGTCTTCGGGTCAACACCAATGGCCCCGGAAACATACACCATGTCGCCGACAACAACTCCCTGAGAGAGGAAGGATGGAGGTGCTGGCGCGTTGGTAGCATGGACTTTTTCTTTTTTGTGAGGCATGTTGGCTTGGCGTGTAATTGATAGAAAGGGAAGATCAAGGTAAATGAGGTGGATGAATTGCCCTCAATGTAGGTAGGTGAAGGTGTAAAAGACTTGTAGATGTCCGCTCTTATCATTCTCGGAGTCTAAATATCTGATCCGGAGCTGGCTCGTAACCGCCGACGCTCAAGACGAAAGGGCCGGAGCTTAACGTAACATGGCCGAAGCTTACCGAAAGTCAAACATCTATCTAGATAATTCTCTTTGCCTCATAACTTTTCAGAATAAAGCTTCAACAATACAGATAGATTATACAGCAGAAGATGTACACAATTTAGAGTCCATCCGCCCTTGTAGTAAATATATCTTCATCAGCCAATAAGCTCAGTCGAATTTTGTTCATACATCAATACGAGCAGCAGATACGGGTTGAACCTTATCCCAAGAGGCCATTTGGCCTCTACGGGCAACATCTTCGTGGTGCGCACCAGCGGCGAACTTTCGTTTTTAGAAGCTTCATCCCCAGTCACATCATTCCTTCGGCTTGCACAATCGCAACTCAATTACATATTAAGAATGTACATTGGATGACTGAAAAAGAACTAAGCCTCTACAGTAATAACAGTGGCAGTAAAGAAGCTACATTTGACATTTCAAAATTGACATCTTCCATAACACTCTATCCGAGACTGGCTGGGACAATGGTTGCCCAAGAGTGTTAGGTGTTCCCGTACATAATATCCTCAAGTGATATTATTAAGAAAATATGGTGAAAAATGGAAGCCATGATCCAACACAGTCAGGGGAACTGGTAGGGAATTTATATGTGAACTGAAGGCTTATGGATCTCAAAGCGCAACTAGTCGAGGGTGAAACATGGGGTAGCAGGGAATGGCGCAATGGACCAGCTTGTTGGGGCCACAGTTCAGACTTTGAGTTCGGATTTAATGAACCTAGGCCTTGGGGAAATGTCCGAGGTGGCAGGCCCCGCGAGAAAGGCACCTGACTCACAACGAAAGTATTTCGGCGACACTATCAAGGTGCCGATACATTCAGGTCTCCCGGCTCCAGACTACCTAGCAACCATTAGTTAAGCGGCATCATCAGGCTGACCTAGAACCGGTAAGTAAATTGCCAACGCTTGACGGAGACTATATTACATACAAGTACTATTCTCTCATCTACTTGGCATCTTTTTTTGCATTAATAATTATCTGGTTATACCTGATAAGGAGTGGCAGCAAGTATCTCAGAAAGACAACTCCAATTTTAGTTGTACAGAATACACATATTACGTAGTCCATGTCATGGTTGTGAAGGCGGCTAAATAAGGCATGCTCTAGAGAGTATTCTGTTGCATTAGATGGTCCGATATGGAGACTTTCTAGTGAATGAGGATCAACCTTCCCGTCACCGTTCCTTGATGAAGCTGCTGAAGTGCGTCGTTTGCTTGGTCCCAGGGAATCTTTGTGATGGGAATTGGATTCAACCTCCCGCTCTAAGTGATCTCAGGAACATCTTGAAGGTGCTAGGGTGTCCCCGTCATGTTACCAATCAGTGACACCAAGCGCAAAGGGTACCAGCGAAACACGAGCCTCCCCACCCATGATTCCGACCACAACAACCTTGCCGCCTTTTCCCACACTGGCCAAGGCGAACTCGGCAGTTGCCTTGTTGCCAACAAAGTCAATAGTTCCGACGAAATGGCGCCCAGCAACTGCCAAGGCTTGCTTAATAGGGTCCACGGCCTTTAGGTGTTTGTGCCGGCATATGTGCTTAGAACGGCTCTCATTTACAGACATCATGGAAGGCCTCCCCAGCTATTGCTGCCGGAAACACCTTTATTCTGAAGTCTAGCGAGAAGACACCGATTGCTCTCTACCAATATGGACAGCTTTTCAATCAGGCTGGCTTTCCCCCCGGTGTGATCAATGTCCTTGCAGGCGCCAGCCAGGTTGGCGCTCTACTTGCCAGCAATATGGACATTGCCAAAATTGCATTCACTGGTTCTGTCGTTAGCCAAGACTGATGGTGCTCAAACTGATCCAGTGAGCATTTGACATAGAGGCTCAGGGTTTGTGGCCGCCGTAATCTTTGCGTGAGCCGAGTCCAGTCTAATCTCAGAACATTGTTTCACCGGATAAAATCTCTGCCCTCCACTGTAGCCCTATTCATGTAGCTCTTCACGCCAAAAGCTTGACTAAAATTTGCAGGACCGCTTGTCGCTTGTCATAAAGTCCAAGGCCCCAGTGCTATCAAAAGCATTTACTGGGGAAGGGACTTGTATCAAGGTAGTAGGCGTTCGGCGGGAGGAATTCCTTTACGCCGAGCTGGTGTCGGCAAGTTTGCGAATCAACCGAACCTAATAAATCCGAGGGCCGCGGCCAAGCAATCAATTTAAGCAAGACATTGTATCTAATCCATCTACACCTATACCGAGGTAGATGGAAAAATGCTTCAACACAACGTTAAGCTTTTATTACGCCAATCGCTGCCTCCTAGCGAACGAACACGCGCCTTAGCATCCATCACATCCACTGCAGCAGGCTTGGGCCGGGCGACTCGCAGTTCATTCTACTCCTCGCAGTCTCGCCATCATGGTGCGTTTAATCTATGGTTTCATCTTGTCTGCTTTTCTCAGCAATCTCACTACTGAAGCCTACTTACGCAAGATCCCCGCAGACCATTTGGTTCGGCCGACATCGAAGACCTCATTAAGGCTTATGCCACTAGGAGGCTCGGTCACGTACGGCGTCGGGTCATCGAGTGGCAACGGCTACCGAGAATTTCTTCGCGCGATGCTCGTCGCTCATGGCTACGATCCTGTCATCGTCGGCTCGCGCAAGTCAGGCTCCATGAGCAATAATGAAAATGAAGGATGGCGCGGATATAGGCTTGATCAGATAGACAAGAAGGTCAGGAGCTCTGTGGAAAAGCTTGCCCCAAACGTCTTCGCGATCAACGCCGGATCCAATGATTGTATCCAGGATTTCAAACTCGATGAATTCAAAGAACGCATGAGCGGCATAGTTCAATTTCTTTGGCAAACAGATCCGTCTTCGACAGTTGTACTATCCACGCTTCTCGTCAACGGTGATGATAAGGTGAACTCGCGAGTGCTGCGCGTAAATGAGCAGATCCGAGATTTGGTCGTACAAGAGACTGGCCGTAATAATAAGATTGTCCTTGCGGATATGCACAGCGTCGAGGGACCACAGCTTGATGACCTAGTTGATGGGACACATCCTGGCGACACGGGTTACCAGCTCATGGCCGGCATTTGGTTTGATGCGATTCAGAAAGCTCGAGAAAAGGGCTTCTTTGCCAAGTAAACTAAATGCCCTCTCTTGGTTTCTATTTCAGTCACTATTTAAACTTGCAAGTTTCAAAAGCGTCTCATCAAGGCACATTTCCTCTAGCAATCTTTTTTCTCCTACGATCACTTCTCTCCTTCAAGTTCTTGCAGAACAAAGGGCAGCGATTTCAATGTTCTGGGGGATCACCGACAGTCTTCTCCTTGGACGACACCTCAGTTCGCTGAGCGAAAATTGCTAGAGGTTGGAGATGTTGAGAGAAATCGAACACTGATACCTTCATCGAAGCTAGAGTTGCATGCCGTGGAAGAAAATCTGATAATGAGTGACACTTGAGGGCTGATTATAGCCACCAAGGGTACTTTCTGAGATGCCCGGGGATGGCAAGTGAGACGGTTACTAATAGGCATTAAGTCTGTTGGCATTTAAATTTCAATTGCTTAATCAAATTATGGCCATAGCTCGGTGGTCTTCCATGAAGCTGCCTCACTTATAGACCCATCAAACTTGTAATTCCATCGCCGCGCCTCACTCGGGTCCTTGAGATCCAACTGGTCAACCTCTTCAGGCACGATAATAACGACACGAAAATACCTTCTCGCAAATTCATCTTGAAGGTCATCAACCTTTTGACCCAACCCTAAACCAGCACCCGGATCCCTGCTTCGCGGTGTGCCGGGCGGTGGGTTCCGAAAAGATCCTCGCATCCCTGGACTGAGGTTGCCAAAGTGAGCTGTCAACTCACGACTCCAGCTCCAGTCCCCTTCACCAGTGCGGCGCATGTACCTTCCGATAATATTACGGATAGGTGACGCAACGTTGGAGTCGATATTTGGTCCTATCATGTACGCCCGCCCCCGGATTCGCCATTGAGTTCTGGCCTCAGGAGCCCAAAATACCGCTTCGACCAAGCCACCACCTCCAGAATGTGGCTTATCATTAGCGGTGCTGCGGAAAAAGTCTGGGGTTTTCTCCATACGCGTGTCGATGGTGATTGTGAGCAAGTCGCTTTCATATAAGCACGGGTTGAGTTCCGCTGTATTGTTGGGGTGGACAGACATGCCTGCCCACATGCCGCGGAAGACAACCGTTCGACATCTTGGAACTACACGAGGTTCACCCAATGTTTCGATGAGGTGAACAGTACTGAGACTTAGAAGAGGCGAATCCATGCAGCCAATGTGGGTGAGGAATACGGAACGCCATGGCGCGATAGGGGGTGAAATTTTCGCCATTGTGATACCAAGTAACCAAGCAATAACAATAAAGTGGTGAACACGATAAACCTAGGTTATATTGGATTATGACAAGGAACCCTATTTTTTTGCGAATATCAGAGACCTTTTTTGGGAAACAGATCAAAAGACTTTGTTTTCTTGTGTGCAAGGATGTCTTAAATACCTAGCCAAGATAACATTACCACTGCAACTCACGCACGATGTCAGCTGGCCATTACTCGCTGTTCTAAGTGAGCATCTCTTAGATAAATCAGCAGCGATTTTTGACACTGATACAGGAAACCAGGGGTACGACTTGCCTTATTGGTGGCATACAATTTCCCGCGCTCAGCCCAATAGGAAGTGGTTGGACTTAGGAATTGCCGATAAGGCCGATTACGCCAACATCCCATCATTAAATTCATTGCTAGTGAATTCGTCAAGTGTTGATTGGTTACTGTCTTGCAGTTCCGATCTAGCCAATGGCCAGAGATCAACATTCCCCGCACTAATTTAGAGTTGCAGCAAGTTTCAGCAACCCCAGACCTCCCGATGCCCCCTCAGAAATACAGGCACCTCAAACCACACTAGGTCGATCGAGGCTCCATCCTCTCCAGACCGGGGGACAAGGGAAGACCTATGATTGGGCAGGGCACCTGGCAGCCGAGCAGACCAATCGAAGCCGAAGCGATTAGGCGAGCTTCTCTTATCCCAACTTCTGCTCAATGTAGAACAGTCGAGGGTTCGTGCAACTCGGATGACAGAACCTGTTTCTTCCGAAAGGGTGGGGGAGCAGTCGTCCCTTCGTGTCTGAGCCTCGCAGATATCTATATCAATATCGTGGTGGACCTTGTGATTCAGACTGGCGTGATTCTTATCATCTAGCATATTCCAAAAGACAAGAGGTATGTCTCTGCACTACATGGTCTCAATTCCGATGGCTAATCTCTACCCTGCGGCTAGCATTCAATCCAACACTTGACTTCCCGACACTTTACAAAAGTCTTACAAGAACGAAGTCACATTGCCTACCATCCAAGATGACTAGAGTTGTTGGCTTAATCGGCGGTATGTCTTGGAAGACTACAGCTGTATACTATGAAGAAATCAATCAATATACGAGCACAAAGTTAGGCCCAGTGCATTCTGCGAACCTCCTCATCCGCTCAATCAATTACGCCGACATTGCCCGCATGGTGACGACAAAGGACTTTGAAGGCATGACCAAGCTGCTCTGCCAGTGCGGCCAGGAACTCCAGAAAGCCGGGGCCCAGTCACTGGTCCTCTGTGCCAACGTCGCCCACAAGGCGGCCGATGCCTTGGAGGAGCATTCAGGACTACCAGTGCTGCATATAGTGGATTCGTCTGCGGAGAAGATTGTCAGCGCCGGGCATCACAGGGTCGGGCTCTTGGCTACCAGGGCCGTCATGGAGGAAGACTTCTACAAGGCAAGGCTGATTGAGAAGTTTGGTCTCGAGGTCTTGGTTCCAGGTGAGGATTTCAGGGAACGCGTTGACGGTCTAATCTTTGACGAGCTGAGCAAGAACCCTATTGCGAAAGAAGCGAAAGATCATTTCCACAACGCCTATGAAGAGTTGGTTCAACGCCATAAAGTTGACTGCGTCATTTTGGCGTGCACAGAACTTAGACTTGTATTCAACGACGAAGACTTCACTGTTCCCACATTTGAAACCACGGGGTTGCATGCGAGGGGGATCGCTGAATGGGCTCTTCTCGAAAATTAGCTGCAGATTTATTCACCTCGGTTACCAGATCCGCTTAGGTTTAGTTAGTATTACTCTCTAAGTTAACAAATGCCTGAACTAAGATCGTTAGTTATTGTGTTGAGATTTCGGGTCTGCCTCTTCCATTGCTGTTTTTTAACTTTATGCTCGAACTCTCATTAGGAACTCAGATAGTATCAGGCTTCATCTTGTTGAGAAAAAGAATAAGGGGGCGAGAATCAAAAACATGACAACTAAGTGTTTAAGCAAAGGGCTAGATGCTTTTGGATACAATTAGCCTATTAAATACTATTCCTCAAGTTCTGAAGGCAGGGACTATCAAGATGCCATAAAGTTTACATTTAATACTCATGGATATTTGAATATTTTTAACGGCTACGTGGAGGGAAACAGACGAGGGAGAATGCATAGTTCTATGGTGAGTGATTTATCACATGAAAAGGCAAGGATAAGTTTTCCAGCATTCCAAGACGTTGGCACAGATTAAAGGATTAGAGTACAGAGGTAAGTGAGATGAATTGTTTAGACTAAGATCTTGTTGAATATCCTCAGTACATTATCTCATGATCAGGTTATTACATCCGACCCGCAATCAAACATTGACTGGAGCATTATGCTCCAGCGATAGTTATAGCCTGATGAGCAGTTGCTCTATCCTCCTGTGAACAACAGTTTGTGTGGTTGAATTTAAGCGAGTGCGGTAACATCCATCTCAAGTGGGCAACCAACAGGAAGCTTGGCAACCTGGACAGAAGTACGAGCAGGCTTAGAAACAAAGTATTCGCCAAAGACCTTGTTGACAGCGTCGAAATCGCCAAGGTCTTCAAAGTAAATCTGGTATTGCACAGTTAAGCTCTGCCCATGTCGTCTATTAAGAGCAAGGAAACATACCGTAACCTTTACAACCTTCTCCAAGCTAGAACCGGCGGCCTCAAGCACAAGTTTGGTGTTCTGGCACATCTTGTGGGCCTTTTCAGTGATGGTGCCCGGCACAACTTTAGCTTGGCTATCGGTTGGGACTTGGCCAGCCAGGAAAACGAAACCGCCAGCTTTGATACATTGAGACTGTTGCAACATGGTCAGGATCTTGAATTTCTACAATTAAATTGGCAATACTAACGTAAGGGCCAATGGCTGTTTATTTTGTGGTTAGTAACCTTATTGAGAAAACTCAAGGGGGCTCGTGGGCACTTACGGTGAACACCTTTCTCGGTGAAGATAATCTGGAGGTCCTTGTTGGCAGACATTGTGAGAGTTGATAAGGTTGTGGAAAATGTTGATGTGTTGGTCACTGTGTTGGGATTTTCTTGATAAGAATCAGTAAGTCAAAGAGCTGGTGATCAACTTCTTAAATAGATATTTGAATCTTGAATTGACTCTCTACAGGAAGAATAACATCTCGAATCGTCCTATGCCTCCACACGACTCTACTGCAGTATAGAGTTTGAGGTGGGCGATCATCATCTAACACATTCTTTGACCCAGTCCCCGGAGCTCCCTTGATTGGATGATTCGGCCTTCACCAGGTTGTACCAATCGAAACAATGATAATATTTCCACTGTCGTAATCAGCCAGGGCCTAGCAAGCCGAGCTCCAAGAATAGCAGGTTACAAGAGTGTGGGGGACATAACTGCCGGTCATTGGTTAAAGCACCAAGCCTCCGCAAATGCCAATCAAGACGAAGTATTGCTATCTCGGCCCTCTAGTTTCAGTGGCTAGTGATAAGAATTCTTCCATTTTCGGTGAATGACTCACTCGGGCAGGCAAATTGGCTGTCCCAAGCACTCGAGTAACAGTCTAAGACCCCATACGTCAGAGTGGAGCGCGGAAGTTCGGTAGTTCGGAAGTTTATAAAGCAACGGGATGACACGGCCTTTGATACCAATGTTAATTCAAGGGCGTCGAGCGGATCCCACACATCCCGACGTCGATTGGATCGTTCGTGACTCTCTATCATTGTCCACTCAGGTTCTGCTCTAGTTGTGAAGCTCTAACATCAATCTCCGCATTGCATCGTGTATCTCAGACCCCGTTCCAGGCCTTGACCTTCCTAGTACCCAGAAGATCTTTGTCTCTCTACGCACAGCTTTCTAGATACACACGCATGGGTTTTGTCTACCAACCCTGTCGTTGAGAAATCCCAAGCCGGGTATGCTGTAGCTACTAGCTTCAAAATGTGGTTGAGTCACTTGAATAGCTAAATAAACACTCTATGAGTGTCGGAATTTGGGATAAAAAGGAGGAGGAAGAATCGCTTGTGAGGTATGTCGCATAGTGCAGGCTGCCCTGGTCTGCATAGTTTGAAGAGTCAGTACTTACACCTGTGCATCCACGCTGATGAGTGTGCCTATTATGCTCTCACAAACCATCAAAGCACACGAAACGTAGATCTCGCGTGAGGAAAAGAAGGCTGCCTCACCTAGTACGTGTAGCATGGATACACCTTGAACGCCTGCAGTAGCTCTTTAGTAGTGATATATGTGTACAAGCTCAAGTATGGCCAAGCCCTTGTATCCATCTCCCATGTCTCAAAATATGAGTGCGGGCGTGGCGAGATCGTAATTGTTATCCTTCATCCTAATAGTGAGAATTACTAAAAACCATAATCGTAAGAGCTTCTCTCAGGCTTACACCCGCCTCTACTTTGATAGAGTCGCGTTAAATCTCCTTGATAGATAATTGCCTACGAAGGGCTCAGGCTCCAGGCTCCATTTGAGAGTATGGATAGGCAGCACGCACTGAACTATTCCATTTTCATCGTTCAGTACCATAAGCACTCCTCAAAGGCCCACACACTTATCATCTCCAACCTGAAGGATCGAAGAGTCTGGGGTTTTAGCCTACCTTTTAGTCTACCCCGCGATCGGTTCATGTGGCCAAGAGCCTGTTCTATTGCCGCTCAATCCATGGTTTGGTTAACTTAGTTGTTTCCCGAACGGTCCAATCAGAAGCAAAGTTTATATCGGAAGCTTTTTGGTCACCCGCTCAGTTCTAATCATTTGGCTTCTCTTGTATGTCAGCTGAACTAATTGGAAATGGTTGAAGGCGTGTAGCAGGTGTCCATGTCACGATGTATTGCACCAGACTCTCTCGCTAGAGGCTTATGATATGGGCGTTGTGGAGTAAGGTATTTGAATGGCGGCTACCCTCATACGCTTTCATCCCTCTTCCCCTATCTGCCCTCGGCAAGCCAACCCAGAATTCCCCGAAAATATTAAAAAAAGTCTTTCCTTTGAACGGGCAAAACTAGCTTTGCCTAAATTATGCAAATGGATACCCTTATGAAAGACAAACCCGTGGGCATTTCACGCACTTCGACCTGCTCTCATGGCGATGTTGAAACTATAGCACGGCAACGAACCATCACGAAGCGTGGTATCAAAAGCAGACATGCCCAAATGATAGCAATCGGCGGCACAATTGGAACCGGTCTCTTCGTCGGTTCTGGCCAAGCCCTGGCCATTGCCGGCCCAGCCTTCCTGCTGCTGGCGTACATTATCATGAGCGCTGTTGTATACGGTGTAGTGACAGCACTCATGGAAGTCAGCACTTATCTCCCCGTGAGCGGGTCCTCCTCGGCCTTTTACGCGACGAAATATGTTTCCAAGTCTCTTGGATTTGCAATGGGATATCTCTACTTCTACAGTTTCGGTATTCTTGTGGCTTACGAGATCACGGCTGCAGCTATCGTGATAAACTACTGGCCCAACAATGTTCATATTGCGGTCTGGCTGACTATTATGATTGTCGTCATTATCGTTCTCAACTTCATGCCTGTCAGCCTATATGCAGAGATCGAGTTCTGGTTTGCTTCCGTCAAAGTCATCTTGATTGTCGGGCTTTTGATCCTATCTTTCATTCTGTTCTGGGGCGGCGGCCCATCAAGGGATAGACTTGGCTTTCGCTACTGGGAGAATGCAACAAAGGCATACATTGTGCCTGGAGCCGGTGGGCGTTTCACTGCCTTTCTTTACGCCTGGGCCTTTTCATCTTTCTCCTTCTTCTTTGGGCCTGAGCTCATCGTTTTTACGGCTGGCGAGATGCAAAATCCGCGTAAGAATCTGCCCATTGCTTCACGGCGATTTTCATACCGTCTCTTTGGCTTCTACATACTCAGCGCCCTTGCTATTGGGGTCATCTGTGACTCAAATGCTCCAAATCTGACCTCTGCTTCCGGGAACGCCAACGCATCGCCGTGGGTCATCGCAATCAGGAACGCTGGCATTCCTATCCTCGACAGTATCATCAATGGTGGCGTTCTCATCTCTGCATGGTCTGCAGGAAACGCGTTCTTGTACATGTCGAGTCGCGCGCTCTACTCTCTGGCAGTATCTGGCAACGCGCCCAAGATCTTTGCCAAGTGCACCAGTTACGGCCTCCCTGTTTATGCCGTGGGCGCGAGCAGCCTCTTCCCACTCCTGGCGTATCTCAATTGTGCGGCCGATAGTAGTGTCGTCTTCAATTGGTTCATCAACCTGACCAACACGGCAGGCTTCACGTCCTGGATCTGTTGTATCATTGTCTTCCTTCGTTTCCGAAAGGCTTGTGCTGCGCAGAATGTCCTGCCGCCTTACCGGTCCGTCACTCAACCTTATGCGAGCTGGTTTGCGCTCTTCTTTGTAATCATGCTGCTCCTGGTAAACGGCTTTACTGTATTCTTTCCTGGGAGATTTACGGCTAGCCAGTTCTTGACATCGTACATTGGCATCCCCATCTTCCTAGGCATATATTTGACTCACCGAATTGTTTTCAGAAAGGAGCCTTGGGCCTATCCGCCCTCGGAAATTGATCTGGTTACAGGGGTCCACGAGATAGAGGCGGATGCTGCGCGCTGGAAGGAGGCAGAGGAGAAACGAGGGGAAAACAACAAGTGGTGGGCAAAACTTGCTGTTCTTTGGGAGTGAGCAAAGACGCAAGTCAATCTTCTCAGAAGGGGTAGTGAAGCCAAATTTCTTCTATTTTCCGTAAACTCAAGAAATAGATGGTTCATCCTTTGTATTCATTACTGTTTCTGTCTTAATTATTTCGATTGCCTAAATGTATGATTGTTGTGCCAACTAACGAGCCCGGGGAGAATGGCGAACATAAGTACTGCATGACAATCTGCTCATTCTCTTCATCAAGGTCAGCATATACCTTTCGTATTCGCGCCTTCTCGGGCACGAACGCGCCCTCCTCAAGCCCCAACTCCTCAATCTCAATCATCCGCCGTGCACAGAGCCCAGAGTACCGATCTTGCCAAGCTCCATGATAGAAGGGAGAATTCAGCATCAAGTCCATGGCCTTGCGTCTTATCCGAGAGTGCCGGCAACGTGACGCAACGAGGAACATGGGCGGTGTGAGGCCCAAGTCGAAACTATAGAGCAAGCTGAATTCCTGCGGTACAATCTGCCAGTAATGCACCAGGTCGTCGGCAAGGTCCACGATAGCTTGAAATCGGGGAGTGTAATCATCGAATGTTGTTTCGAATTCCACATTGTATGTGCTAGCGATGATGATCGATATGTGGCTATAAATCTCGAGCAATTTCCGTATACACCGTTGCAGCGTCGTACGGCCCTCTGTTTGGGAATCAAGAGTGTCTAATGCTTGCTTCCATCGGCCAAGAATGGAGATGACATCTTGTGCTGGTTCATAAGAAACTGTGATCCCGCGAGGATGCAGAACGGAGAAGGCGTAGTTCATGATACGGTCAAAATCCATCCTGGCAGCGTCGAGCGAGTCATAGCAAGTTGGGATGGTCGGTGGTGGGAAAGAGGGGAGATCAAGGGCATCGTGCAGATCATGCCTGGAGTCCATACAGAGCGAGAACTGGACGCGCAGCCGCTGAAGAACAAGGGTGATCTTGTCATTCACCAGTTCCATGGTTGGCTTGGAGAAGTGTCTGAGCTTGTCGTAGCTACTGGTAAAAGACCTCCACCAGTTGATCAGCCTGAACCCAGCGAGAAGATGTGTGAGGCAGGTAGCGTCATTACGACGAAATTGCTCAATGCAAACGAATAGGATGCATAGGATCATTACCAGGTCCGGACGAGTGGTCATATCAGGTTGCTCGACTCTCAGAATCTTGATTGCCGCGTTGTAGTGCTTCAGCGCAACGACCTGCGCCTTGTCGATGGCCTGTTTGGGATTCTTGGAACAAGGGTACAGCAAATGTTCTGTAGGCTCAAGACTACGATGAAGGGATGCGAGGGATATGATGGCATGTTTGACGGGTGCTTCTGCATGACCAAGTTGCAGGATGAGGGGAATCCAATCCTGTGCGTCTTGCTGCCCGAATATCTTGCGGATGGTTCTAGCTTGGAAGTAGAGGAAACCTCGGCGCTCCTCATCGTCGACAAGATTTGTTGCAGAAGGCGCTGATTTGGGGACGACAGTGTAACCTCCGCATATCCGCTTGGAGGACCTACATCGCAGACAGGCGGGCTTCTGCTCGTCGCATTTAACATGTCTAGCAATGTTTATGAGCTGAGTCACAATAAATTGGAAAGGAAAACTACGATCTGTACCGAGATCTGCCCGTCAGGTCAGCAAATAATGACGGATACAGCTGAAATCTGTGTGCACTCACTTGCAGGTCACACAGCCGGACCTCGCCTTGGGCTTCGCAATGACAGAGCGGTTTGTTGGCATGACTTTGAACAAGCGGGTCTAAACATAGATGGACAGGACAAGAAAACTATGGTCATCCCACAGTTTGCGTTGTCTTGGGGGAAATGGGACGAGGTTGAGGAGGTGGAGGAAGCGGTGGGGGCAGAGCTGATCCAAACTCTACCGGCGAGTGGAACGTCAGGAGACTCGACACATCCATAATAATCCTTGGTCCTAATCCTGATCCTGATCCGGGGCCCCGCAACGGAGTTGAACTTTGATCGTTCGTTCCTTATCGACCCAAACGCCTGTTCTCATTGGCTAGAGGCCAACGAACCCGAAGCACCCAATCAGGTCGTGCAGGAGTCCGGATCGGATTCCAGCCTCCGGTTGCACGTCGCCGGTTATCGTCGGTGCGGTGAACGAGTCACCGTCTTTGCGATTTGTCTTGCAGAGAGCTGGCTTTCCTCCAGGCTGCTCAAGGAGCCAGGCCATATATAAAATCTTATCAAGATCGACGATTTCTCCTGCTCCCCTTGACCAGCTGCATCATCAACAGCCAAGTATTCACATCTTCTCGACATTCTATTTGTCCAACCAATGGAGTCTTGCCATCCCGAAGAGATCATCATTATCGGTGCCGGGGTCCTGGGCCTCAGCACTGCTCTCGCCCTCCTCCGACGTCCGAAATATGCCACCTCGACCATCACCCTCATCGATGCAGCTCCCGAGCTTCCCAACTCGTCTTCAGCCTCTGCAGATACAAGCCGTATCCTCAGAGCCGACTATGCCCTCAAGCCATACACTAGGCTCGTCTCCCAGGCACAGAAACTCTGGAAAGACGTGGGCGATGACGGCTGGGGCGGCCAAGACCGCTACCACGACGCGAGCTTGGTCTTTACATCCCAACCTGGTACACAAGGCCACATTGACGGATATGTTGAAGAGAGTCTGCGGAATGTCAAAGAGTTGACAAAATCGAGCGAATACGGGTTCAGCGCTAGCCAGATCAGAGACTTGCCCAACAAGGAGGCCATTAGGCGGGAGACTAAGTTTCCCGGAGTGAGCGGGGAGTTTGGTTATGTCAATGACAATTGTGGCTGGGTCAAGGCCGATGCCTGCGTCAATTTCGTGTACGAGAGGATTCAACAGGAGGGTGGCAAGCGAACTAGGATCAGGCCCAATTCTAGAGTCGGCCGCCTGCTCTACGATCGTGATGCGACTCGTTGCTGCGGCGTCGAGTTGTTTGATGGCTGCCAACTGTCCGCAAGTCTCGTCATCTTAGCTGCTGGTGCTTGGACCCCTTCTCTGGTCGACCTCAGCGGACAGGCCATGGCAACTGGTCAAGTTCTCGCATATCTGCCAATCAACGAGCAGGAGCAGCGAGCCTTGAAATCGAGCCCAATTTATTTCAATGTGAGCCGTGGCATGTTCATGATTCCTCCTCATAACCGGGAGCTGAAGCTCGGTCGTCATGGGTTTGGGTATCAAAACCCTACTGAAGTGACTTTTTATGCACCAGACGGCAAGGAGACTCGCGCAATGGTCAGCACACCAGTTACCGATATGCCTATTCCAGGCGAGGCTGAGGCTGCCTGCAGAGAGTTCCTGGCAGAGTTGTTTCCACAATGGAAGAATAGGAAATTTTCCAAAACGCGACTTTGCTGGTACTGTGATACGTGAGTCTCCATCCCTATATATATCTCGCTCTAGATTCTTCTTCTTTTTCTTCTTTTTTTATTGGGTTCTGACCGCTTGGATAGACCATCTGGAGATTTTTTGATCGATTACCACCCTCACGTGAAAGGCTTGTTTCTTGCAACAGGTGACAGTGGCCATGGGTTCAAGGTGTTTCCTGTTATTGGAGATAAAATCGTTGATGCAATCGAGGGTCATCTTGACACGGAATTAAAAGATCTGTGGCGATGGAAGCCTCATGCACATGTGCCTTTTGACGGGACTGATGATGGAACTCGGGGTGGTAGGCGAGGGATGATGCTAGAGGAGGAGTGGAAGAAGGAGGTCTCTTTGGATTCACGACTATAGTTGATCTGTACAAGGTAAACCATTATAAGATAACCGGCCAGTGTAACTATACGGCCGAGCTGTAGCTCTAGGTTGGGAAAAGGGAATACAATTAGACCTTGATGAAATATCAAAAGTCTCCTCAGCCGACCAAAGCGGCTGCAAATTAATGCTAAATATTAACCGATCAGAACGATGGCCATTGAAGAAACGAGCTGGGTGACTTAAAGTATGTTGATACCCAATCCATGACATGATGGAGACATTTGAATAATCGCATTCATTTCCAACTACCAATCTCATAAGCAAGCAGGAATAGGTTGAAATACTGCCCAACACAAAACTTGGCACAATTCTGCATGTCACGAAACTATAACTATTGCAAGATCATTTGCACTTGGCGTCGGTTTCAAGGTATTCCATCGATGAGAATCATGCCCTACTAAGCGCGCCCTTTGGCCTCACACATTGACATATTTCTACCAATGCTTATCCAATGACACGTCAGTTTGGCTGGACATGACTCCATGAGGCGTCAAGGGCGGAGGCTATGGAGCACTGGATATCTTTTGTGATTGGCCTGGTCGCAACAGCAACAGGCTGAGCAATCAGGATTGCCAAGGGTTGATTATCAAGGCATTAGTCGAGCGCTTCGGGTTCTCCCGGTGACTTTGTCGTTTCCGCTGGGTAGAGGACGCAGATAACTGCGCAGAAGAATGCCATATCTTCTGCAGGTCGACGCCCCAACTCGCTTTCCCATTCCCAACCAAAACACGACATCAGTGATTTGTCGACACGACTCAATCTACTACCATGGCATTGCAATCACAGCTCGCAGACCCATCGCTCTTGATCGGTCGCAACTTCATCAATGGAAGCTGGACAGACTCTGAGTCAGGGAGACGGTTTGACGTTTTTGGTTTGTGTGCCCCTTTCCTTGCGCACCTACATCCTCGACTAATATACATGCCCAGACCCGTCGTCTGGTTCATTGATTGGCTCCTGTCCCGAGTCCACCGTCAATGATGCAGGACAAGCCATTGAAGCCGCAGCAAATGCCTTGCCTAGTTGGCGCTCTCAGCCTAACCGCGACCGTTCACGCATCTTGCGGCGCTGGTATGAGCTCGTCATGGAAAATCGAGATGATTTAGCCATCTTGATCACTTGGGAAAATGGCAAAGCAAAACCCGATGCTTCTGGTGAGGTCATTTCTGCGGCAAGCTTCCTGGAGTGGTTCTCTGAGGAGGCTGTTCGCGTTTATGGGGATGTGATTCCGGCTGGAGCTGCCGGTCTCAGAGTTTCTGTCCTCAAGGAGCCAGTCGGGGTCTGTGGGCTAATCACACCGTAGTTGTCCCTTTTCATCAATTCTCAGAGGCTATCGCTGACATAAAGTAGATGGAACTTTCCTGCAGGAATGGTCACGAGGAAGCTTGGCCCTGCCTTGGCTGCTGGCTGCACTGTTGTGCTCAAGACGGCTGGCGAGACTCCATTTACTGCGAATGCACTGGTGGCTCTGGCCAAAAGAGCCGGTATTCCTCAAGGTGTCATCAACGTAGTTACTGCTCTTGAAAACACTCCTCAGATTGGTGAGGTATTCTGTGCCTCGGGCATCATTCGCAAGATCAGTTTTACGGGGTCTACAAGGGTCGGTCGCCTCTTAATGAGACAATGCAGCGACTCGGTCAAAAAGCTAAGCTTGGAACTCGGCGGAAATGCACCCTTCATTGTGTTTGATGAAGCAGACCTCGACCTAGCCGTTAGAAACGTCATATTGACCAAATTCAAAGTCTCGGGTCAGACGTGCGTCAGTGCTAACCGGATATTTGTGCAAGACGGAGCCCATGATGAGTTTGTCCGCAAAATGGTTGCCGCTGTTAAAGATTTCAAGGTTGGACCAGGTCTTGATCCGAACGTCACTCACGGGCCGTTGATCAGTGTTGCTGCTGTGGACAGGATTGATGAAGTTGTCACCGATGCGGTGTCCGCTGGGGCCCAAGTTATGATCGGTGGCAAGAGGTTACCTAAGCTCGGTAAGGTATATCGTCTCATCTTCTGAATACTATCCTAACTCTGTCCTTTCCAGGGTCTCACTTCTACGAACCGACCGTCCTCACCAATGTCAATCAAGAAATGCTCGTATGCCAGACCGAGATATTTGGCCCTGTTGCTCCCATCCTGCGATTTTCGTCGGAGCAGGAGGTTCTTGAACATGCCAACAACAGTGATGCCGGCCTTGCATCATACGTCTTTACCAAGGATCTTCATCGCGCAACCCGCATGTCGGAAAAACTCCATTTCGGCATGGTTTCACTAAACACCGGTGTCATTCCAGACGCAGCATCCCCGTAAGTTGGCACCAGGCAGATTGTGGCCATCCTGCTAATATTTGCCAAATTTAGCTTTGGGGGTATAAAGCACTCAGGTCTGGGACGTGAAGGAAGTAAATATGGTATCGAAGATTATCTTCAACTGAAGACGGTTGTTTCTGGTGGTCATAGTGTCATTCATTAGGTAGCTATGGATTAGGCTTCCTCAAACACTCGTTTCCTATTGTCCTTTTTGTCCTCCAAGTGTCAACTTCTCGCCTCTTGTATAAAGAAAAATAAAATAGATCTCGTATTTCATAGTACGGTAGTTGTTAATCTTCTGGGTCGAACATTGATCCACCACAAACGTGTTGGAGAGCATGGCATTTCCACTGTTAAACGACTACATCTCTCCCGGGTTATTCTGACTCATCATTTCCGAAGGCACTTCTCCATCAAGAACAAAGTCTAATCTACAAATTAGAGGTTCGTGTACGTTTTCTATTTCCAACTAGCAGGTCATTTCAAGCATTTTGGCATGATCATATTTCCAAGTCTTGTCCGTTCTTCAACAAATCGATTTCAAAGTCGTTGCTCACTTGGGCTTCCAGTTGCCAAGAAGGTCATGTCATCGTGACTGCGGAAGATGAGACGAAGGCAGCCCGCTCATCCAGCATTCTTACACACCTCTCCACGTAGTCTAGTCTAGACCCTTCCTCTATCTCCCACACAGTTTAAGATTGAGTTTTCTTGCATCTCCTCATACAACTCAAACTCATTATGGATCTTTCCACCAAGCGCCTTCTCAAATGACCCCTGATCTGCCGCTGCAACTTGGTCGTCACCATCCTCTTGGCCGAGATTTGAGTGGAAGATGCCGGCCGCACTCACTGGCAGAAAGTCTTCATATGTTATCGGTTGTAACTCGACAGCGCCAGACTTTACCAGAGACTTGATATCGTGGACATCACCCTTGATCGACACACCGGCGGCAGGCCTGTAGATGAAGTAGGCAAGCCCTTCTGCCCACAAGGTTTCTAGGTCATCGGGGAACTCTCTGAAAGTTTCGACCAGAAGCTCATGCATGACCATCGGATCCGCCGAGGGTTTGAAGATGGCGGTATCTCGGCGCCATTTTGCAATAAGATCGTCGTATAACTGGCGGCCTTTAGGTGTCAAGGCCATGCCTCGCTGTTCAATCTCGCCAAATCGCGCCCTATGGCTGCCTCCTGTCTCTTTGCCATTAGAAAATGCAATTGCTTCATTGAGAGCAATGAAGCTGGTCTGTCTGAGGAGAACGGGGCAATTTCTCGCTGGCGGGCCTTCAATGGTTTCCTTGGGCTGGAGGCCATAAAGAACCATGCTGCTTTGTGCTGCTTGAATATCAATCACTCGTGGTGTCAAGTGGTTGATATGAGGTCCTTTAAAACACACAACATCTGCAATAAGAGGATGGAGAGCCTGAAGTTCTTTGTAGGTAGTTATGTCTACAGTCGAGGTCTTGTGCCAACGGAAAGTTTCTACTGCTTCTTTTATAAACTCTTCAGCCACTGTAGAGGTAAAGCATCGCTGGTTGCTCTCGTATTCTTCAATCAACTCCATACACCGAGGGGTAAAGATGGTGCGGCTGTTCAAAATCTCGGTAGCTTTCGACCGAAGAGACTTGTCTTGGATCAACTCAAGACGAAGCAGGGAGGTAAAAACCCGGAATGGATTATGGGCGAGGGACTCTTCTATAAGAGGCCGAAAGCAGGTGGCATGGACAGGAAGACCAGCAACCGCAAGATCATAGTAGCCTACGGGATACATTCCCATGACTGAGAACAAGCGCCGTATTGTAGCAAGCTCGGCTGCTGTGCCAAGGCGGATGGCACCGTGTCGTTCAACCTCGATACGATGTTGGAGCTTTTGGTTGGTCTGGTGATTGATATCCGATACAAGCTTCAAAAGTGTCCCATACTGAGGGACCTCTGATTGGTACATGTGGGAGAGTGCAGAAGCAAACATTGACCTGAGCATATCAGGGAACACTGTGTCGTTGGTAGTCATTGTTTGCGGCTTCTTGGAGGAGTATTGGCTCGTGCAAAATAGTGAATCAAGTGTGAAGGGCTGAATGTAGAGATCAATTATCTTAGATCACGATTTAGCAACGGGATCATGACCTAGGGAAATCGGGTTGATTGGCCGCCTTTATACCAGGCTTGTGACGCGTCTTGGCTTCGTAGTCAACATCTCGCTTCCGCTTGACCACTGTAGGCCAAGGCATGATTGACGGACACATGTCGCGGTAGTGAGAAGTGTGGCCAGCCGGTTTATACCGAACCGCGACTGGGTCAGCAGATGGCGACTTTCCAATAGGTAATTTTCACTTCTCTCCCAGTACGAAGCCAATCTGCTGTCCGAGATGCAAGGCGACTTCTTCTGTCACGCCCTTTTCGTGACGTATTGATCCGGCAAGCCGGTGGTGTGACATGGGCGCATGCTGTGAGAACAACATCTAGAGCTGAAGTGGCTGAAGTCGGGATGTATCGATGCAGGTGGAAGGGTGTTCTTGATTCGCCTACGCAGATCTATTCCGGCTCAGCCAATCAACATGACAACGACAAGACAACCTCAGGCAAAAGTGTCGAGGAGCTCCGCTTTCGGAGCTTGGACAGGGTCGAAGCCCATCCCTTCGCGTACATACTGCGTTAAGACTCGTGGGTCAAGAGGTGGAACTGACTAGGATAGCCATGCCCTGTAGGAATACCTATAGTATAGTTGTGTTTCAATGTGATCTAAAGTATCTTTGTTCGGTTAATTTTGTCCCTGTTTTCCGGGTTCAAACCCGACTGGAGACCCATCGCCCCACGAGTCTTTAACGCGGTCGAAGGGAAATCTTTACCTTGTTATGCCGTTTCAAAGAGGCTACTCTGCCCTGCCATCAGGGGCGGCTATACGTGGTTTTGCGAGAAATCTGCCGGGAGTCATCGCGAAGTACGTAAAAAGGAACTGATGTTTAATTGGCCGGATCGGAAAATAGTCTCCAGAACCAATGACGCGTGAATACATACACAACATAACATAACGTCATACCTAGACTACTGAGTCAGACGGTGGCCTTGAGGCTCCACCTACCCTATAGCGAAAGGCCAACGCGATCTCGAGGGCTTCTACGGCCACTCCCATCCCAGATTTAAAAGTCAAACTGGTTATAACACATCTTGAAATTTTGAAAGATAAGGTGGAGCCTGTGGAATTTATTGATCGGTTGTCCGTTACAGATATTGTATTGGTTTCTCGGTTTCATAAATTTAAGGCGCAGGTTTCATCGAAAACATTAGTAGCGGGTTAAGGAGGGGGCTCTAATTAGATTCAGTGGTGCAGTTTTTACAGAATACCTTGTACAATACGAGAGTACCTCTGACATGATAATAAGACGATGTGTGTAGAGTACACTTTCCAGCGTGAAACGATGAGAAATCTGAAATCATTTGAAAATTTACCCCAGTATTCGTCAGCCAATCCTGGTATTGCATCATCGGTCCATCACAGCCAGCCAATCACAGCTCGTGACAGCCATTTGCTACAAAGCGAGCCTAGGTGTTGTAGGTCGGTCAGTCAAGAGCTGAATTGGCTGTGCGGTTAGACAGCCATTTGCTGTAGCCACCATAACTGCCCTCTGTACTCCGTAGCCCTGACCGACCTGTCTGCCGTCGAGACGAGTGATTGCTGCGCAGCTGACCTGGCTGTTCTGAGTAATAGCCGGAACTAATTAGAAACTAGAAGCTGTAGATCCTGACTAATTAGAAACTAGAAGCCGTAAGATCCTGACTAATTAGAAGCTAGGTAGTTGCAAGATTATGATTGGCTGGAACTAGAAATCCTAGTCAAGACCGTTAAAATCATACGAAAACGCATAATCATCTAAAAATTTACGGTTTCACGCCGATGATACTGTACTTAACTTCTACCGTTAAATATCTGAAGCGATTCTAGCCCCGCTCATCCCACCAGTACTAATTAGAGCTCGGTGATACCTAACCCACGTCTCCCGCGTACAGCCCAGGTACTGGCCAGTCTTCTGCGAAATATGGTATGCTCAAGTCGAGATTGGCTGAAAAGATGGCATCGGCCCGTCCGAGATCAAAACTCGGGTCCAAGTTGCCAAAGATCTCCGCATCACCATTGTATTCATTGAAGGAATCCGTTCCAAATTGGTCGTACAGGTCAACCGAAGCTGCAGGCGCTGCTCCGAGCGGCGGCAGTGGTGGTCTGGAGACTTGTACGGACTCCGACATCTGGCTGGCATCCCGTGGATCTTGGGTACTTTCATCGACAGCAACCTCTGGTGTAGAGCTGTGTGTAGTGTTCGGAGGCTTGATGCTATCTCTCCTTATCCTTGCGGTCGCCCGGTCGACTCCTTGCATGGTGTCTCTGGCAAGTTTTGCCATTGCTCGCGCAGAGGGGAAGGTCTTACCGAGATCGTCTAGGATTTTGCAGGTGTCTTGGAAGAGTGTAAATGCACGTCGCCGGCTGTAAGCCGTGGCGCTTCGTCTGAGACTTCTGTATGCGACAGACGCGGCCACAGTTACCGCATAGGGGAGGATGGGCCAGTAGATGAGGGACGAAATGCCCTCTCCTGACGCAATGGCCACTATTCGCGTCGCATAGAATCCTTGGAGTTCAGAGCTGGACTGATTCTCGGATGATCGGTCTTGTAGAATCACGGCGGGCAAGTAAAAAAGCTCAAGAGAAGCTGTTCGCCCATCAGTCAGTCTCAACGTGCTACTGAAAGGGCCAGCCAAGCCTTACCTAATAAGCTACTGCTTAGATTCTGCGCCGATGCCATCTCGATAAGCTCCTCGAATGTGTCGGGATTTTTTTTCCGGGCTGACTCGCTAGGGCGGTAGAGTGATATAGTGTGTTCGAGAAGCTGCGCTATGTGGATGAGAAGCTTGAAAGAGGGTGATTGATCGCTGATGGAGTCCATGACCTTCTTGTCCGCGTCATGCCTGTGAATGACAGTGGGTCGACCGTTTGTCGCTGCGTTGAGTCGGTCCAAGACCCAAACGCACCAAAAGATTCGGCGAGAACGCTCGCCGCCAGCCTTGTCATCAGGCCAGCCAACATGAAAACCAAGTGTTTGTTCGTAATGGATCGCCTGGGCGCAGTAGTGCGTAGACAGCACGCCAAAGTCTTGATCGTCGGTATACATGGACATCAGCGTGCAGATTTGCAAAAGCACAATTTTGTCGGCGATGAAGCCAAGGTCCAAGGTCTGCTTCACTGCCGCAGCTATGCGAGCTCGAAACTCCAGTTGCAAAAGAACCCCATCATGATGTGGCAACCGTAGATGTGGTCGCATCGCCGGATCTGATGAAGCTACCAAGCAGATACACTGCTTGAGGGTCACCGTCTCGATATCGCCATGTTTCTCCCAGGGCTCGTCCTTCAGAAGCGGGAATGTCGGGTCTATTTTGGTGTAGAACAGATCGGAGAGCAACCCTAGCTCATGTTCTGGGGGAATGACGGCGAGGCACTCACGCCTTAGGGCAGGGCGAAGGATTGACAGCAGCAAGGTCTGGCCAGAGAGCCCGTCCAGCACTTGCGTAGGCACATTCAGGAAGGTTTGGTCGTTGGCAACGGGCGCGGCCTCCGGAGTGACTTCCTCATCTTGCCCGAGCCATAGACCAACGCCATGTCTAGAGATGCTATCAGAGCCCTCTTGGTGAGGCTTATTGATGATGAAGGCTGATTCTGGGCTCAGGCTGGCAACAAAGCGCACGTGAGCATTGCTGGACCGTGATCTCGGCCCCAAGACAGACGGGCGTGGTCGTGCTCCGGTCGAGACCTGGGTGGAAATCGTAGGGTTCGGCGTTTTATTCGTATCCGCGTCAGGTTGTGGCCGACTCAACGTAGCTATAGGTTTCTCCTGAGGCGTATCCGCTGGCAACGAGCGCGGCGGTGATGTGCTCCTCCGCTCATGCTGGTCTGCGTGGGGACAGCGTTTCTGGTTCAAAGTCAGAGAAGCCTCAACACATAACCTTGAGACTATGGACGCTTGCTGTTCCCCAGATTACTTACGTGCCGTCGCTTGCAAGACTTGCATGGCCCTGGAGTTTGTTTTCGCTTCGTCCCCGCACCCCCGACATTATCGGCAACGAACTTGAACATGACAGAAAGAGGGAATTTCCGACCTCAAACATGTCGGCGACAGCGATGGATGCGCGCGCTCAAGCTAAAGAACGTGCAACACCGGCGGGGAATCACGTTTCGGGCACATGATTTCGGGCACAGAAACGGGGACATGAATCAGGTCACGGTCAACCCTCGGACCACACCGGAACCTTACACACGATGTAGCACATCATGGCATGAGGCCGAGACCAGTCCATTGGATGGGCAAAGATGGTGCCCGGCCCTTACGGCGCTTCTTCGGTGATGATCGTTCCCCACAGGCCCGTTAGACCGTTAGACTGGGCGCGTGTCGCGGGCGATGACATCGTGGCTTACCCTTTCAGGCAGTTTCCGAAGGGCCGGCGCGGATTGCCTGATCCGAGAAGCCGCGACTGAGAAAACTTCGACAGTAAATCACGATACTATACAAGGTTCGAATCCCCAGACTCTTCTCCAGGTTGCTCCCCCAAGCTTTTCCCCAGATTCATTGCTTATCACAGACACACGGCAGCTTTCTTATCTGACCGTTACACTTCTCACGACCACCTTGTTGATAGCTTGACTTGGGCTCAGCCAAGCACCGTTCTTCGCCATGGGTCTCATGGGTTCCTTGAAGGTTGACTGGAGACCTCACAAGTGGGCAATTCTCTTCTGCGCAATCGCCTCTGTTGGAGCTCTCTGCTATGGATATGATAACACCTATTACAATGGTGTTCTGGCCATGCAAGAGTTCAAAAACGATTACGGAACCCACTACGACGCAGACGGCAACAAGCAGTTGCCCTCATCCTTCCAATCCTTGACAGCATCCTCTATTTACATCGGAGACTTGTTTGGTGCCCTTATTGCGTCGCCAATCAACGATCGATGGGGTCGCAAAATGGTATTCTGGATTGCGTCTATCTGTATCCTGCTCGGCGGAGTTGCACAGGTTGCAGATACTAACCATGAGGCTGTCATTGTTGTTGGGCGTGTTGTCATGGGTCTTGGCGTTGGTCAATTCACAGTCACAACTCTGCTATACATCGGAGAGGTAGCACCGACAGCTATTCGTGGACCGGCGCTGATGATGTTCCAATGTAAGCTTTCTTCCGTACTTGGTCAGATTGAAGCATATACTAACCATACTAGTCCTGCAATCTATCGCCCAGTTGGTGGCATCTGCCATTACCCAAGGCACCGAGGGTGTCAAAAGTTCCGTCTCCTACAAGATTCCAATGGGTGGTCTCATCGTCCTCCCATTGATAATGTTCATTGGCCTGCCTTTCATTCCGGAAAGCCCACTGTGGTTTGTCCTGAAAAACCGTCCCGCCGACGCCGAAAAGTCTCTGCGATCCATCAACCGAGACAAGGCCGACTACGATCCCGCCGAGGACCTCCAGAACTTCGAGGAGATCAAGGCAGTTGAGGAGCGTCATGCTGAGGGTTCCTCCTGGAAGTACCTTCTCACCGATCCTATTGAGCGACGCAAGCTCTTCTACTCTTGTGGCGCTATGGTCTGCTCCCAGGTTTGCGGCATCTTGTTCTTCTATGTCTACGGTGTCGTCTTTGCCCAGGCTATCGGAATTAAAGACCCTTTCCTCATCCAGCTCATCACCAATATCTTGCAAATCTTTGCTGTGGGCGCCTCGGTCGTTACCGGCAACAAGGTATCTCGACGTATTAATTTGTTCATCACCAATAGCATGATGCTATTCGCCTTTATTGTCATCGGTGGTATTGGTACGCAAGGAACACCTTCAAGGGCAGCACAATACGTGATTGTTATCTTCTCCTACTTCGTCATCATCGGTAAGTAAACTTCTAAATCCGAACCCAGGACGAGCGGACTTCTAATAATAACAATGAATAGGCTACAATTTTGGTATCGGTCCATTGGCCTACACCATTGCCCGTGAGATGGCCGTCGGTGTGAACCAGAACAAGATCATGTCTACGTCAATCGTGGTGTTCTACTTCGTTACCTGGGCCTTTTCCTTTACTGCCCCGTACCTGTACTACGATGCAGGTCTGGGACCCATGATCTGCTTCGTGTACGCCGGAACGACGAGCTTGACGCTCCTATACACCTGGTTCTGCGTTGGAGAGACAGCAGGGCGCTCGAGCATTGAGATTTCACACTTCTTCACGGAAGGTATTCCCGTCAGGCAGTGGAAGACGCACGTGTTCGATTCTCTCCATGGCAGCAGCCAAAAGGAGAAAATCCAGGAGGACGCGGAGGACAAAGCTGGTGCTTCGTACCATGTGGACACGAAGGTCTAGTCCGTGAGCATACCATTGTGTCGGGCTTAACATGATGATCTTGCTCTGGCAGCTATCAACATAGTTGCAATAAGGTCTTTAACTGTATTTGTTATCGGTAGTCAGACTTCCGATTGTATTTGATAAACATAAAAAAGCCGTTGCATCAGGAGAGATTCAGATTCTACACACGTAGACAGGCTTTTAAATAAATAACATGATGCATATTCTTCCGCTCACACATATGTGGAGTCTCTGAGAGTGACGGTGAGAAGGAAGTTGTCAATAGCATATGATGAAGCTCGAGGGTCGATAGGACAGGTCCATGCCGTGCTCCTTAGACCGCAGACCTACATCGATCTCACTGAAAGGAGTAGGGAACGCCCTCCCGTCAAATACTTATAAACGTCTAAACCCGGCCAATTCATCAGCGGATTCTTGCTAGTCTATGAAGTTCCGCAACAAGAGGCGGATCAAGTCCGCTGGGCCGCGCGGGAGCCGAGAAAGTCCGCCTGCGTTAACTATTCAGGTAATCTCACTGGGTTACTGCGGAATTACATTGCCCTATTCTACGAGCTAGCTGTTAGGGATATGAGGTAGTCTATGCAGAGCTACTAGGTATCGTTTGTCCGAGTTGCTAATATTAGTCAATTTTCGGAGTCCGCTCTGTTCGGTGCTCCTAAGCAACGACAAGGATAATTCGCCGCGTTTAGGAGTTGCATAAAGGACTCAAGGCCAGTTGCAAGAGTAATTGTATATCGCCTCACAACAAATTCAATAAGCAATCTATTACAAGATCTCAAGTATGCGGCTAAGACTTTTCTCTTTATCCTTACTATGGTACCTGCGTGTACCAATTGCAGCAGCGTTGTCCCCTGGCTCAACTAGGAGCGACCCGCCTATTCCAAACATTGTATGGCACGAATGTCCTCCGCAGACACCAGAAGGCATTGACTGCGGTTCGATTAATGTCCCGCTTGGATATAGCCCGGCAAACTCAATCGATCCGGTAGACAACCGGACAATATCGCTCGAACTGACACGCCTCAATTCAACTGGGAATGCGCTTGAAAAAGACGTTATGTTCTTCAACCCTGGGGGACCAGGAATATCCGCAGCATATTTTGTTATTGCATCTACTCTTGATCCAAGCCTTGCTTTCTCGCCCTCTCTTAGAGAGGCTTACGATATCATCGGGCTCGATCCGCGGGGCGTGGGTTGGAGTACGCCAGTGCAGTGTGACCCTGATATCTACAATGAACGAGTCTCGACCTTTGTCAATGACGCGACGGGATATAACGCCCTCGTCAACTATGGTCGGCGCCTCAGTGAAAGCTGTGCTGAGCTCACTGGCCCTATGATCAATCATCTCGACACCGTACATGTCGCCAAAGATCATGAGCTTGTGCGACGCGCTCTTCAGGCTCCCAAGCTCAACTACCTCGGCTTATCCTACGGAGCTCAGTTGGGGCCACAATACGTGTCCTTGTTCCCTGAGGCTGTAGGTCGTATGGCCCTCGATGCGCTGGTCGACCATGGCCAATCTGAAACATCGACACTACTAGCAGAAGCTGTCACATATGAAGCATCTCTAAACCAATTCTTCACTTGGTGTGACAGAAACTCGTCCTGTGCTCTGTATGGACGCAATACAATGCAAGTCTTTGACGCTCTGGTTGCCCAAGCTGATGCTACGCCAATTCCAGCACCAGGATGTGATGATGCATGCCGATCTGATGTCACTGGCGAGGAGATCCGCTATAACGTTCAATCATATCTCCGATTCATTGACCTACCGCTTGGCCGGAATTGGATCAATCTTGGTACGGCGCTAGCTGAGTCTTCCCAGGGAAATGCAACTATGCTGTCCAGTGAGCTAGCCACCGAAACATTCTCAACAAGACCTGATCAGTCCCCGTTCCTATACATAGCCCTTGGTTGTGTCGACTGGTTGCACCAAGCCCGATCGGCCATAGATCTCCAGCAGAAGCTGCAGATGGTGAGAACATTTGCACCAAGGAGTGCGGGTGCTTCATGGACATATACCTACCAAAGCCGGTGTCTGGGATGGTCAGCACCAGTGACGAATGGCCAGACTGTACTGGACAAGGGCGTCAGCAAAGCTCCGCCAATATTGTTGGTAAACTCAATCTACGATCCAGAATGCAGCATGGCATGGGCCCAAGGGCTGAGGGAGCAGTTGCCAAGCGGTGTGAGCGTCACGAGAAACGGACACGGACATACTAGTTATTTTCTGCAAGGCGAGACAAGTGAGGCAATCAATAAGTTTCTATCTACCGGAGAGATGGCGGAGGATGGAACTATATTCCAGACATAGTATCACGGTTTAAAGTTATAATAAAGATAACCTAGCTAGTGTAAATAGGTGAAAAATGACATAGAAATATATGTGTATTTTACATATGAGTATATTTATAAACCAAGGATACTTTTTTAAGCTCTATTATTAATGGTTGCGAGGGTATATAGGCCACAATACTTCAGTCATTCTCACCAGGAGCCCAGGGCAGATACCTCCAAGACGGTTCGTACTGAAGCTGAAAACCAACCTGGCTCAACCTTGTTCTCATGACAGCCCCCACAGCACCTTCTTCGTCTTGAGTCCACTTCGCTCGTCCCCACTCCGCATCAGATTCATCCTTTCTCCGAAGTCTGCATTGCCCAAAGTCTATCATGAACACCCGGTACGCCTGATCCTTGGGAACAACTACAAAGTTGTCTGGGCGAACGTCGGTGTTGAGAATGTCGTTGTCACCGAGAACATGAACTATCTGAATTGCTTGGTCGACAATGCCTTGCCATGAGGATCTGGGTGTGTTTTGTATCATGGAAGATAGAGAGAAGCCCGAGAGGTATTGTAGCAAGATGCCTTTGAGTTGATAGAGTTCTTGCTGTTGTGTATTAAGGGCCGAATCAGGTGGGGGCACACCGAGGGTGATACTGGCTAAAAGGCGAGGGATAATCTTTCCTTGGTGCTGTTGAAGGCGGGAATATATCGCAGTTTCCGAGTTGAACCACTTTCGTAATTCGTCAGCGAGATAAGCCTCGTTTTCCGCAGTGTCCCAGTCCTCCTCGGTGTCCTCTTGAAAATGTGGAATGGTATGAAGTTTGTCTAGAAAGCTCTCCGTCTTTCCAGAGCGTAAGCTTGCCAAAACCTCATTTTCGACATCCTCGGACCATGTATCAACCCCGTTGTCTTGTCGATGCTGGTGCGCGAATCTCCGATCAAACATCTTTAGAAACGCCTCGTCGCCCTTTTGTAGACCCTCTAGCGGTTCTGATCCATCTAAGCCATCCTCTATCTCAACTATCATGCCGCAAGAAAGTGTCCAAGGCTGTTTTCGCTCTTTCACTTTCACTTGCAGTGACGTCTGCTGTTTGTTTGCAGTATTGCTGAGGCTGGCATTCAATTGGAGGGCCTTGCCAATGGGATATATGAAGTCGGCCGTATGTTCGGACATTGCATCTGGGGTTTCCATCCCGCGCGGCACAGAATCGTCCAAGTGTCTGGACACTTGGCTGTTGATTAATGACGGTGAATGAAAGATTGTGGTTACACAGGAGGAAGTCTAAAATGTGCGCAGATATATGCACTTCGGTGCCTCAGGTCTTAGGCATCAACGGCATCATCCCATCATCCCCTTCGCTCACGCCGAGCAACCCAACATTGAACACTAAAGCTGTCAGTCATTTTTTCTTATTGCAACCATAACCTGGAATGATCTCGTCATAGTTGGATAAGTCTTGGTTGCCCGTGAAAATCAGCACTAATCATGCAGACTTGGTTGTACAGCAGGACAATACGCAACTAGATCTCAATCATCTCAGCAACAAACTGCTGCAAGTCTAGATCCTGCTGAATGAGACCATCGCGCTCTTTCGAGGCCCGTATGCTCGTCATGCTGACATACGATCCGAACGTTTGAATCTCCCGAGGCACCTCCAGCGTGTCCGAAAGCCCATTCCTTCCGCTCTCCGCTACTGCGATGGCAAAAGTGCTCGTCATTTCAAATTGCTTGACCAGGATCCTGCCATCTCCCCATCGCTCGCTCAAGGTCCGGAGAATAAACATTACATCTTGGATGGCTTTCCACAGATCAGTTTGCCTCACAATGTTAGTTCGCCTACCTACTTCCTCTCCAGACAGAGAAAGAGAATACAGCCTCCAAAAGCTATATAAAATGGCAAGGCCGGCCCAGTAGGTCTTTTCGGATGCAATCTGTACGTAAAATATCCTGTTCGACTCGACTAGCTGGCGATATGTGGCCACGAAGCCCAGTGACGCTGTCCATAGCTCCATGTTCTCCTCTGCCGATCTTTCGGGGACAAGGCGGCAAGGGCGGTACAGGAGCATCTTGCCCATTGACAATTCGCTCTCCAAAAGTACTTTACTGCTGTATGTGGGAATATTCTCCTTTTCCCAGCAGTCCAACTCGGCTTTGAGAGCAACAATGATCTGGCTGGAAGAAATGGTACCTCTCCGTGGTTGTTTGTTCAAGGAGTCGTAGATTTTTGATTGGAGCTGAAGGGCACGGTACCGTTGGAGATATCCTTGGATATCGGCCTGTGTCGCCACGGACTCGATGCGGAAACCGGGCAACCGAGCACCAATTACACAGTCTGATATCTCAGTCGACCGGCCACAGCTTAAGCTCATGGATCGATCAAACGAGTACATACTCCACCATAATCTCCGCCGCGTTTCCAGAAGGCTGGGACTGATGGAGTCGGGGGGCTGAGGGTCTTGATGTAGGCCTAGATCAATACAATTACGCATCCCTACTCCAATCAGACACCAAGCATCCAGAGCCGACGGGTTTAGCATCGCATATTGAATTAGAAACAACAACGACTGGACGCCGACAATGGTATTGGGTCGCACGGCGGATTCTCGGTATTCGAGGGCGCGATTCAAGAGCCTCTGAGCCTGAGTCGATATGAGACTGTCCACACTTCGAGACAAGCTCGAGGATGAAATAGCCAGCACGATCAGCACGGTGAAGTAACTGTTTCCCTGATCAATGTCTGCAGTGCCCCTCTCTCCATGGCCTTGAGAAGCGGTGCCGTCGGACGTAAATGGGGAGACGTTTGTGGGGAAAACGATGTTGAACTGCGCCCAGAATCCTTGGATGGAAAAGAATGGAAGTCTTGGATAAACCTGGTCAACATAATGCTGGGCTAGTTTCAGCGCAACATCTCTTCCAGGCATCCAAGTCGAGCCGGCGTGGCCAGCGCGCTGTGTGAGAGTAAGGGGAGTTTTGCTTGCAGCTCCAAGGAGGATGGTTGACAGAGTTGGTCCATCCCCAGTTGAAGAATATGATGATGCAAGTATAGGCAAGGCCCCGATATCCGCAATGAGAGTGTCGATGACGGATGTTGATGGCGGATAGGGCTCAGCCTGGGCAGCCACTCGCGAGCCAGGCAATCCTAAGGAAGAAGATTGAGTATCTGCCGAGTCTTCTTGTAACCTTTGCAACGTCTTTTCGAGTCTTTGGATCCGATTCTGCAGGTAGGTTGGGTAGTCGCGCGCCTGGTGTGTGCCTCCAGAAGACAGAGAGCATGTCCCTGGACGGCCAAACTTGGTGCATCCCCCGCACGCTGGAGTGACTCCGTCGCACTACTCGAGTCAAAATTGAGAGCCCAAGATACGTAGAAGCAGAAATGGCCCCGTTACTTACTCTAATCTTTCTGGATTTGCAAAATGAGCAGGCGGAGAGCACCTGAGAGATACGAAGCGGGGCGCGTCCTTGGTTGGAATATCCGAAGTGTTCACTCATCGTACGGACATGGCCGTCTCTTCGCCCAGTATCGCCCAAGTCTTCAATTCCACATTCAATTTCGGTATTGCGGATTGATTGATAGCGCCTGATTCAATGCCAGCGGGAATACTTGGTCCGAGGGGTTTTTGGTTGCTGCACGTTGGAAGGATTGGGGTAGATGCTCGCTGAGGTGGCAAGGTGTCACAATGGGATTAGCGCTGCACCGCGCGTGTTTATTTGCTGTGTACTTTATCACTATCAACACTAGTAAAGACACCTCCCGAGATTTGAATGAGGGAGGCTAGAGCGATCGGCTGAATACATAAGGGGTCAGCTGAGAAGGAAGGTTATTGAACAACACAACGCACAACCACGTGAGATTGAATACACACACATTATTGACCCAAATAAGCACTTATTATTAGCCGTATCCGTTTGAATCCAACACCGATCACCTGCAGACTAAATCAAATTAGCGCAGACTGTCACCCCAGGACCCGGTAACTCGTGTAACAGACGTTGGTCGTCCATAAGCAAAAGATGGGGCGAGACGGAACCCCCGTCAATGGCAAGCAACGTCATCGGGCGTTCCGTTGCTTCACATCTGACCATGGAAACGCGTCTCGCAACTCTGTACCAATTCCTGTTAGAATTACCGAAGCACTCGGTAGAAGACATGGGCCTGAAGCTCTCTTCTACGGGCACTCAGCGTCCCCAGGACCATCGTTCTCCGCGCATCTCTCCAGTCGGTGCATATTTGTACCCCGTCATCACCCCATTCTCATTGTTAATTCGATGTCCACCCAAGGCTGAATTATACCCAAGTCCCTACATTCGCCATTTAGTAGTCTGTCCATATCCCCAGAATGGCGCCTGCTCGAGTTCATGATCCCGTGCTCCGTCGAGAGCCCGCAACCCAACAGCGCGCTTTCGAGGCGCGCAACATCCAGGTCGACCTATGTGTATGCGGCGGAGGCCTGTCAGGGACCATTGCTGCTATATCCGCCGCCAGAAATGGCGTCAAGGTCGTCCTCATCCAGGACAGGCCTGTGCTTGGCGGCAATGGATCGAGCGAGGTCAGACTCTGGATCCTGGGCGCGACATCGCACATGTTCAACAATAACCGGTACGCCAGAGAAGGCGGTTTGGTGGATGAGATACTCCTAGAGAATCTGCACCGCAATCCCGAGGGAAACCCTTTGATCCTCGATACCATCCTGCTGGAGAAGGTCCATGATGAGCCCAACATCCAGCTCTTCCTCAACACGTCGCTCGTCGGCTGCGACAAGGACGGTCATCGGATCAGCAGAATCCAGGCCTTCTCATCCCAAACTTCGCTCATGTTCTCGATCAAGGCCCCGCAGTTCATTGACTGTACTGGAGACGGCGCATTGTCGTTCTTGGCCGGCGCACCTTTTCGTGTCGGTGCCGAACAGCGTGATGAGTTTGGAGAAAAGTTCGCGCCGTCGTCCGAGTATGGTCATTTACTTGGTCACTCCATCTATTTTTACTCCAAAGATGTTGGAAAGCCCGTCAAGTTTGTCGCTCCATCCTATACGCTCAAGGATGTAGAGAATCAAATCCCGAGGTTCCGCAGCTTCAACACCAAGGAGATGGGTTGCAGTCTTTGGTGGATCGAGTATGGAGGCCGCCTTGACACTGTTCACGACACTGAGGAGATCAAGTGGGAGCTGTGGAAGGTGGTTTACGGAGTATGGGATTACTTCAAGAACTCTGGGCGGTTCCCTGAAGCTGAGAATTTGACACTTGAGTGGGTTGGTACTATACCAGGAAAGCGTGAAAGCAGGCGATTTAGTAAGTTGGATCTTATTCTCGGCAGAGACTAAACACTGACAGATGTGAAATAGTTGGGCCAACCATCATGACACAACAGGATGTTATCGAGCAGAGGTATCACTCAGATGCCGTCTCCTTTGGCGGCTGGTCTCTTGACCTCCATCCCGCGGATGGAGTCTTCTCTGAAGTTGACGGATGCACACAGTGGCATTCCAAAGGTATTTATCAGATCAACCTAATTGCGTCGTCAAAACTAACGAGTTACTATAATAGGAGTATACCAAATTCCATTCTCCTCCATGGTCTGCTCCGAGATCCCAAACCTCATGTATGGCGGAAGGACAATCTCTGCCTCTCATGTAGCCTTTGCATCTACCCGTGTCATGGCGACTTCTGGCGCAAATGCAAATGCTCTGGGTGTGGCTGCAGCGCTATGCAAGAAACTCTCCATCGACCCAGTCCAACTCTTGGTCAAAGACACGATGAAATCGTTCCAGACTGAGCTAATGCGCTTCGGCCAATTTATTCCGGGCTACAAGCTCAAAGATTCTGAAGATCTCGTTCGCCGCGCGCGATCAATCGAGGCATCCCCTGCTTTCCAACTGGATAACCTCCCCGCCAACGGTCCTCCCAAAGTTCTCGTCAGGAGCCTGGCTCAGATGATGCCGCTTGAGGTTGGACCGGTTCCCAAATTCTTCATAACGGCGCAGGCCGTGGAAGATAGCGTACTAAAGGTGCAGCTTCGAGGTTCTAACAAGCCGTACAACTACACTCCAGAGGTCATCCTAGAAGAGACTTCATTCACTCTCAAGCCCGGGTCAAACGATCTCGAGATCGCATTCGAGGTTACCAATCCCCAAACACAATACGTATTTTTGTGTTTTATGCAAAATGAATCCGTCGCCATCTCTACAACTCTCACCCGCGTCTCTGCTCTGATGACGGTTGAACATGAATGCACGCAAGAGCCTCCCGATGACGTCGGAGTTGAAACATTCGAACGATGGACACCGGTTCGGAGACCTATGGGACACAACCTAGCGATCAGAGTTGATCCTCCCATTCAGGCTTGGGGTGCATCAAATCTGACCAACGGCGTCCCGAGACCGACGAAGCGTACAAACTGCTGGGTACCTCAGACTTCCGACGGTAATGACAGGAAGATGGTCAAGATTGCTTGGGATTCGCCTGTCAATCTAAAGAGCCTCGTGGCTCACTTCGATACAGATTATGATCATGCACTTGAGTCGGTACTTCGAGGTCACCCAGAACGCAACATCCCCTTTTGCGTAAAGGAGTGGCGAGTGCTTGATCTCTCACGTGATGGGGAAGAGAAGGAACTCTTTCGCGAGGAGGACAATCATCTTTCTCGTCGCGTTGCCAAATTTGATCCACCAGAACGCTTGACAATGATTGGGGTCGAGATACTAGCATTGAACGGAGACAGTAATGTCCGAGGAGGCATATTTGAGATTCGGGCATACGAGTAATGAACCTCCAGATAGCTAAATTGAATGCCGTGTCATAAGCAGATGAGCATAGGCCGAGTTGCCGGTAATTTTCTCAACTTAGAGGTAATTTTATTAACCAATAATCCATCATCGTTAAGACAGTTCAGTTTTGAACACTTGACACTTATTCAGGCACCACATTCGGACCTGCCACTCCAACGATTTACTCCCACAAAAGAGAACCTGATGATCACTGTTTGAGATTGCCCGGTCCAGATCTTCCTTTTCCATTCTCCTGCACCGAGCATGAATACTTGAATCAATCTCTACTGGCAGATCATTAATTTTCTTGGCCCACCAATCCTCCGTCTTTCCAGCTACCAGTCCATCAACCTCATCACCTGGCGTGGCGAAAATCGTCACAGAAAGCCAGTCGATGCTCTGGAGGATCTTTTCCCGTATCAAGTATTCTACCAAAGGGAAGTCGTTTCCATTAATGCTCCATATCAATGAGACTCTTCCTGGACAGCCATTTGCTCCCCACCGAGCATTTGCCATTGCAAGAAACGGTGCAATGCCGGTTCCTCCTGCAATGCAAGTTGTAGAGCCAATGTATTCAGTATTAGGTGTTGGAAAGCCACCTCCTGTGCCAACAAGTTTGGCTGTCAGCCGACCATGTGGCCTCGGGATTCCAAGAAGTCCCGTGACGCGCCCGTTCCTCGTTATCACTGACATTGCTAAATAATCAGCATCTGGTGGCTCGGAGAGCTGGCAAGGAGTGAAGGTAAGGCAGCGATCTTCCTCTTTCAAAGATTTGGATCCATAGATGAGATCCAAGTCATCGGGAAATTGGAGTGTCACATTTTGCGAGGGTTGAAATGAGGCTAGAAAATTCGCCCTTTTTGGAACCGAGAAGGTGTGCAGACTGATGCTGGGCGACAATCGGTGAGAAGATTCGAGCGTTACAACATCAGGAGGTTCCGGGCTGCCATGTGATCCAATCCCCTGGTTTGCAGCCTCAGTCTGAGGATGCATGCTAACAAAAAGAATTAGGTTGAGAATATCAATTGAGATCAGCCAATGTGGTAGGGATGGGTTTGTGAGAGCTGAGCACATGATCTATGCAAGACCAGAACTTGACCATGTCCCCTACAACACATTGAGGATTTGCTCACTACGCAGCTAAACGGAACCTCCGACGGAGGAGAGCCATCGATGGAAGTGGGCAACGGCGGTTCCGTTTGACTCCAGACCAGCACTAACATGGGAATCCCCACAGACGCGGAAATAGTTCCTTTCCACCCCAGACCAGCCCCCCGCAACCCCAGTTTCCCTCCAACCGTTTTGTACTACTAATAGGTTTCACTTCCCTGGATGGGGGACACTGAAAAGGTTTGACTATTGGAGTCAATTCTCTTACATACGACTCAAGCCAAAGCCTGATAGTTACCTGCAAGATGGCAGAAACTGAAGTCCACGTTGTGCAAGCCAAGCCAAAGGCGAGCGCCTGGCTCCTCATCAGTGTCGGCGTCATGTCGATGGGTTCAATCTTCTGGGGGTATGCGTATTCTCTGTTTAGATAATTTCAACCATAAGGGTGCTTCTGGCTGACAGCATACAGATACGATATCGGCATTCTCAGCACCATCTACGTCTCGCCAGGATTCAACAAGGCCTTGAACAACCCCTCTTCAGCATCGAAGGGGCTGATTACAGCAATCTTCTCTGTTGGCCAGCTAATCGGATTCATATTCCTGGCGGGACGTACCAACAATCGATTTGGTCGACGCTGGGCGGGTTTCATCGGCGTGTGCGTCGTTGTCGTAGGTGCCGCGATGCAGACCGCAGCCGTCCATCTTGCTCTAATGGTTGTCGGGCGAATCGTTGCCGGTGTCGGCACAGGTATCGTCTCGACTGCAGTTCCTCTCTATCTTAGTGAGATTGCACCGGCCGCGCAGCGTGGATTCTACGTCGCTGCCAATCAAGTTGGGATTGTCTTTGGGTATGTTCCAGTCTGCACGGTTTTGGATGGATTGGGGAATACTAATGACGACTAGAATTTCAATGGCCTTTTGGGTTGGGTACGGATTCTCCTTTTGGACAACTGGCAATGGAATTGATCTGGAGTGGCGCCTCTCGAACGCAGCTCAGTTCATCCCGGCCTTGATGTTTCTGGCAGGCGCCCCTTTCTTGCCGGAATCGTACGTACTACATCTCCCCTAGCACTAGTGAGCATTCTAATTTCATTCTTCAGACCTCGCTGGTTGATGGAACATGATCGGATTGAAGAAGCCGCCCGGTCTCTTACCAAACTACGTGGTGCCAGCGACGTGGTGGAAGTTCAATCTGAGCTTGATGAGATTCATGCCAACATCTTATGGCACAGGGAGCATTCCGTCACATCAGCCCGCGTCTTTTTCAAGGAAAAGGTTCTGTGGGCTCGCCTCTGGAGAGCCTGGGCACTCGCATTCCTGCAACAGATGAGTGGTGCTGCGGGCATTCGCTACTACCTGTAAGAACCATCCTCCTCTTACCTTCCCGATGATCATTGCTAACATGGTGGGAATAGTCCTACAAACTTCATCGCTGCAGGTACATCGAAGGACCTAAGTCTACTTGCATCTGGAATTGACGGCACAGTGCAAGTGGGATGTACCATTGGTGCCATGTTTTTCATTGACAGGATTGGCAGACGACACTCTCTCGGTGTTGGAGCCGTCATCATGGCCTTCTGTTTGATGGTATGTCTGGACTCTTACAGTGTCTCTTCACACAACTGCTAACCAAGCACCACCATCAGATCAATGGTGCTTTGCAACTGGCATACCCAAACCAAGTCAACTCGTCGGCCAACTATGTCAACATTTTCTTCATCTTCTTTTTTACCGTGGGATGTAAGTCACGCCAATTGTTCCTTGGCGCGAGACAATGTAATACTAACAAAGCCAAAACAGACAGCATGGGCTTCGGACCGTGTGCATGGATCTACGCATCCGAAATATTCCCTGCCAACTGCCGCTCCAAGGGTCTGGGCATCTCCCAATCGGGAGCATCTTTGGGTTCGATCATCGTGGGTCAAGTCTGGCCAGTTGCCGTCTCGAACATTGGGCCCCGGGTATACTTCATATTCATGTCATTCAACGTTTTCGCGGTGATCCTCGTCTATTCATGCTACCCCGAGACCAAGAAAAAGACGCTCGAGGAGCTTGATGCCCAGTTTGGTAAACTCAATGTCCACTCTGAATCGGAGGCGACTCCAAAGCAGATGCTCGATGAAGGGCATGAGCATGTCGAAGTCAGGGGTAACAAGAGAGTCTGAAACTCTGCTCCGGGGGAATGAAGTACCAAATCTCATCAGACGCGTTGTGATGTTGTTGATTCGAGTTTACGCGTCGCGTTTGGCTGTCCTACCCTGCACCACATCCACATCAACTACCTCGGTCAAGCTCCTCTAGTCATAAGCTGGTAGCTTTTAGCTATTGAACTTATTGGTTCATAGATTAGCCTAGTGGAATTTCCAATTAATCTAATGGTCGTTGAATCGAAAATGCGAGATTTTCTTTTTCTTTGGTGCTATAGATAATACGTTTTGAACTCACCCATGGAACTTGAGCCTTTTCCAAAGTTAGTCGGGTACATGTTTATCAGGTTATCGATACCAATCATCTCCCTTCAACAATTAGTATTTGAGTACTATGCAGCATTAAGCTTGAGAGAATAAAATAAAAAGACTTTATACCCTGTCCGCTCTTCTCCTGTGAAGCAACAGCCAAATCATCTTGGCTGGCAAGGCTGGTCCTCAATCAGGGATGACTTTACTTCGCCGCAATCTAGGTGAGACTAGTGACGCAGCCAACTACCCCGCAGTGGGTTTACAGGAATTAAGGTGGAGAAAACGCGACAGGCGACAGTTTGTTTCCGCGGGCTCAGCTGACCCAAAAACATATCCTTGCCAGTTGAACTCGTCTCATCAGCTGTATGACCATATTCTCTATCCAAGCAGCGAATGGAGCCATCATTCTTCGTAAGTTGTCCAAGACGTCTAAGAGGGATGGTACTGACGGGGTTGAGACGATCAATGCATGCAATAGATGCAGAAAACGAAAGGCAAAATGCGACACAGGTAGGAAACGGCATGGGATTCGGAATTGGAAAATAATAGGAGCCGTGATGATTCTGACAGCTCTTCTTAGGGATACCCGCCTGTAGTCAGTGCCAGAGCTCGGGTTCCAGCTGCGACTACACCGATGCTCGATCCAAGACTACCCGTCCTAGGACATACATTAGTGATCTGGAGGACCAAGTTTCACAGTTGGAAGAGAGAATCCGGGCGCTCGGTAAAGGTAAAGAGGACGACGCTCCCTCCAACAGAAGCCGACTACCCTCAGCTGCAGCAGGGGAGAATGCTGAGACTGACGACCGCGAACGCCCCGACTTCATTCGTCTGGAATTGGGAGATGACTCTCATTTCTTAGGGACCTCGAGTGGTAAGATGCACCTGATCGAGAAGAAACGAACTAGATTGGCTGACCTATGATCCTGTCACCTGTAATAGGCATGCACCTTGCGCGATCCGTTCTGGAATCTACGAGAAAGAACAGTACAAGCTTTGACAGTCATAATCCTCGACCAGAGTCAAACCATCATAGCCAGTCACCGCATTACGAGGATCAAAACGGAGGCCTTGGACATGACACGAGAGATGAGAACCCGTTGCCTTCGCTCGAAACAGCAGGCAGCCTGATCGAGATTTTCTTCTGCCAATACCAAATACAGTATCCTATTCTCGATCAGCAGGAATTCATGGACCATGTTTCCAAACTTTACGCCCCAGATGAACCAGGGGACCCCCCAGTCTCAGCAGAAGAACCATGGACAAGATTCATGCTCAACATTGTACTGTCCATCTCTTTGCTGCTCCTCTCACACGATAACTCCGACTCTTTGGTGCTGGCGGAAAGATTTCGCATGGATGCCAACGCGGAACTGGGCTCTGTGATGAGGCGTAAAACACACAGAACGTTGCAATGCTTACTACTTCTTCTGTTGTCGTCAATCGTGAGTTCTAGATCCGCACCAGTGTGGTATATATCGGGACTTTGCATGCGTATGTGTGTGGATCTGGGATTCCACTCGGAGCAGACAATCAAGTGTGGTCTGGGTGAAAACGATGGACCGGACGATGAGCTCCAGGATATGAAGCGAAGACTATTTTGGGTCACCTATACGTTTGACCGAAGCCTGGCCACCATGCTTGGCAGGCCGTTCTTCCTAGACGACGATGATATCGACGTTGAGTATCCCTCTCGATCTTTGCCTCAGTCGAAACGAAGTCAGGTGCTTCACTGGTTCAGGATGCAGCGGATGCAGAGCGAAATAGTATACCGCTTGCATACAAGCAAGGGCCATCACTTGCATAGTACCGACGAAGACTCTGATCTCGCCACCTGGAAGGCCATCATGGCGGCAAGATTGCTGTCATGGCAAGACGAGTCTATGAAACTGATTGATAACGAGAGCCACAGCATGGATTGGTGGAGATACTGGTACCAAAATGCCAACCTCATGCTTCACCGACCGCTCTCTCACGGTCCCCTGCCATCTTCGGAATCATTACTAGCCGCATACGATTCAGCCAAGAGCATGGTGCATTTGTCCTTCATTCGCGTCTACAAAGGTCCATCCGAGTTCACTTGGCTAGACCTTCATTACCAATTGATGAGTGGCCTGACATTACTGTTCCTTGTATTGAAGAGCCCAGATGCAAGACGAAAAGCGCAGACGGAGTGGGCATCATTCAAGAGCTGTACCGTTGAGTGGCAAGTGGTGCTGGAGAAACTCACGGGTCGTTGGGTGCAGATGGCGCGAACGAAAGAGGCTCTGGTGCGATTAGTTGAAGCTGCCGTGGACACAATCGAGGAGTCCTCTTCTGGCCAAGGATCAAAGCGCGGTGGGAATAGGATCATGCGTGATCGTCGGTACAGGGACTCCATTATGCAAGAGCTTGGCTCACCTGGAACGGGTTCTTCAATCCA